TCCAACCGATGAGCAATTGGTTGCAGGGTAAGACTAAAACCTCTCCACCATCTTTCTGTCTTGATTCTGGCTGCCTTCTTTTCTTGTAATTGTGCTTAATTCCTGATTTCCCTCAATATTAAAGAATGACTAACGAGGCACATAGGCCCTAGCTTGGACCTCACTACCCCAGACCCCATATAAGAACCCAGACTTGGCCATGGCTTGCCTTTTCTCCTCTTAGTTATTTAGCTGCTTCATATTACCCAAGAGGCCAAGGATTGATTGGATGGCTGCAGAGAGACTTCTAGGCCAGGTATGCCGTGTAAATCTCCTCCCCCCAAGTAGGAGGTAATCTGAAGTGGGGTGTCTCATCTTTCTCCTACTGCCGCACTGAGACCTGTGATTGAGGTTCCTTGTACAGTTTTCAAAGGGGTTTAATAGGGATCTCTCCCAAGTTTGGGTTTTCAGGTGATGCTTAGACTTAAACCTCTCCACTTGTGTTTGGATATGCTCACTAGTGGCAAAAAAAGTTCTCCTGGAGTAGATATGGTAATGCTTATTTAGGTAAGCATGGATGCAGTAGGACCCCCCTCCACCCTAGTGTATCCCCTTTGGGTCATGGAGGTACATACAGCATTTTTTAAAATTTATTTTATTTTATTTTATTTTGGTACCAGGGATTGAACTCATGACCTTGTGCTTTATAGGCAAGTGCTTCAGCCACTGAGCTAAATCTCTGGCCCTGGTACATACAGCATTAATGAGCTCCCAGGAAGGAGGCACGTGGGGGAACACTGAGTTCTCTTCCAGCCTCTGTCTTCCTCTGTTTTTTAGGCTAAGCTAGTGAACCAGCTCTACTCCCAGATATCTTGGCAAGAATAGAAGTCCTGGCTTATTTTCCAGCTGAGCTCTTAACATATCTTCCTGTGCTTTTCTGAAGTCTGGAGTTTCTAAGTTAGTGCAGAAACCTTTAGTTTTTGTAACATCTGTTTTACCATGTTACAGTACATTTACTAGGCTCTCACCGTCAAAAGGATTTTTGTAAATTTTGGAAACAAAAACTAAATTTTGTCCATTGCTTACAGTTTGATTTGTTATGATTAAATTATGTCCCTCCTCCAATCTCATGGTGTAACTGTATCTTTTTGTGATTTATATCAGCAGACACTATGTAAATTATAAAGCCACAGAGATTTTTTTTTTGTCTTTTTGAGGCAGAGTTTTGCTATACAGTTCAGGCTGGCCTTGAGCTCACTTTGTAGCCCATCTGGTCTGTAACTCACAACAAGTCTCCTGCCTCAGCTTCCTGAGTGCTGGGACTATACGCCCCGGCTACCCAAGCATCTTTTCTTTTTTGTACTGGAAATTGAACTCAAGACCTTGTGCTTGCCAGGCAGGTGCTGTGCCACTGAGCTGTATTGCCAGCACAAGCATCTTTTCATCGTAAATGTGCAATATTAATTTTTTTATCAGTACCATCAGTAAATGTGCAATATTAATTTTTTTTTTTATCAAACTCACAACTGCCTGCTTGCAAGGCAGGCACTTATGCCACTGAGCTAAATCCCCAGCCCACAATATTAAATTGTGACAAGTGGATTTCTTTATGAGCCAGATTTGCTCATAAATTGAGTGATCAGCTCCACGGTGCTGGCTATCCCAGAAGGGCTTCTCTAAAGGATCATTTAAGGCAGTGTAACTTTTAACTTCTGACTATTTCTTTGTTTTTTTGTTTTTTTGGCTTTTTTTGGTACCAGGGATCGAACTCATGACCACATGCTTGCAAAGCAGGCACTTATGCTGCTGAGCTAAATCCCTAAGCCCTTAGAGAAGAGTTTTAAATAATTGCAGTTTGAGCCGGGCGTGGTGGCTCATGCCTGTAATCCCAGCACTCAGGAGGCTGAGGCAGGAGGATCGTTTCAAGTTCGAGATCGAGCTCAAGGCCAGCCTGAACTGCATAGAGAGACCCTGTCTCAAAAAGACAAAAAAAAAAAAAAAAAAAATTTTGCAGTTTGACATGAAAAATGTATGTGTGATAAAAAGGAGCACAATGGAAGATTCAATCACCACTAAAAAATAGTGATTGTTGGCCATCACAGTAGTGTGAGCTTTTTGGAATGATGGAGAATTTTGGCCTCCTATCTCTGTCTTGAATCATTGGGTGGCAGAGTGGAGGGTGGTGGGTTTTTTTTTTATTGGTTTTTATTTTTATTTTTAAGATGAGACATAAAATGCTTCTAGAGGAGAAATGTTCAGCAAAGTTTTACTGCCCAGAACCTGTGTTCCTTAGGCAGGACTTACAGGGCAAAGTGAGCTATGTGTAGTTTTTCATGAAAACCTATGATGGCTTTTGTCTGAGACACTGGAATATTTTGTGTCTGATTTAGTTACTCTAGAGATGAGTATGCCTAAGAAGGAGAGTGAAGGACTAGCTATGAGTCCCAGATTTGTTTTTGACAAGATTAGTTTTGGAAAGACTAGTTTTGTAACCTGACTGTGTAAGAGACAAGGCAGCCTGCTCTACCCAACTTTCTCTAGTTTATTTGGGGGCTCAGGGTTTCCTGAACTGAGTGATCCCTTTATAGACATGTTTTATCCCATAGTCATTTACCATTGCAAAGTTGAGCTGTGGTAGCTTTGAAACTGGCCTTCCTTTTTTTTTAAATCATAAAATGGAGGAGTTATGTTAAATCTCCATCTTTCCCTACAAAGAAGGCTTTCAGGAGAGAAGCATAACCAAGATGAACATTGGAGTATCTGTCTCCAGTGGTCTTTTTTAGGACTGTGGGGATTCTTCCTGCCCGTGTGCTGCAGTATGGCCCTGGGGAAGCTAGAGCTACCTTCCCTAAGACTGTAAACCCTCCTGAACCAGATACTAGAAATGCCTTTTCTCGTGGCTAGGTGAGCATGGAGGGTTCTTTCTCTTCTGGGTCCAGATCAGAAACTTATGTGTCCAGTTTACCTGTGCTTCTGGAGGAGAAGGCGTCAGGCTCTGGGCTCTGAGATAAAAGGCAGCCACATGCTAGTATACTCCTCCCTGAAGATGGCTTTCCCTTATCTGAATCCCCCAGCTAAGATGGATGTGGATTGCCAGCAGGGAGGCAAATGTACAGATGCATTTTGGAATGGATGGGGTGTTACCCACACCCAGCTGTTCCTATTTCCTCATGGTAGTCAGTGCTGGGCATCCTTGCACTCCTGTAACACAGTGGGTCTACATGTCTTGCACAGAATTCCTTTCTAAATACGAACTGAAAAGTTTAGGATCAGGGAAGGGCTGTCAGCTATGGTCTGAACAAAGTAGCACACTGCATGCATCTGAATGGTATCCTCTGGCCCTTTATATGGCACTATAGGGGAGAGGCTGTGTGAGAGACAGTCTAGCAAACATGAGTACAGTTAGGAGAGGCCCCTCTGCCTATGAGCCTTAAGGAGTGGCCTCTCAGGGCAGTGCCAGCTCCAGCTGATCCTTATTTTAAATGCAAACTGCAGCTATTTCTCTCCTAATTTCATAGAGCATGCAAGAATGACAGCATGTGCCTCCAGCCTGTGCTTCTTTTGTCTTTTACCTGTAATTCTGGTGATTTTTACATCCCTAACTTTGGAATTGCTACAAGAGTACCACATTTCTGGGGGCCTCAGAAATGTCCATCAATCCTGGGGCAGAGCCACAGACTACCATTTACTGAGACCCTCCCCTCTGGAGATATTAGGGAGTGGTACAGTGATATTCATTAACTTATTTCAATCCTACCTGTTTTTTATTTGAAGGTTTTCAGATGCTATTCTGGCAACAATTTTAGCAACCAAGTCTGAAATGTGTGGCCAAAAATTTGAACTGAAGATCGATAACGTGCGGTTTGTTGGGCATCCGACACTGCTGCAGCATGCTCTGGGGCAGGTACGGTCCTCTCTGACAGGTGTGGTCCTCCTTGGCCAGGTAGGGCTGTCTCTGAGCAGGCAAGCCTGACTCATTTCCCTCTGGAGGACTCTGAACTGTGCAGCGATTGGGCAGCAGATCCAATCAGGCACTTGTCAAGAGCTCTTGGGGGTCCTTGTACCTAGTTATTTCAGTCTCTGTAACAACATCTTCTCTCCCTCTCTTTTTTTTTTAATGCCTTGCTAGGGGCCTTGGGTTTGGGAGGCCTGCCACTGTAGCCCTGCACATCCCTGTAGCGTGCACATCCCCTGCCCCCTGCCATTAGCTTGTACTGTTTATATTTTGGGTCTCTAATGACTATGATCTTCCCTTTATATAAGGTATAAGTTTCCAGAAGAGGCCAAGAGAGTAAATGTCAGCATGTGTGAAACCCTAAACTTCCTATAAAATGATGCAAGCATTTCTTTTTAGTATATGTTATGGATTAAAAACTGGTAGTCAACTTAATGCCAGCTGAATTAAACTGTGTGTCCTGATTCTAATTGTTCTCTGCACAACCCCTGACTACAACAGTAAACAATATTCTAATAGCCAAAGCCATTATTATTTAGCACTTATCATTGCGATAAACCTTCTGTATATGTTCTCTGATGATCAGCAAGATAGCGTGCAGAGTTTCCAAAGGAACTTGTGTAACAGAGCCTGCCAGTCAGCCTTTGCACACAAGCAGGGTCAGTAACAGCATTACTCAGATTCTTTGTTTGTTTGTTTGTTTATTTATTTATTTATTTATATTACTCAGATTCTGAAGTGTTTTGGTATAACATAGAGGATTTAGCTACATTTGTACCACCCAGAAATGGGTGACTGTGTGTGCTGTGATGTGTAAACTTTCTCTGTGATTAAGCCCATGGAAGGAACAGCTGTGGGAGTTGGATATGTCAAACCCCTTGGAAGGCAGCCTCCCTTCTCACCATGTTTTCACAGATAGGGCTGCCTTGTCTGTGGGTGAGGCACAGGAGAGTTGGAAGCCAGCAGTCACTCCCTGTGGGGGCAGGCAGGCAAGAGAACTGGGGCCTCACGCTGCAACTCCCCATAGTGATGACACTTGTAGTTGGCTTTAAAGAGTTCTCTTGTAGCCCTTAGCTTATTTCAGAGCTTTGGATGTTTTGGACTAAAGCTGCTGGGTGCCAACCTAAATCTGAGATAAGAATTAGATTGTGAAGTGAGCCTGTCTGCTCTATCTTATAGGGCCTGCTTAGGCCCTTGTCAATGCTGAAAATTGCCCTATCTTTAAATGGTCTGAGTACCTGTACTTTAAGAAACAACTGGCATAGACACAGGTGGACATGAGATAGCAGCAGGATGTGAGTATGGTGTTCCACCCACTTGAGCTTCTCTCCATCCTGTCTTCTATAGGCACTGTTACCTTACCTCCATTGACTAGGGCAGTCAGAGCACTGACCGTCCCACTCCTGTCACAGCTGACTCTGTGCAATGGGTATATTTCTAGAGCAAAGGGCAATCACTTCTCAAAGACCCCAGGCTGTTTTTCTGTGGTTCTGCTATACTCTGGGTCCTTTTGCCATGCTTGAAGTAAATGGCATTAAACAAGTTTCCTTGGAAAGTCATGGCTCTCAGATTATTAGCATCAGTGCTTCTTTTACAGGTCTCCAAAACAGATCCATGCCCGAAGAGAGAAGCACCTACCATGATTCTTTTTAATGTGGTATTTGCACTGAGGGTGAGTGTTTATAAAAACAATTTCAGTCAGGAAGGAGGGTTGGAAGGAGAAGGAGCCCATTTCTAGTGAATGTGCCATTGACTTAACACAGGCTTGGGGTGTACAGCACTGGCCTTTGCTGGTGTTCAGGCAAAATCTACCTCGTTTCCCCCTCTTTTATAAAGTTTTACTTTACCTTTAATTTTTAAATTTTTGTAGTACTGGGGATTGAACTCAAGGTCTTTTCACTGAACCATAGCCCTAGCAGCCATTTTGTTTTCTTTTTTGTTTTGAGACTCTAATTGCCCAGTTTGGGCTCAAATGTAAGGTCCCCCTTTCTCAGCTTTCCAGAGTGCTGGGATTACAAGTGTGCCCCATCGTGCCACCTCCCTCTTTATTTTAATACATATAACAGTATGTAACACTTTAAATTGTACAGTTTACTGGCATCTAGTACATCTGTGATATTTACAGCCTTGTCTCACTGCCTATGACGTATCACCATTCTAAATCTAGAACATTTTTCACCACTCTGAAGAGAAACTTCTGTAACCCATTAGCCCATCAACAGTTATTTCCCATTCTCCCTCCCTTTCTAGCCCCTGGAACCCACCAGTCTATTTTCTGTCTCTGTAGATTCATTCTGCATGTTTCATATAAATGAAATCATGTAGTACCTGATCTTTGGTATCTGGCTTCTTTCACTTAGGAAGTTTTTGAGGTTTATCAATGTTGTAAGATGTATTAAGAACTCCTTTTTATGGCCAAATAATATTCTATTATATGGGTAGATCATACTTTGTTCATTCATCTGTTAATGGGTATTTGGACTGTTTCTATATTTTGACTAGTATGCATATTGATGCTACAGAATTTGTGTATAAGTTTTTCTTTTTTTTTTGGAACCAGGAATCAAACTCAGGACCTTGTGTTTGCCAGGCAGGTACCATGCTGCTGAGCTAGCTATATCCCTGGCCCTGTTTACAAGTTTTATGTGGACACATTTTCATGTCTCTTGAATAGAGATTCAGACTGAAATTTCATGTCATATGATAACTCAGTGTTTAACTTTTTGAGAAACTTTCAAACTGTTTCCATAGTAGCTGTACTGTTTTATATTTTTATCAGCAATGGATAAGGACTCCAGTTTCTTCACATCCTCACCAATACTTGTTCTTTTCTATTTTTAAATTAAGTCTAATAATTTCTTAAGGCAGTTTGTAGCTCTGAGGCTGTTTTCATGAGTCATAGAAAATGTATTTTCTGTCTTTTTTTTTTTTTTTTTGTCTTTTTCCTTTTTATTGGTACCGGGGATCGAACTCACGACTGCCTGCTTGCAAGGCAGGCACTTATGCCGCTGAGCTAAATCCCCAGCCCCTAGAAAATGTATTTTCAATAAACCTGTCAAAATATAAGGGTTCTGGGGAAGTTAGGAATATAAGGGATCTAAATGAACAAAAATGTGCCTTGGATAATGATTGGCTTGTAATAAAGGGACTTTGAAATATCAAGGAAACTTATGTTTTGCTAAATGATGAAATTTTTCTGAAATATCCCACTATTTTTTACCAGGAATCAAACTCAGGACCTTGTGCAGGCACTGTGCCACTGAGCTACTCAGCCCTGTGGGTTTTTTTTTTTTTTTTAAGACAAAAGATACTAATGTATGAGTTATTTTTTTGCTAAACTAAAACCTTATTATTTAGGTTAAAGAAAAAATAAGAAAAGTAACAATAAGAAATCACTAGATTTTGGGGACAAGGGCAGTGTGTGCTCTGAAAATGTTCAGGGAAAGGAAACTTTAATTAAATACCACTTTATGTCTCAAAGTGTTTTTTCTATTTGGAATTTATGTGATGTGGAGAGGCAGGTGCACTGTATATAGTTCAAATCAAAATGATTCAGAAAAGGCCCTTTTAAGTAAAATTAAATTTCTTAAAATTGGACTTTTTTTTGATAAGTAAAAAACTATAGCTGGGCATGATACATTCCTGTAATCCCAGTGCTCAGGAGGCTGAAGCAGGAGAGTATCTGTGAGTTTGAGGCCATCTTGGGCTACAAAGGGAGTTTGAGATCAGCCCAAACTGCAAAATCCTGTCTCAAAAAAACAAAAAACAAAACAAAACTCTGCAGATTAAAACAAAATGGTTTTTCAGGGCTGAAGGCATAATAGCTCAGTGGTGGAGCATTTACCTTGCATGCTTAAGGCCCAGGGCAAAAACCTCCAAAATGGGCTGAAGGAATAGCTCTGGCCTAGAATACTTGCTTAGGATGTGTGAGGTCTAGAGTTTGGTCTGCAGCACAAAAAAAAAAAAAAAAAAAAAATCAAAATGATTTGTTACTGTTGGCATTCTGGCATTCCAAGGCACGAGGTTTCAGAGGTCAGTGTTCATTTTCTGCTTGAGCCTTTTTCAGTGTTGATGTTTTTGAAGTATTCTTATAGTTTTTACATAAATTATGTAACACAAGAAGCTATAAAGAGAAAGTAAAAACAAAAACGTGTGTGAATAGACAAAAACTGACAAATGTAGTCCAGTGTCAGTACAGATAACTCCTGTAGGATGGACAGTGAGATGGAGCTTTTGTCCATCCTGGGACTATGCAGGCTGGTGCTTCTCTGTGCAAAATAGCATTTGACAGCTGAATGTATAATGTACTTGGGCCAGTAGTCCTACCATTAGGAATATTGTCAGGAAAGCAAGCAGCACTTACAGTTGTATAAGAACTTTTCTTTTCTTTTCTTTTTTTTGGTACTGGGGATTGAACTCATGACCTTGCACTTGCCAGGCAGGCGCTTATGTCACTGAACTATATCCCCAGCCCCTTGTATAGGAATTTTTATACAATAATTAAGTTGGAAATAATTTTGTAGTTGGGAAATTATTAAACACTGGTTATTATTCCACAGTGGCCTTCTTCATTGCTTTGAAAGATGAGAAATGGAGCCAAGGCCAGAACCTTGAAAAGTATAGATGGATTACTGCCACATAAAAGCAGCAAGAAAGCTGAGCATGGCAGCTTACTCCTGTAATTCCAGCACTCTGGGAGGCAGAGGTAGGCAGATTATAAGTTTGAGCCCAGGTTGGGCCACTTTTTATTTTTGTTTTTAATTTTGATTTTTTGAAGACATGATTTCACTATGTAGGCCAGGCTGGCCTTGAAGTCACTATGTAGCCTAGGCTGGTCTCAAAGTTGACTGATCCTCCTGCCTCAGCCTCCCTAGTGCTAAGATTACAAGCATGCACTGCCACACTCAGCTCAGTATAGACAGTTGAGTGATTTAGTGAGACCTTGTCTCAAAAAAAAAAAAATAATAATAAAAACAGGCTGGAAGCCTGTTTCTGTTTATCAGAAGCTGTGATGGCACATGCCTGTAATCTCAGCATTTGGGAGGCTGAGGCAGGAGGATCCTTATGAGTTCAATACTAGCCTGGGATACAAAGTGAGTTCAAGGCCAACCCAAACTGTATAGTGAGACCTTACCTCAAAAAGATAAAAAACAAAAGAAAATAAAACAAAGAAACAGGCTGGAGTTGTAGCTCCATGCTAAGGCTCTGGGTTCAATACCTAGTACTGGAAGAAAAAAAGTAGCAGAGAACAGGGTATCATAGAACTTCAGCTTGCTATGATTTTGGATAATGGGGAAAAGGTTAAGTATTGTAGAGTTGGTATTTTAGAATGGATTGGTTTTTCTTGCTTTTTCAGTCATCAGTTAAAATGTATTTTTTTTCAACTTTGAGAAATGTTAAGCAAGTTCTTAACTATAAAGAATAGCATGACAAGCTAGGCATGGTGGTACATGCCTATAATCCCAGTACTTGGGAGGTTGAGGCAGGAGGATTGTTGCAAGTTTGAGACCAGCCTGGGCTGCAAAGTGAGCTCAAGCCCAGCCTGAACTACATAGTGAGACCCTGTCTCATAAAGACAAAAAAAAAAAAAAAGAATACTATGACAAACATCATGCACCCATCTCTTGGGACCGTGAGCTACCCACTGCCTTTTTCCTTTGGGTCTATCTGTTTCTTCTCACTCAGAATTTCAAGACAAGTCTCAGACCTCATACCTTTTCATTACTGTGTATTTCAAAAGCATCTCTATAAACTATGGACATTTATTTTCTGTCCTGATGCTCTTTTAACTCACCATGATAGATTGTATTAACTAGTAGATGATCCATTGAAACTTTTCCTTATTTCAGAAACATATTTCCAGTTGATCTGTCTGAACCAGGAAGTAAACCGAGTCCAATAGTATGTGTGATGTCTGTTTCTCTGCCAGTCTAGAGCTTTCCCTCCATGTCATATTACATGTTCCACTATTGGACTTTCTTCATTGTGTAGACTACCAGACTTGCTCTCTGCCTCAGTATTTCCTGTGAGCTAGAAGTTAATGTTGAAGGCATAGTTAAGGTTGGGTCCAAGTTTTGGGGATGAGGAAATCTCATGGTCTGTGATGCCATCAACTTCTGTGCGAAATCTGAGTTGTTCTCCATGGGCTTTCTGGAACCTCACTGAATGTCAGACCTGTATGAATAGGGCATACCAGACACTTATCAGTGCAGGTCATTGAGCCTCAGTGGGGGCAGGACAACCTTGCACATATCTGAGAAGGTCAAATGAATGGACCCCAGAGATCCAATGTAGGGTTGATATTCTCCCTCACCTGATAACACCTCAGGCAGAGAGAGCTGGCTGTCAGATATCTTTTTCTCTGTCTTTATTATTGGGTATTTTGTTTTAAGGCTATTGCATGTACCCTATAAATTGGTTCTCTGGTTACAGGGACACTGTTAAAGGGTTGCCACAGACATGAAGGGCCAGAACATGCTGCCTTGTTGTAGGATTCCCTAGATGGTGATTGTTTTGAAAATGGGATCTGTTGAGAGTACAGAAAATCTCCAGCTCCAGGTGAACAAAGTGTTTAATGACTAGGTAAGGTTTTCATCCTAAAGTCTGATTATGAACACTCACCAGGCATGGCCCTACCTGCCAAATAAACAGAGGAGGTTCTAATCATTGCCACCATTTGTCCTTCTCTCTCTCCCTCCCTCTGCCCCACGGGATGACTCAGCAGCCTTCTTACCCTCCAGAAATACTGAGTCATGCCTGGCTCAGTTATCTTTTCTCTCAAGCATCTTCATAGAGCCCCACTCCACCTTTGGCCTGGGTGGATACAGCTGCCCGGCCAGTTGTGGCTTCTGATAGGTTCCAGGGGGTCTCCTATTCCTGCATCCTCCCATGACCTACCCAGTACAGAAGAGCACTGGAGTACGGATGTGGGCCTACTCTGGTTCTCTTATTAATGGGGATCATTTCTGCCCAGAATTTCTCATCCTTGAGGACAGAACATATTCACTGAACAACTAGTATAGTGTTTCTGTTATTGTACTGTGTGCCCTGTTGAATGCCCTCTTGTGATTGATTCTTCCTGTCAGTCATTCATGTTCACCAACAGTCAGCATTACAGCCATGATCACAGACACTTGCAGGGGTTTGTTTAGGGGAGGCTTTTTATGAATCTTATTGATTTCCTGTACTCAGTCACAGATAAGGGAAGTGCCATTGTTGTCCTTCAGGTGAGGACTTATGAGACAGGATCACACAACAGGTCGGTAGTGAAATCGGTACTTTCTGCTGGCACCTGCTTTTCTATAAAGACCTGGCACAGTAGAGGGGTGTTTGCCCCCACAGGAACCCCCCACAGGACCATGTCTGTGTAGTCATTCCCAAGAATAAATAATGGGGGCTGATAGCATTTCTGTGGGTGGACTCTAAAGGGAGCATAGGAAATCTTGGACAGTAGAGGGCTTTGGAAAGCAGCCTAAGAAAAAGAAATAGAATTTTCTTTTGTGGTTTTAAGTTTTTTGTTTGTTTGTGTTGGTACTGAGAATCGAACTCAAGATGTTGTGTTTTCCAGGCAGGCGCTGTGTCACCGAGCTATATCCTTGACCTTGTGGTTTAGATTTTTGCTTAGTGTATTACCTCCTTTTAACCTGCCCCAGTATGCACATTTGAGTTGGCATTTTCTCTCTCCTGCAGGCCAATGCTGACCCATCTGTGATAAACTGTCTGCACAATCTGTCCCGGCGCATTGCCACTGTGCTACAGCATGAGGAGCGCCGCTGCCAGTACCTCACCCGAGAGGCCAAGTTAATCCTTGCACTCCAGGATGAGGTGACTGCTATGGCTGAAGGTGAGTATGGCAGGCATGGTCATGGGTCTGAGCTGCCTGATGGCCTCTTTATGGTGGACATTTCCAGAGGGGCTGCTGGTCAGTGTCAGCAGTGAAAATGTTGTTGAGGACTGGCCTACCACACACCAGTAAAACAGTCAGAAGGTAACTACAGTTTTTGGTGCACTGTTAGAGAGGAAATCCTCAAAACAGTCTTGTAAGTCAAAGATTGTCCCCAATTTGCAGATATAGGAACAGCAGCCCAGAGAAGTAACATGGTCTTCATATTGGACTAATCATGCTCTGGGGGCACAGAGAGATTCCCAAAGGGCCCATGTTAACCCACAGTCCTGAGTGGATGTGCCTTCATTAATTTCCCAGTGGAAATACTTCTGCCTCACATATTGCTGTGTGATTACTCTTCATGTAAGATAGGCATCCAACCAGGTATGCTGGCACATGCCTATAATTCCAGTACTTGAGAGGCTGAGGCAGGAGGATTGCTGTGAGTAGTTTGAGTTCAGCGTGGACTACAAAGTGAGTTCAAGGCCAGTCTGAACTGTATAACGAAACCCTATCTCAAAAAAAAAAAAAAAAAAAAAAAAAAAAAAAAGATACCTCCTACTTGGCCATGGGCATCCCACTTTACCCTGGAGCAGGAGGAATGTCCAACTGGTAAGGTAGATAATTTCCATTCTTCACTTTTGGTCAGATTGAAAGAGGATCTACCCAAGTTATCAATTATAAAAATAATTTTGCCAATAGATAACTTGGGGGATACCTGAAAGTGCTTTAGTATGGAAGTTAGTAGTTCTATACAGAAGGGAGAATAAAGAACGGAACCAAAGTCAGGCCTAGTCTTTTTAGCCAAAGTAAAAAATAAAACCAGCAGTTGTCATACACTGCCAAGTATGGTAGTACATGCCTGTTTTGTTGTGTTTGAGACAGGAGGTCTCCAAATTGTTCAGGTTAGGCTGGAATAAGTGATCTTCCTGCCTCATCTTCTCAGAGTTCTGGGTTTATAGGCATGTGCCACCACACTTGGAAACGCACAACTTTTATGAAAAGGAGTAGGGAGTTTCTTGATGCTTAGTTTGAGTTAATCAAAATTTTTGCGGTTGAACTTGTTTTGAAAGTGTTCCCTATTTTAGCCTTTAGAAGCTCTAAAGCCCTTTGTGTTGGGATTGTTACAGCAAATGAAGGTCCTCAGTCTCCATTCCATCACATCCTACCCAAGTGCAAGCTGGCCAGAGACCTTAAGGAAGCTTATGACAGGTAGGACAATTGGATGCTGCATGTTGAAACTCCTATTCTTCCTCCTCCTCCTCCTCTTCCTCCTCCTCCTCCTCTTCCTCCTCCTCTTCCTTCTCCTCATGGGTCAGCTTCTCAGTGCCTCATGGGCTGAAATACATTCCTACCAGGACTTTCCTGTTCTGGTCCCTGTGCAGATGCTGGCACTCTGCTGAGATTGGAGTAAGAGAGGACAAGGAAGGGATGCTGTGTGGCCATTCTTTTTTTTTTTTTTTTTAACTGCATCTTTTGAAAAGGTCACATGCTCATTTCGTTTGAAAATCTGTATCAAATGACTTTTCTGTTATACCTTGGCAGGATGCATCCCAGCAGACAGCTGTCACCTGTCCTCCCTCAGAGATGATTGAAGGCACACAGACTTGCTTTGCCTTTTACACAGTAGCACAGTACACATACTATTTGCTCTTTGCTTTTGCTGTTCTTCCATATGTATTGGACTTTTTTTTTTGGCTGCATAGTCAGCTGGCCCCCTCTCTTGGGCATTTAGTTGGTTGCAGCCTTTGGCTGATATGAGATAATCTACATAGGCATTTATGTGTGCTAATTAGTGTGTGTGCCTCTGTATCCCTAAGATAAATTTTTAAAGCATTATCAGTGGATAAAATGCATGTATAATACTGATGTCTTTCCCTCCAGGGGTTTTGCCTGAATTGTACCAGCAACATGAGGTGCCTTTCCCCTTTGCTTTGCTAATACTGGGTCTTGGTGAACTCTTGATAAAATTTTAATTGATATAGAAGGAAGATGATATCTTGGTCCTACATTATCTTAATGCATTTATGCATGTCTTCACTTTTTTTTTTTTTTTGGTCTTTTTGAGACAGGGTCTCACTGTGCAGTTCAGGCTTGCCTTGAGCTCACTTTGTAGCCTAGGCTGGTCTCGAACTTGCAACAATCCTCCTGCCTCAGCCTCCCGAGTGGTGGGATTACAGGCGTGAGCCACTGGCGCCCGGCGATGTTGTCACACCTTTGAACCATTTGTATTTTTATTTCTGTGATGCTTTCTCAGATCTCTTATTCCCTTTTGTAGGGAAATGCAGGTGCCTTAACAATTAGTTTAAAACAGAAAACAAAACAAAATAAAAAAACAATGAAGGAGTTTTTTTTTTTTTTTTTTGTCTTTCTTGTTTTTATCGGTACCAGGGATTGAACTCACGACTGCCTGCTTGCAAGGCAGGCGCTTATGCCGCTGAGCTAAATCCCCAGCCTCAATGAAGGAGTTTTGATACCAGTTGGAACAAGTAGTTCTTTGTTTCTTGATGACCTGTGGACATGGGCCTCCCGAGTGTTAGAAGATGTTAGAGCAGCCTGAAACAGCCCTTGCCAAATGACTGCTTTAGTTTTCTATCCTTTCTGCTGTGGAAGATTCAGTCCTGACCCAGAGCAGGAACTTTGTGGTCCTTGTAATTGTGGTCTTTGTTTTTCATGTTGTCTCACTGGCGTTTTCTCTTCAGTGAGAGAATTGTCGACTTGCCTTGAATCCCTTCCTTGTCAACTCTCGCTTTATTCTAAGTGCCATTCTGTGTGCCTCAACTAGAATTCAGCTGCAGGCCCAATTCAGGCCAACTTGGAATGAAAAAGCAATCCAGTGACTTCTATTTCTAAAGACAGAATCGATTGGGATTTTTTAGGTTTGGATTGAGGTTTGAAAGAATTAAGACCTTATTCAGCTGATTGCTTCTGTGATCTGTGGGGCAGCTGCTCAGAGCTTGAGTTAACTGGGGATCACCTAGTGGACCCTCAGTGTGACAGGCAGAGGAGGACAAGAGTTGGAACTTTTGGTGATAAAGTGCCCCAGGCTTTCTTTGGTATTCTTTCCCTGCCTGGGCATCCTATTTGTTAGTGTTCAGGATTGTGTTCCCTCCACAGTAGTTCCTGGGTCCTAGAGCCTGCCCTAGGGATACTGAGAGCTTCACATCTTTGGCAGAAGTCCTAATGCTGGTATCCTCCCCTGAACCTGCCCCTTCTTTGTTTGCTTTTTTTTTTTTTTAACTTTTTAACTTTTTATCGGTACTAGGGATCGAACTCACGACCGCCTGCTTGCAAGGCAGGTGCTTATGCCGCTGAGCTAAATCCCCAGCCCCAAACCTGCCCCTTCTTGATGCCAGTATAGTTCTGTAGCTACCCAAGAGCCCTCTCGCCAGTGGACTTCCTCCGTGCTCATCCCACCAGGTCTATGATTGGCCTTACAGGCCTGCCCCATCCACACTAAGATAAGAGACTAAGTATACAATATTGATCAGATAGTAGAGAACACAGCCCCTTTCTTCTGACAGTGACTTTCTGCCAGATCCCTGTAAAGGTTTCTCAGAACAGAAATGAAAGACAAGAAACTGTCAGAGTTAATAAGATTAAATAAGATTAGAAAATTTGGAGCAGAACTCTTCAAAGGAATTGTTTTGAATGTGCTATTTTATTTTATTTTTTATTTTTTAATTTTTTTTTTGTCTTTTTATCGGTACCGGGGATCGAACTCCGGACTGCCTGCTTGCAAGGCAGGCGCTTATGCCACTGAGCTAAATCCCCAGCCCCTTGAATATGCTATTTTAATTACAAGCCCGAGTTATGATGTGGCTAAAAGTACATTGGTAGCCCTGTCCCCTGGGAGCTAAGTATCTGTGAACATAAGCTAGAAATATGAATCCCTCAGGAGGCTACTCCAGCTATCTCAGCATCTCTGTCTCCCTGTGGAGCTCTGTGACCTCAGTGACAGCATCTCACTCATTTATGTGGCCACTAAATTGCATCCTCTAGGAAGGCAGGGATATCTCCTCACTTTCTGCAATATAGTCTTTGTGCTCAGTGTGTGAAAGACCATAGCTTGTCCAGTGATGATTGAAGGGATGTGTAATGGTAGAAGTAATGATGTAGGTACCATGGAGACGAATAATTAGTTTACTGAATGGTTCTGTGAGTTAACAGGAACTGTGGTAAGATCTAGCAAGCTCAGAGCTTAGAAAATACTGCCCAGGATGTGGCTAGACAGGTAATGTTAGGTGTGGAGTCTTACACTGCTGACTGTTCAAAGGAAGCCTGGGCTTATGCTGCTGTTGTGAGTATTCTGAAAGCGGCAGTCCCTATTTCCAAAAATGCATTCGAGTATAAAGTTCCGTTTAAGCTGGGCATGGTAGCACACTCCTATAATCTCAGCACTTCAGGGTTTGAGGCAGAAGGATTATTTCGAGTTGGAGACCAGCCTGGGCTACACGGTGCGCCCAAGGCCAGCTTGAACCACACAGCAAGACCTTTTCTCAAAAAGACCAAAAAAAAAGTTCTTTTCAAAATTTCAAGGTAAGCTCCTCGCCTTGGGTCACGTAGCATCCCACGATATGTACTGGGAAGCACAGTCCTTGTTTGAGGCTAGATGATGCAGAGTATATGTGACAGTGTTATTAGGCCTTTGCCTAGGATAGTAAGAGCATGACCAGAACAACCAAAAAGCAAACTTTCAGTTATTAGCTGAAAGTTGGGAGTTGGCATTCTTTCTTAAATGCCAAAACAAGAGGGGAATTGGATAAGCATGTATACAGTCCATCTTGGGTGAGAAAGATAAGAGTGTGTTGCCTTTGCATAGTCATTGCATCAAGATAATGAACTCTGGCAGAAGTATCTATCTCCTGTTACAGACTGGGGTGGGCTCTCCTGGCTGCATGAGGTGTGGATAAGCCTGGGGGACAGTGTTTTCCTACAGAGTTGTTTTCAGACCAAACCATTAATCACCCTGAAAAATAGAAGGAGAAACTACAGGAAACTAGGGCTAAACCCCTGAGTCTTAACACTACAGAGTTTAGAAAACAAAGCCAAAGTCTTTCTCTTTTCATTTCTTGACAGACTAGTGTGGCTCTTAGCTTACCTTTTTGTAGTAAGGAATTTATGGGCTTCCCCCAGAGCTGGAGGCTGAAGTCAGATAGGCACATTTTTAGTGCAGTTTTCCTCCTAGTGTGCTCCAGAGACTCATCCATGCTTATGAATGGCCCTTAGGAGCTGGGGATATAGCTCAGTGGCATAAGCACCTACTGGCAAGCATAAGGTCCTGAGTTCAATTTTCAGTTCCTAAATAAATAAATGGCCCTTGGAGTGTTCTTGGTGGTGACCCTCAATGTCTTCACATCACAGAGTTTAGAGTTTGATTAGCTCATAAAGAGGCACCATCCTCAGTGCTTAATGTTCAGAGGGAAAAAGGTGCTTGGGAGAGTGAAGTAAAGTTCACATGGAAATCAACTTGGATGTATTTCCCTCTGTACTGTTGTGCGAACCAGACCATGGCCAAGATCCAAAGTCAGTTGATACAAGGATAGAAGATATGCTATGAAGGCTTTGATGTTCCTCTGATTTCCCTTTCACCATAGCTGGCAGTTGTTTTTGGCTTTCCATTGAGTCTGTCCCAATTTCTCTACTTTTGCACACATTCCTATACCCTCTACTTGTGCCTTTTTCTGTAACTGTTTCCAATTTCAGACGTTCCATACAGTTTATCATTATATGTTTTTGCCAGTGGAAATATGTTTTGCTGCTGAGTGGAAGTCCCACACAAGGCCCCTCTTCCTGAGTGTACTGTAGTCAGGGAAGTAGCATTAGCAACAGATATAGCCGTATACTGCTGAGTGTGGGTGTCTTGGCCTGTCCACCTGACTGGGAACTGGGAGTAGCAAAGTAAAATCTGAAACTGCTGGAAACCAGCACCTTTCAGTTAGTCTGCTACATGTTGCCTTGCTGAGTTACCTGGAGGAGCAGAAACAGCTGAATTTGAAATGGTAGGGGTCTTGGTGTTTAATATAGTTCTGGCAGCTACCTTAAGCTATACCATAAATGAAACAGTTCAAAAATAGAAGAACAAACAAGTACAAATAAAATAAAATGAAGATAAAGAAAATACAGGGCTGGGTATCTAACTCAGCAGCATAAGTGCCTGGCTGGCAATTGCAAGGTTGTGAGTTTGATCTCTGGTACCAAAAAAAAAAAAAAAAAAATCTTTATTTTTGGTTTTTGACCATGTGTAAAGTTATGTAGAAGAGCCTACCCAGTAGTTTCCATTGGAGACGGCACATCATATTGGGTGGACCTTGTTTTTCTTGTTCCTCTTTTATTTCATATGTGGATGCTGAGACCTTAGTTTTGCTTAGTCAAGTTGAACATCTAATCTGGTTCCTTGGACAGATCTCTCATGGTACAATCTTTGAGTCTGTAAAAGACTCAGCTGTTTCTCCGGGTTTGACATGCGCTTTCTACCTAGCAAAGATCTTGACCAAAGAAGGGCACAGGACTTTTGCATACTTAGCCATGTGTGAAAGAAACCAAGAGTAGTGCTCTCCTCTGGGAACACATCTTGACACTTGCCAAGCCCTCTCATGTGTTTTCCTCCGAAGGGTGGGACAACTCTTCACCCTCTAGACTTAAGTATGGCCTATATACTCCCTCCTCTGACCCTTCCTTTGTGGTGCCAAGGCCCTAAGAGAAACAGGCATAAGTTTTCAGATACCCCAGAGGAAGAACACACAAGGGGGTTGGAGAGTCATGGAGGACTTTGCAATAACCAGATGGTTGGTGTTGGCAAAGATGCTGAGATATCATTGGAGTCACAGATGTGTTCTGTGTTTTTTCCCCCATTACCGGTTCCCTGCTTGAGAGAATAAAGACTTGTTTTTTTGCATTTTAAACTGCTGGTCACAGCTATTGCTAGTCCTCCAGAAGACCTGAAAGAAGCTTGTGCAGTTAGTCTGTGGCTTCAGGGACACAGTTGTAAGGACAGTTTGTGGTGCTAGGAAGGACTGTGTGCTGCCTCCCCGACTAGTCACCTCTTAGTGCCTGACATTTGTGTGTCCAGGAGAGAGGTATGAGCTATTTGTGTCTTCTAACCTGGGTCAGGCAGAGCTCCTTGCCATGCCTCCTGGAGCTGCTAGCCTGCTCCACACTTAGCTGAATGTGGGCATCTGGGAGCCAGGAATAGTAGAGTTAGGGTCACGGAGTGATGGGAAAAACACTTCTTGGCTGCTGTCCTGGGTAGTGTATAGCAAACAGAGGAAACATGATGGGGGAGGCATGATAGAAATTTGGTGGCTCAGAGAAGAACTGTTACTGTACTTTGCTGCCGTTCAGTTTGAGAACTGAATTATCACCAGGAGGCCTTGTGAGCAGGATGAGGAGGGTATATGCCTGCCTGGCTCTTCCAGCCTGGCTGAGTCAGGAAGGCTGAAGAGGGAGCATGGGAATTTCCTCAGGCCAGACCTCATGTACTACCACCTATACTTGGAGGCAAACTGAAGGTCAGCTCCAGGGGCTTTGCTTGAGCATTTGCAGTTCCTTCCTGTCAGCCACCAAGTACTGTTAGCACTTAGCACAGGGATTGAGTGGCTCAGCCATGGAAGGGGCTGGCTTCTCCATGATACCCTCCCTCCTTTTGGGTATAGTTCCCCAAGGACTCCCAGCAAGGCCACACAGGAGCCTGTTCCCAGGAATAGACTTCCTGGACAAGCAAGACAGTGCATCCAGGAGTGCAGCTTGTCCTTGTGTCGATGTCGCTCCCGGCCGGCAGGAAGGACACACGACAAAGCCTGGCAGTGGACAACCTTTTCTTTTATTTTCCTTCTCCGTACAGCCTGCCCTGGGATCGCTCCCAGCCGAAGCCTCCTTTGGTCCGCTCCCCGCGGCTCCTTCTGGGCTTCTACTTCCGGGCTTCTTCTTCCCCCCCAGAGGTGGCACCAGTATATATACGGATACAGTGTCCAATCATGTTAAAGTAAGCAAGGCAAGCTGATTGGCTAACATCATCAGTTGCCAGGCAGACTATATTGTTGAGCGGGTTGCTTACACGGTAAGCAGGAAACTAACGTGCTCGATGGGAGGGGTAATCTACCTCAGGCTTTACTCTTTACTACAGGCCTCACGTCCGCCAAGTGAGGCGACCGGGCTCGGGGCTGCGGCTCCCAACATCCTTGGGCCACTTTTTTTCCTCCACTCATGCCATGCATAAGCACTGATAACAGTGCTACCACATGTCCAAAAGTTGACCCAGGTGCAGTGAACAGGGAACATAACCCACCACCCTCTTGTCATGATTGTGTTGTGGTCAAGGAGACAGCGTTAGACAGCAGACATAGCATCCCATGATCTGGGGATCAGGGAAAAGAGTATAGGCAGAAGGATCAGAATACTGATGGGGCCTGAAGTCAGGGGTGTCTCACTGAGAAAGTGACACTGAGACTGAAGGAATGGAGGAGCCCTGGGACATTTGGGATGAGAGCTTGTGGCCAAGGATAAGTGCCAGGATCTGGAGAATGTTGAGACTTGAGTGATGGGGCAGGAAATGAGGTCAGAGAAATGTAGGCAAATCACAGTGGGCTCTGTGTTGCAGAGCCTTCTATGGGAACCACGGGGCCATGAGGCAGGTGACTGAAAGGACATCTTTGGAGGCTAGTGCTCTGGACAGTTTAAAAGATCTGGATTTTGGATATCCCTGTAGATGGAGCAGGTAGAATTTGCTGATAAACAAGGAGTCAGGAACAGTGTTGTTTTTGCCCTGAGCATAGTTTGAAGCCTGAATGAACTGAATTGCTATCATTGAAAGATCTTGGAATGAAAAGTTTGGTGCGATGGTGGGATATCAGGGCAGGTTTAGACAGTTACCTATATATCTTTGGCTTGGTTATCTACATGTGTTACATGTGGAGTGCTGCTAAAACTTTCAAAGTACAGGAAGGTGGGCACTTTGTACTTCTCACCACTAGAATGGTTTAGAAAACTTGACCCGACATATCTTCTCTTTGGAGACAGGCCCTACTCTGCCTGGCTGCCAGTTGGTGACTAGACATGTATCAGGTATGCAGGGCAAGCCCTTTCTCAGGGAGGACATACTCTGGGTGTCAGATGTTTGGCAGAAGCCTGGGCTAGCAGAGGGCCTGATTAGATGTCTCTGTTGCATTGAGCCTCCAGGATAGAAGATGTTTCCTTTAAGCTCTGGCAAGGTGGTTGGAGGATATATTCTAGAACTAATTAGAAATGTGTATATGTGTGTGTATATTCCTAACCTATTTTATTTTTTTAAAACCTATTTTCTTAAGTATACTGAGATCTGAAAAGATACTTTTTTGCCCATAAAGTTTCCACCTGAAGTTTCCTCCAACCAACAGGGCAGTGTGGTAGAGGCAGCTGTCTTAAATGGGGTGTTGTGATCCGTGCATGTGTTCAGAAATTTCCTTTGCTGGAAAGGCTGGCACATGCCTCTAATCACAGCACTCGGAAGGCTGAGGCAGGAGGATCGCTGGGAGTTTCAGGCCAGTCTGAGCTACAAAGTGAGTTCAAGGCCACCCCAAACTGTATAATGAAACCCTGTCTCAAAAAAAAAAAAAAAAGTTCCATGTGAACTGGTAATGGTACCCATTCTCTGCAGCTTATGTACATCTGGTGTGGTGCGACTCCATATCAACAGCTGGCTGGAAGTGAGTTTCTGCTTGCCTCACAAGATCCACTATGCCTCCTCAAGCCTGATCCCTCCTGAGGCCATTGAACGGAGCCTGAAAGCCATCCGGTGAGAACCAGCCCCACCTGCATACTCCCTGCAAGGATGGTAGCTGCTGAGCCTTTACCAATTACTTTATTCCAAAAGTTCTCTTTTTCTCTTCTTGCCATAAAAGTTGGTAGGTAAAGGTCAGTTATTCAGAAAAACATGATTTTTATATCTACTTTTGTCTAGAAATGACTTATTCCAGGTTTCTTCTGAGCTCTCCCAGCACCACTTGCATGAGTAGGGTTTCCTGCCAAGGTTTTATTCCTTTGGGCCTGAGCAGGGCAGCCTGCTGGGAAGGCTGTGTATCTGACCGAAGGTACAAGCATGACCTCTGGGGGACTTATTTTCATAGTGCTTGCTGCCCCATGATCCTCTGCACTTGGGTCAGGAATCATGGAATCTGTTTCTTAATTTAACTGGTATCCTAGCCAGATGTGGTACACGCCTGTAATCCTAGCACTCAGGAGGCTGAGGCAGGAAGATCACTGCAAGTTCAAGGCTAACCTGGACTATGTAGTGAGTTTGAGGCCAACTTGAACTACATACCCTATCTTAAAAAATAGGGGCTGGGGATTTAGCTCAGCGGCATAAGCACCTGCCTTGTAAGCAGGCAGTCATGAGTTTGATCCCTGGTACCGATAAAAAAGGAAAAAGACCAAAAAAGAAAAAAAGAAAAAAAAAATCTGGGCATGGGCATCTAGCTTAGTGCTGGAGCACTTGCCTATCATGATGTGATCTCCCATGCACTGCCAGGCATGTGTGATGCATGCCTATAATCCCAGCCTGCTGGGGGACTGAAGCAGGAGGACTGCAGTTAGTAATTTACTGAGACTGTCTCAAAATACAAAATTGAAAAAAAAGACCTGAGGATGTAGCTCACTGTGTTAAGGCCTTGAGTTCTATCATCAGTATATTCCCCCTACCAATTAAAAAAAAAAAAAAAAAAAAGGAAGAAGAAAGGGAAAAAGAAAGGAAGGAATCTAGATACAGAAAGCAAAGAATGCCTGGTCCACTTACCCTCCCCCACTTATGTTCCAAGTCAGATACCTTCCTTCCCAGAGTCTTTGCTAAGCATGTTGTTATGTAATTCTATTTATGGTCGATGGAGCAGATTTTGCTTTTCTCTTGTTTGGGAGAAAAGATTAGGAAAGATTCATTTATTTCTTCAGTTAACAAATGTGTGCGAGACAATGACAGAGGTGGGATATAGAGCCAGGTGTTCAAGACCTCCCAGTTTTGTGTTAGTTTTCTCCAAAGAGTAACAGTAATCCCTGCAAATTGTATAAATGCCTTTGGACACAATATGCTTTTCTCTCTGATTCCTATCTTAGCCTCTCCACTGTTCCGGGCTGTGGGCTGCAGTTGTGCCTTGATATATTCTAGGAACATACTTGGTTTAAGAGACCCTGAAATTCTGCATGTCCTGACCAGCTGTGATTTTGCTCCTTAGCCCATATCATGCCCTGCTGTTACTCAGTGATGAGAAGTCCCTGCTGAGTGAGCTGCCCATTGACTGTTCCCCAGCTCTGGTTCGGGTGATCAAGACTACATCTGCTGTGAAGAACCTGCAGCAGCTAGCCCAGGATGCTGACCTGGCCTTGCTGCAGGTAGGGCCCTGGGAACCTGGAGGAGTAGAAGGGAGTGGCCCGTAGTTGTATCCACAAGAGGCAGCCTCTGAGTAAAGGCTGAGGCTCAGATAAGCAGACTGCCAGCTATGGCACATTCCCAACGTCTCTGTCTGTTTGAGAGCTACTGTACAGTCTGCCATGGATCTGGGTGGTTCCTAGAGTAGCTTGAGATTTTAGCAGCTAAGTCAGACTTGGGTGCAGGATTGGCTTTGTGAGCTAGCTGTGGGACTGCCTGTCTTGAGGGAAGGGGAGGTGAGGCAAGATGAACTGTGAGAGAGAGGCGGAAGATGCCTGCTGCACTGGGCAGAGGTCTAGAGGATGGAATACCAGGGGAGTGTGGGAAAGGAAGAAGCATGCAGGTTATAAGCCAGCTTATGGGAGTCTCACAATGGCACATGAACAAGCATGTGGGAAGGGAGCTGGGAGTTTATATGGGTTCTGAGCTTGAATCAGGACTGAACTGGTAGCTTCAGCCTTACCATGAGCACATGTAGCTCTTCTTTGTATAAGATGCCACCTTCTTGTGAGTCGTGTGTTTGTGGGCTGCTCTTTGGCCATGGATCTATTCAATGTGTATGGTGGGAGCAGGGGAGGAAGAGCACAAGAAGAAGCTGGTGGCAAGGGATCCAAGCTACTTTCAGGCAACCTTGGCTAGGTTGTGAGGGCCATCCAAGTGACAGCCTGAGGGGAGGGTAAAGTGTTAGGTGCCTTTGATAGCCAAGACCCAGGATCTGGTGGTATGTACTACTTGGCCACCTGGAGGCAGCAGAGGCCTACTCTAGAACCAAAGTTCCTTAAAGAACAAGGTGGTAGCCGCCTTCTGAAGCAGCTGAGGAGCAGCACTGGTTGGAGGCAGGCCTAAGCTTCCTGGCTCTGTTAAGGCCTGTGAGATTTGTCCAAGGGAGGCGCTGGCTTTGCTGGTGGACTTTGCTTCATAGGCAGAATGAGTTCTGTCATCCTCTGTATATATGACCCTTTATCTTCTGTGTGAGGGAACTTAGCAAGTTCCAACTTTGATATTTCAATCTAATTTCCTGGGCTGGAGCTGGACAGGATCCAGTAATGACCTCAGCCTTTTTTGTAGCATCCACAGGACCAGATCTTTAAGTATACCTACAGAATAAGGGATCATGCTCTCTGTTCTAACTGTATTGGCTACATGGTAGATAAGTGTGAGTGTTTACATGTCCTATTTTAAGCTTTGTATCTGGTCACTCGATGCAGCTTACTGGTGGCTCTACACTGGATGTGTGCCTCACCCCTGCTGTCAGAGTCCCTTAGACAAAAGCTTTGATGTCCCTTTGATGTTCCCTTTACTTTCCTGCCTCGCCTTGCATGGGGTAGAGGAAGCAGTTTGATGTTGTTTCCTTCTGTACCCTCTCCCTGCTGGAATGGCACCAGTCAGGGTTTGCTACTGGTATAGCTCTATGGAAGACCTCTGAGGCCCATCCATTGTGGGTAGCCTGGAAACCTCTGGATCTGCTGTTTCCTGTAGATGTTGCATTGAGAGCAATAGCCCCAGTGTAATTTTGGCCCTTTGAAGAGAAGCTGCCTCAGATTTAAAGTCACTCATGTTCCATCTCACCCCAAAGAGGTTAAAATTCTTTTGTCATGATAAAATAACTGCTAGGCATGGTAGTACAGGCCTGTGATCCCAGCTACCTGAAAGCTGAGGCAGGAGGATTGCAACCTGCAGGCCAGCATGGGCAACTTGGTGAAACCCTCTCCCTCTCAAAAACGGACTAGAGATGCAGCTCAATGATGGAGTGTTGTCTAGCAGGTCCAAGGCCCTAAGTTCAACCCTAGTATCAAAACAAAACTAATGGAACCAGGCGTGGTGGCTCACACCTGTAATTCCAGCACTCAGGAGGCTGAGATGGGAAGATCGTTGTGAGTTCGAGACCAGCCTGAATTGCACAGCAAGACCCCGTCTCAAAAAAGACAAAAATAAGCAAACAAACAAACAAACAAAAACCCTAATGAACATTCAAGTATTACACAAATTATAAAGTCCCTACAATCTCATATGCCAAATGTAACTTCTATAGATCATCCAGATTCTTATATATGTGTATATATTCTTTTTCTTTTTTTTTCATACATTATTTTTCATGTTTACTTTTTGAGACACAGTCTCACTATGTTGCCCAACTGACCTTGAACACCTGGGCTCAGGTGATCTTCCTGTCTAGAGCCTTCCAAGTAGTTGGGAGTTCAAACATGGCCCATTATGTCTGGTAAAACACATGACAGGTGAGTGATGGCCTCCACAGACATTTACAACCTAATCCTCAGAACCTATGGATGTGGCCTCTCATGGAACTTTGCAGATATTAGGAAGTCAAGGATCTTGAGATGGGAAGATTATCGCGTGAGCCTTAAATGTTTTCACAAGAGCCCTTTTAAGAGGGAGGCAGAGGGAGATTTGATACAGAAAAGGAAGAGTTACAGAGGCAGAGACTGGAATGATGTGGCTGCAAGCCAAGGGATACCAGTAGCTGGAGGAGCTATGGGCAGATTCTCTCCTAGAGCCTCAGGAACACAGCTTTAGTAGCACTTTGTATCTGGCCCTATGACACTGATTTTGGACGTGTATCCTTCAGAATGATTCTCTAGCTGCCTTGAGAACCTCTTAGAGGTGCAAAGAGACTTGAGGATTGAAGAACACTAAACCAACTGGTGGCTGGGCATGTGTCTGCTTGAGAGCTCATGTCTAACTCTTGGACTCAGTGAGAAGAAAGACAGTGATGGGACCTTCCCTCATGTTTATTTCTACAGTGTTTGAATTGATGGTGCTACTGTGGTCCTGTTTGCTGAGAAAATGGATGTGTCTTTAGCAGCATAGCAGGCCCTGTGACCAGGCAGGGTAACTCACCACTGTGGAGGCCCACCCACTGAGAATATGAGTGAATGACACATATAGAAATGTCAGTCACTTGAGACATCACACACCTTAGGACTGCAGTGTTGTGCTGTTAGACTTGACCTCCGTTATGAGCTGGGAGTACTCTGAGGTTTTCCCTGGAGAGGATTTCTGGCATGTTTGTCTGTCTGTGTCTTCTGGTAGCCATCGGGCCAGTATGGCATGGTGTTCTCTAGGGAAAGATGAGAACATGGGATTTGCAAGGGTGGTACACAAAGTGACTTCACATCCATTATTTCTTGGGAAAGGCCATGTAAGGGTTGTGAAGAATGTCATAGGGTTATGCCAAGCCCCTTGTCCAAATTGGTCTACCCTGCTCATGGCTTGTTGTTTGAGCTAAACAAACAGCACTGTTTCTTAGAAGGTGCCAGGACCAGCTGAGCATTGTGGTGCACACCTGTAATCCCAGCACTCAGGAGACTGAGGCAAGAGAATCATCGTAAGTTTGAGGCCAGTCTGGCCACATAGTGAGTTCAAGGCCAGCCTGAACTATGGAGAGAGATCCTATCTCAAAAAGCAAAAACAAAGTAAGAGCCAAGACAGCACAAAACCCAGGCAAGGAAATGGAAAAGGTGGTTTCAAATAGCAGTGAGGAAAAGGCTGTTGCTCTGAGAACAAACAGGAAACACAAGCCATTGTACTATCTCTGCCCAGCATTCAGGTTCTACCTGAATCAGGAAGAAAGCCTGGGGAGTCGCTGCCACAAAGCCTGTATGAACTTTGGGCCACTTTCCAGGACAGAGAAGCTTCCCAGGTTCAGTCCTCCCAACTCCCTTGGCCTACAGGTTTTCCAGCTTGCAGCTCACCTGGTGTATTGGGGCAAGGCTGTTATCATCTACCCGCTGTGTGAGAACAATGTCTACGTGCTGTCTCCCAATGCCAGCGTGTGTTTGTGAGTATCACTAGTGGCCAAAAGTGGGAGCCCAGAGTGGGGAAGGGTGCACCCAAGAGGGCCTTCTAGGTGTTGCTCCAAGTTGGCTAGGCTCCAGAGGCTCTGTAGGCCTCTGTGGCCAGCCTCTGTCTTCAACCTAATGACCGGCCTCTGGTGTGCTCATATCCAGATTCTGATCTGGCTCAGTGCTGTGTAGCCCTGCCTGTGTCCTCCTATCTAAGATCAGAGAGGGGTTCTATGCTCTCGGCCTTGTCACTCAACCTATTCTGTCTTTCCTGCCCATCCTGGCTTACCTATTATGCTACAGTTCTCTGCTCCCCTGAGGGCCTGTGGTAAGGTTGCTGTACTCATCCTGGTGTGCCCACTCCTGACTGATCACTGTCTCACTGTCCCCAGGTATTCTCCGCTGGCTGAGCAGTTCTCCCGCCAGTTCCCGTCCCATGACCTGCCGTCTGTCCTTGCTAAGTTCTCCTTACCTGTCTCCTTGTCAGAGTTCAGGAACCCTCTGGCCCCCCCAGTGCAGGAGGTGAGTTGCAGAAGCCCCTGGAGCCTAGCATGTGGAGAGCAAGAGGGATTGGGTACAACTGCCTGGCCATCCATCCATGAGCCGAGGATCCTCAGCACTGCTTCCCCCTTTGCCTTTGTTTTGGGAAACTTGCTGTGCAGGTGTTGTGTATCTGTCAGGTAACATAGGAGTCAGTTTCTGGTTAGTAATGTGGCACTGGCATACTCATTCCCATCTACATAGTCTACTTTGGCTGTAATGGGCATCCTTGGAGTTAACACTGAGTTAAGCTTGGTGGGAAAGCACCAGTCTTTCTTGTACTGACAGACTCCTGTTCTGGGCCTGGGGGTTTCCCACAAATGGAGGACACAAAGGCAATCTCACATCTACCCAGCCTGGGTTCTATGTTCCGGGAGGGACTCCTGTCCTTTTTCCTGTTGCATTCAGTGGCCACAGTACTCTGGAGTCACTGGGCACTGAAGTCTCCTCATCCAGGAGGACTAGTGATGGGCCAACCTGGGTCAGCATCTACCCAGTGACCTGGGGCAGGCAAGTTGGGGATAGGTCTGTCAGTGCCTTCTTCAAGTGTAGGGGATGAATTTGCTGTTGGTGGCTTCCATTGGGCCACAGGATGTCACTTTTCACAGCTTCCTGTCAAGACAGTTACAGGGAAGCTCTAGGCTTTGTCCCTGCCTTCCACTGAGAGCCTAGACTCAGACAAGGCCAAATGATAGGATTAAGTGTAGAAACAGGTTGGATATTTATCTTACCAAGCAAAGTATTTATCTTACTAAGTGCCAGATCTACTGGGCAAGACTCATCTTAAAATCAAACACTTTTCTTTCTCAAGTTGTATATGAAAATAAGATCCTGGTTTTTCAGCTCATTTATATGCTGAGTGTGACAGAGTTCTAAATGTCATCTTTTATAGAGCTTTTGGTTTCCAGGAACCATGCCAGGTCCTGCCAGCTGAATAAGACAACATTTTGCATCTGCACCCTTCTGAGAAGCATGGGGGAAGGGCTGGCGATTCTCCCATCTTAGTAAAGCTTCCCAGTGGTCTGCATAGTGGGATGATTTCCAGGCTAAGCAGCAGCCCCTAGTGTTATTGGGGGCTAGATGGAGCCAGATTAGTTCTTCCAGGCCCCAAGGACATGTGGTCTAGTGTTTATAAAGTCCCTTGTTTTCTTTATTGTGGTACTGGGAATTGAATTCATGGCCTCACACGTGCAAGGTAAACTGAGGTATATCCCATCCTTTTGTTTTGTTTTGTTTGCTATTTTATTTGTTGTTTAAGATAGATAAGGTAGTTCAGGATGATCTTGAACTCATTGTGTAGCTCAGGCTGCTCTCAAATTCATGGCTAGCCTCCTGAGTTCTTGAATTACATGTTTGTGCCACTATGCTGGACCTTTTTGTTTATTTGAAATAGGTTTTTGTTATGCAGCTCAGGCTGGGCTCAAACTTTTAATCTCCCTGTACCAACCTCCTAGAATGTTGGGATTATAGGTATATGCCACCATGCCTGGCTAAATTTTTTTTGAGACAAAGTCTTGCTAAATTGCCCAGGTTGACCTAAAGCTTGTGATCCTCCTGCCTCACTCTCCTGAGCAGCTTAGATTTCAGGTGTACACCAAGGTGCCCAGATCCATCCATCCTTCCTTCCTTCCTTTCTTTCTTTCTTTTTTTTTCTTTCTTTCTTTTTTTCTTTCTTTCTTTCTTTCTTTCTTTCTTTCTTTCTTTCTTTTCTCGAGACATGATTTTGCTATGCAGTGTAGGCTGGATTTGAACTCACTTTGTAGCTCAGACTGGCCTTGAACTTGCAGTGATCCTGCCTCACCCTCCTGAGTGCTGGGATTATAGACATGCATCACCATGCCTGGCCTAGCTTTATTTAATTTCATGTTAAGATTAGTTATTTTGTAGTCTTTTAAATTTTGACCAGGGATAGTATGTATATATTCCACTCCTCTGCCCATTTAACCTAGCCCCCTACCAGGAGGTAACTGGTGAGCAGCTCCTTGTGGACCCTTCCAAAGATAACTCTGGTGCTCTCAGTACCCACCTTGTTTTCCATGTCTATGTCTGGGAGGTACTAGTCATTGGTACTAGGACTTCACCAGGTACAAGGTTCTGATGCCCGATCTCCTGACCCCGAAAAACAGAGCCTGGACTTGGGGTGCCTTATGAAGGGGAAGGGCATAGCTTCACCCCCAACCAAGGGATCCCCTTCCACAGTTTCTTTCTGGATTTCACCTGTGTGCCTAAGGGCAGATTTTCAGGTAAATTCAAGTTGCTGCTCACAGGGCAGCTGCTTACAGCTTCTTTGTGAACTGTGTATGGACTAGCCTGGCAGTGGACTAGAATCTGGGTCCAGCAACAGGCCCAGTGGGCCAAAGGGAAGAGAGGAGAGCATGGGCAACTTCAGGGCAAGTCAGCGTAGAGAAAGGACACAGGGACTTCTATATCCCAGGTTATACACCTCTATGAGAAGCCCACGTGTATATGATCTAGGAGCTTTTCTGGCCTTACAGAGCCAGCTACTATCTGGAGGCTTCTTTTCTGAAGTAAGAGGCCTTCCTGCATACCACCAGAGACTACTGGAACTGCCTAGGGTCATGGCTCTGTCATGTTCTGGGAAGAGTTTGGGACTGTGGTGGGAAGCCAGCCTCACCCACTGCCTCATGCTGCCTGCCTGCAGACACAGCTCATTCAGATGGTGGTATGGATGCTACAGCGCCGGCTCCTCATCCAGCTGCACACCTATGTCTGCCTGATGGCCTCACCTAGTGAAGAGGAGCCCCGCCCACGGGAGGATGATGTCCCCTTCACCACCCGGGTTGGCAGCCGGAGTCTCAGCACACCCAATGCCCTAAGCTTTGGCTCCCCAAGTAGGATCCTATTCCTTGCATTTCTCTGGCAGTTTGGGGGAAAAACTAGGGGTGGCAGCCAGAAAGCCTGATATGGGCACTGCTGGAGTGACAGGTGCCTTCACATAGCTACACATACCATGTGCTCACATATACATACCTGTCTGAATGTTCCCTGTGGAGACCTCTCTCCTTACCATGGTGTGTTTTTTTTTTTTATTTTTATTTTTATTTTTTTTATACTGGGGATCGAACTCACAACTTTGCACTTGCCAGGAAAGTGCTTAAACCATTGAGCTAAATCCCCAGCCTAGTGTGGTTTTTTTTGTTGTTGTTGTGTTTTTTTTGGATTTTTTTTAACCTTCCTGCCAATTATTGCATTCATCATGCGAGTTAGTACATGTACATAACCACCGTGGTTCTGACAAGGAAGCAGCTCAGCTCCTAGGCTATTCAACAGGGACCTGTTGGAATCAGGAGCAGCCTATAGCTCACCATATCCCTACTGTCCCAGCCTGAGGTCAGTGCAAGATTACCATGAGGACAACTAGAATCTCTGTGACTGAGGGTCCATAAGAAGATCTGTAGTAAGAGGCTTTCCTGCCTAGCACCATAGACTCAATTGGAGCTGTCTAGGGTTATAGCTAGCTCTCTAACTGTCCTGCTCACTCATAGGGGGAGCTGTTGTGTTCATGGTATACCCCTAAAGGCAGCAGCCTGTTGCCAGGTCCTAGGCATGGACAAGACAAGAGGCAGGAAGGTTTTCGAAGTGCACCTCTAGCTACAGGCTTCATGTGAGCACCTTGCAAGATGTTTGTCTTCTGTGTATGAGGGAGGAGGATTCCACATGGCTGTTCATTAAGGGCTCCTGAGGCTTTATCCCTGGTCAGCCACTAGAGGGCATGTGACACACCCAAAGGATGGGGCGTGTCAGGGTAGGAACATGGTACAGCTAGGGCTCCAGGAAGCGCCCTGTGGCACTGTTCTGGGGGGCTGGCTATTGGCTCTACCCTTATTAGTGCTCCCCTTGCATTTTGGAGTCTACCCTGACCTGTGTCTACTCATAGCCAGCAGCGATGACATGACCCTCACTAGCCCCAGCATGGACAACTCCAGTGCAGAGCTGCTCCCTAGTGGGGACTCACCACTAAATAAGAGGATGACAGAGAACCTGCTGGCCAGCCTTTCGGAGCATGAGCGGGCAGCCATCCTCAGTGTGCCTGCAGCCCAGAACCCTGAGGACCTCCGCATGTTTGCCAGGTGGGGGCTAATTCTAGAATCAGCAAAAAGTAAAAGGGGGCATACTCAACAGGACCATATGTGCAAATACACTTAACTACAGCTGGTAGTCACAGGGTAAAAAGGTATCTAGCATACTCTGTTGTGCCTTCCTAGTACCTATTTGTGCAGGGGCAGGCACTACAACTCACCTGTGTGGGAACTGTGGGCTGTTGTCAGGATCCTAGGCCACAGGCCTGGTTTTCCCAACTTTAGGAGTTTCCCCAGCACTTGTAGACATTTATTATCACTAGTTGAGAGGCAGCAGTGAGTTCTTACTCACATGAGATTTGGCAGGGGTTTACCCAGGATTTTTATCATGGGGTGGGTATCCAGGATCCCTGCATCAAAGTGGCCTGATACTCTGTCACCCCCACCTTGATTTCGGGGCCACTGGGTATATGGATATCTGGGAGAGGTGAGGTGGTCAGCATTCACTTCAGACCCTTGAGAGAACCATCTGTACTTCTAAGCTACTTGCCCAGGCCTCCTTTGTGCCAGCCTCAGCTGCAGACCCCCACTGGAGCAGTGAATGGACTTGGTGCCACAATAGCATGGAAAAAGGAAGCCATCTGTCAGTCTCTCTCCCAACACTGGGGTAGAGGCCTGGCTGGTTCTGGGTTTGAACAGCTGTGCCTCCTTATAGACTCATTTTAGGGCTACCACTGGTAGGGGCAATGGTGGGGGTGGTGTCCAACATGCTGTTAGAGGCTTCTGGAGGCTAACCATAGGTTAGGTTCAGGCCGCCCTCTCTCCTCAGGCTCCTTCACTACTTCCGAGGCCGCCACCACCTGGAAGAGATCATGTACAACGAGAACACTCGACGCTCTCAGCTGCTCATGCTCTTTGACAAGTTCCGCAGTGTGTTGGTGGTGACCACCCATGAGGACCCCGTCATTGCTGTCTTCCAGGCACTGCTCACATGAGCCCAGGAAGGAGATGCAGAAGCTGCTGGAGTGTGTGGGAGAGCATTAGCCTCTCCTACCCCAGGCCTCCCTCCCTGCCAGGGCTCGGCCTTCTTATCTCTGAGGCATGGCACAGGTAGAAGGCCAGCAGGGCTGTAAGTGCCTCCATGTGGTTTAGCAGTAGCTGTGGGGCCACCACTCTGCTCATAATCCCTCCTTTGGCTCTTCCAGCAGTCTTTGTATCACTGAGCTGTAGGGGGACTTCCAGGACTCTTGGTGATGTGAGTTCTTTCAAATGTTCATGGGTTTCTTTCCTTCTTTCCAGCCCCACCCATGTTTTCCTGTCCCCGCCCTATGGGCCACCCTGAGAAATGTACAAAAACACTTGTTTGATCCACTCCTGCCCCTCTGCTAGCCTTTAGCATATGAGGTCTGAGTGCCTGTCTAGTCCTACATGGCTGCTTCACCCATCAGTGCCACTGTTCACTATGTGCTTCATTCCTCTCAGCTTGCCATAAATCTGGCCTGGTCCTTATACATATGTCACCAGCAGGCCTAACTAAACTATTACCTGACCATTTGAGGACCAAAGTTAGGCCCACCTGGGCAGTTGCAGCTCATGGCAGGTGGTAGTTGAACTTTTGGTGAGAGGTATGCATTCTGTGTTTCGGGGTCCACACACACAAGGCCCCTAGATCTCCCATCCTAGAGGAATAAACAGCCCACACACATTCTGATTATCTAGGGAGCTCTGATGAACACATGAACAATAGTTTGTAGAAAAAATGAATTTTATTTGGCTTTTAAACAAACAATTAAAAAGCCTGTCTAAGCAGGCTTTTTGCTCAGGCCTGTGTGTTCTGCTCAGCACCTTTATCCACCACACTTACCCAGGGATTGCCCCTGATATAGAAACGCAAGGGTTTCTGGGCCCATTCTCCTGCACGGCCAATGCCGATGCGGGCTGCTGTCACCACAGCTGGTGCACTGGACTCCAGGGAGCCATGTTCCAGCCAGATGGCCTCATCCTGGGCCAGGTCCCGCTGATCAAAGCTCTTGTCAATGGCCAGGGCCTGGCACAGCTTGGAGGGGCCACTGCAGAGCTCACGGTCCTTGAGAGCACGGCTGATGGTGCCCTTTCGGAGGGTACTACGAAGCTGCCGCATAGTCTCCAGGCCCCCTAGAGGCTCTAGTGCTCGAAGCAAGACACAAGCCCCATCCCCTGTTGGACAGATAAGCAGTTTAGAAGCAGAACCTCCCCAGTTCCCCATATGCCCTGCTCAGGTACACACCCAGGGTTGCAAGGGTGGCTGCCATCCTGAGTAGGTTCTGCCTACACCTGCACACCCTGCCTTCTGGTTATGCTATGATGGGGTGAGTGCACTCACAGTCCAGCCCCTCTACCTGCCTCCCTTACACATTCCGGCATCCACAAGGCAACTATGCTTTTTGTGGGTATCTCTGGAGTCAGCCCTCTTAAGAGTAAGGTCACTCTTGATAATGGAACCTGGCTGCACAGGATGCTGGGAAAGCCCTATCTGGTGACTTAATGGAAAGACTAATAATACCCTCTACAAGCGTGACAGGAGGTGCATACAAAGCTCTTCTCTCTTGGTCTCCTACAGTCCAGGCTGCCCATACCAGTCCAGGCTACTTTGGGAGCCTATGAAGAAGATGGAGATGGGGGCTGGGGGTTTAGCTCAGTGGCATAAGTGCCTGTCTTGCAAGCAGGCAGTCGTGAGTTCGATCCCTGGTACTGATAAAAAGGAAAAAGGCCAAAAAAAAAAAAAAGATGGAGATGTCCAGTTCCCATGCCCTGTCTTAAGAATGCCCTTATGATTCCTAGTCATAGACAGTGATCTCCTAGACCCTGGCCAGAGCAGCACTGATCCTTAGAAGGCTGCTGTCCTGGGAGCCAGAGGCTCAGTGAGTAGCCATCCTAGCCTCCATTCTTGGGCCATGGCCACATGGACCTCTTTTTAGCTCTACCTTCCAAATCAGCACCCAGGGCCAATCCAGAGTAGATAAAACCATGCCATCCAGCACAGCCTGTAGTTGGAAAGTCTGCTGTGTCCTTGTGAGCAGATAGCATTTAACCAGCCAGTTTTCAAAGAAATTCAAGATGTAATCAAGGCTGGGAAAGCCTAGCAGTTCCAGTCCCTCTGATTCCCATTCTGCTCTTAGCTTGTCAGCTGAAGTTCCCTGTTCGCTATGTAGCTCAGATTGCCCTTGAACTCACTATGTAGCCCAGGCTGGCTTTGAATACATAGTGATCCTTGCCTCAGCCTCCCAAGTGCTGGGGTTATAGGTGTGTACCACTATGCTGGGCTCCTACCATCTTTTGATATCCAGTCACCTAGAGTTTTGCTCAACATCTGTTCTACGCCAGCCATTGGGCCAGTCCTGCTGTCTTTGAGTCCTCTAGCCCTTGAGGCTCTTGCACTAGATTCCCCCAGCTGTCTGCTTTGAACTTGTTCAACAAATGTGTGACCCTGCAACATGCCAGACTGTGAGCTTCTCACTGGCCTTTTCTGGCATTTACTCATCTGGGACCAGGTATGAAGAGCCCAGATGCTGGGACTGGCAAGGAAATGTGAGGCATCATATGGTACCTCCTAGTCGACAGTGGCTTTGGCAGGATAATACTCTGAACTCAGGTGCTGGCCTGCCTCCTGCTCTGACACAGATCACTCAAGCAGGGCTACAACAATGACCAATAACAAGTTCTCCCAGGATCACCAGAACAGCATCTCTGCTAACAACTAGCATCTCTGCTACTGACTTTCAGGATTCTCTGGTGGGTACCACCTTGTGCATTGTAGGGAAGTTAGCATTTCTGGCCTCTACCCACTAGATGCCAATAGTACCCCTTAGCTATGATGACCAAAAAATGTCCCTAGACGTTGCCTGATGTCACCCAAGAGGCTAAATTGCCTCTGGCTGAGAATTCACCCAGACTTCCAACAGGCTAATGGGAACAGCTCCTACATGAGCCTGGCTCACCCCAAACTAAAGTCACCTTCATTTTTTTTTTTTTTTTTGGTACCAGGGATCGAACTCATGACTACGCACTTGCAAGGCAGGCACCTATGCTGCTGAGCTAAATCCCCGGCCAGTCACCTTCATTTTTGCAGGACTATGTTCTTTGAAATCTAGTCCAGTGCTCTGACATAAGCTCTGAGCTCTGGGAAGAGTAGTGGCTCATGGAACATGTATGCTTTACCTTCAGATCTGCCATACAGCCTGCTCTGTCGGGGTCCAGCCCCTTTAACCTTGCCATCATTGCAGCTAGAGCTCCTAGTAATGGCAGCTCCTTGCTTAAATGCCAGCTCATCCATCCTCCTAGGGCCTGTCAGTTGATGGGGCTCTGCCAGTCCTGTTCCCTCCCGCCCAGCACCACTAACCTTGGCTAGAGACATTCATGCAGAAGTACATGCCATAGATGAGGTACACATATAGGGTCCCAGGCTTCATGAACATGCTGCGATTGCGGGGGGTCTGCCGGCCTCCCCTTGAATGGGCGGCTTCATCCTCAGGTCCCAAGTATGCCTCAGTCTCCACAATGCAACCACGGAGCTCTGTGCCATCACCAAGTTGCCGGACAAGGACCTGTGGGCAGTCAGTCTGCTCAGGGCCAGAAGGGATAGGGCTCCATACAACCTGACAGTCTCCACTGAACCTGCTTTCCCCAGCTCAGGATGTGCCAAATCTTTCCATCTTGCTCCTCAATACCTGAATGCCATGGAAGCCACCAGCCCTGCTTGTCCATCAGTCTGTAAGCCCTGTTCACTGAAAGCCCTGCCAAGTTGGAGCCACCTTAAGCTCTAGCTAGGACTTGGTTCATTAAGGATACACTGTGAAGGTATACACTGTGAAGGAACCTTCAGTTCCTCTCAGTTGCTTCACCTCATTTCCCAGTTTCCCTTAAGAGAACCATAAATGTCTAGTATGACAACAGACGGTGTACAAGGCACTAAGAGTGTCCCCACATAGCCTTTTACGATGTTCCTGAGCCTGTGGAGTGTCTCAACCTGGCCTAATCCAGTAGCCAGTCTTTCACATTCAGCTCCTGCCCACAAGCTCTTAAGATATTCTGAGCAGTGGGACAAGCTATCCTGCAATACACCAACCTGGATCACAGAATGGCCAACATCTCATTCCAGTTCCAATGCAGCTCCAGGCCTGACTAAACCAAAGTCCATAGTGAAGCTTCAGGGACCAGCCACATCCAAAGCACATGACCATTCCTTACATCAGTTGGACAGTCAAGCCACCATTGCCTCTGCCCAGGTAACCCAATGGTGCCTTGAAGGTCAGTATCACAGGACAGGAAAGAGGGATGAAGGTCAATGCCTGTCCAGGAAGCCCAGAAATTTCTGCAGGCATTCAGAGCATTGAAGAGAGGAGTGAACACTTTGGGCTTCACTAGACTACTCCAGGAGAGAAAGGATGGCCCTATCCCATCTTTGTAGGTGCTCAGAAGGAGCCTTTCTCCAGTGGCTTCACTCTGCAGGCTTCCACACTCCAGAGGGACACACAGGGTGAAACACCCTCTTCTCTGCTAGACATCGTTTTGTTCAGCATAGGCTCAAGTAGGTACGGCAGGGGCCTAAGGGGAAACTAACACATTGAGGATTCTGAATAGAGACTAATGTGCTGTGGTTGCCACCCTTGGTCTCTTAATTCAGCCCTGGGTTGCACCTGCTCCATATGCTGTTTTTCATTGTGAAAATGCTCACTATCAAAAGTGTTTTAGAAGGACCCTGTGAACACTAAAAGCATCCTCATAGAGAATCTTGTCCCTTCTCTGCTAGGTTAAGGTCTGTTCCTTTTAGTACCTAATTCTTCACACAAGTTTTTCTTTTTTTGGCACAAATTTTTCTGTCAGTCATAGAAATTCTCATTGGCTATTTTAATCTAAAAATAGGCCTGTTAAAGGACAAACAGCCCAGGAGGTCTCTTAAGAGAACCAGAAAGCCAGGCCTGCAGAATAGGCATCCAAGAACAATACCCACTGGTATTCTGGATAGACTCAGCCAACAGTTGTGCACACATGGTGACAGGCTATTCTACAAACCACCCCAGGATGGGCCTTGGGTGGTCCGTGCGTCCCTTTCCATGTATGCCTCGAAGGGCCCAGACTCTGACTTATATTGACCCACAGGGGCCACTGAAAAGCATTGGCATTGGCATGAGCCACACAAAAAGAAAAGTGGATGTTCCAAGAGAATTCTGATGCTGGCAACCCAATGGTGGCCTCAGTCATGGTTCCTATGTTTCTAAAATTGTCACTAATGATAAAAGCAAGCCTGCAGGAGAACCATGTTAGGAGATGGGGTTGACAAAAGTGGTCCTTCAAAAATGCAAGAGCCAGGAGCTGGAGGTTTAGCTCAGTGGCATAAGCACCTGCCTTGCAAGCAGGCAGTTGTGGGTTTGATCCCCGGTACCAGCCAGGCATGGTGGCACAGGCCTATAATCCCAAAACTTGGGAGGCTGAGGCAGGAGGATTATTGCAAGTTTCAGACCAGCCTGGGTTACAAAGTGAGCTCAAGGCCAGCCTGAACTGCATAGTGAGACCTTGTCTCAAATAAATAGGGCCTGGGGATTTAGCTCAGCAGCATAAGCACCTGCCTTGCAAGCAGGTGGGTCATGAGTTTGATCCCTGGTACCGATAAAAACAAGCAAGAACCAATATTATTCACAGTCCTGGCAAATAACCTGCCCTAAGGGGAAAGTAGGTTGTCTCAGGTAAAACAAGGATAAAGTTTTGTTTTCCAGGTGAAGAAGGCTAGCAGTGCAGAATTCTTGTCACTGTTCAGAACAGGAGGCTGACAGTGGCTGCCCAGCCTCCATTGGAAAGAGTAGCACTAGCAATGTCATTCTTTCCAGGGACCCTAGTCTCTGAGATGAACTATCCAGGGACCAGTGTGGGCAAAACAGCCACTTGCATAGGGCTAAGTCATTGATGGTGAGATGGCTGGTTACATGATGCCTGCATGGCCTACACTGGCACTTTAGCCAGAGACCATATTGCTGCATGTACATTACCTGTCCCAGAAGTGCTCGGGCCAGGGAGACTGCTGGCTGATCAAAAAATTCGGACCCCAGCCGGGCAGAATGGTCCTTTGGGCTCTGACAGAAATAGATGCTGCGCTGGGAGCCTAGGGTTAAAGGTGGTCCCAAGCGAGGCTTCTTGAAGGAAGGCTTATGGGCTGTGTCTGTAGGGCTCTGCTGCTGTTCCGCCTCTGCCAATTTCTTTTTTTGCCCCATCCTTTGAGAAAGCTGTAATGGGAAAAAACCAAATTAAGTATTTGTGTAGGAGGGTATAGATAGTTGTGTGGTGAATCAGGCTCAGGGACTTTCAGGAGCAGATGAGGCTAGGCACAATAGCACATGCCTATAATCCCAGCCATGCTGGAGGCTGAAGCAAGAGGATTGGAAGTTCAAGGGCAGCCTAGGCAACTTAATGAGTCAAAAATATTTAAAAAGAGCCAGCCATGGTAGCACACAGCTGTAATGCCAGCACTCAAGCCTGAGACATCAAGATTTCAAGGCCAGCTTGGGCTACATAGCTCAAGGCTGGTCTGAACTACAAGGTAAAACCCTGTCTCAGGAAAAAAAGGTGTTTTTTTTTTTAATCGGTACTGGGGATCAAACTTGAACTCCTGACCACGTGCTTGCAAGGCAGGTGCTTATGCCGCTGAGCTAAATCTCCAGCCTGTAAAAAAAAGTTTTAAAAGGGCTGGAAATATAAAGCTAGGCATGTGGTGTACACCTGTAATCCCAGCACTCAGGAGGCTGAGGCAGGGGGATTGTTTTAAGTTCAGCCAGCTTGATCTCCATTGTGCGACCCATGTCAGAAAACAAAATAGGGATGAATATAGCTCAGTACTCAAGTTCAATCCCTAGTACTGAAAGGAAAAAAAAAAAAAAAATGAAGAGAGATGTGACTGCTGTTTCTTCGTCGGCAAACTAGGGGTACCCATCTCGTGTTGTTATGAGGTAAAACAGAATGTCACACCTGACGTCCCACCTCAGGAGCCCTCAGGAAATGGTCACAGGTGATGAAAGGCTGTTGGTGGAAGCAGTGTGGTTATTCTGTCCCACATGCCCTGCACACATGGGAAATGCTCAGCTTGGGAGCTCGGGCTGTAGGACCTGGGGAATGGCTTAGCAGGCCTGGAACACACAGGTGGGTGAGCATGGGCTTACCATCTGCCCAGCCCCATCCCAAGTTTTCAGGCATGACCCCTGCAGGTCCCTAGTAAGTGCCTACTGCCTCATTGCCCAGCATATCAGAATAAGGAGCCAGTAAGACAAAAGATCTGAGGAGGTTCTCCAAAGGCTAGGGAAATCTGATCACACATCTTCAGTTGCTGAAGGGCCAACGGGAAGGCAGAGACAAAGGGCACCAGTGAGTGGCACGGCCTCTCCAGGGTTAGTCCTCGGCAGTAAACAAGAGAAACCCATTATTTTTAACATCTGTGCTGCCGTCCAAGTTGGACCAAGATCGCCAGTCCGCCGGGAATGGACGCTGACGTTACCGTCTCTGCGGCCTGGCCCACTCTGCCAGCTCGCCGCGGGCTCAGACTGCACGGCCCAGATCTCACCGGGTTTGGCCCCTGGTCGGCCCCACCACGTCAGGTCAACTCAAAGGCTACTCTGCCTGGATGCTCTTTGAGCAGTGGGCTCCTCCGAAAAACTGAAGCCCCGTGGGGGCTGGCGGGCGCAGTCACGGTCGCAGTCATTGGTTTCCGCAGGCTCCTGCCTCGCGCCAGGAGGGAGCAGCTAGCCGCCAGCTGCCGCCACCTCCGCACTAACTCACCTGAGACTCGCAGCGCTCCTGCAACCCGCCGCCCGGAAGCGCCTTTCGGGGGCGGTGCCGGCGCCTGCGCAGTGATAGAGGGGTGGGGTCAGGCCGCTGGGTTCCTCCTTCACATCAAGGACTCCTCCTCTCCGCCTCCCAGGCTCAGTGGACTGCGAACAAGTCAGAGCAGCGGAAGCGGCTACCCTGACGTCGCCCCAGGGTCCCACCTGACAGCCGCAGAGCCCATTCATCCCCAGTGAACCAAGCGCCAGGCGCCTGGCCTGGCCGCTCGGGGGCCTCAGTCCGGAAGACCTGCCTTGGGAAGGCCTGAGCCTCCGCCGTGCGGAGGCTGACAGCAGAGAGCGCGCCGGGCTGACAGACAGGCAACAGCCAAACCCTCGCGTTTGCCGACATTGGGCGCCGAGTGGAGAGGGCAGGAAGTGGACATCTGGCCTATTCGGAGGCCCTGCCACTTGGCGGGGGTAGGAAGGAAAGAGGGAACAGCGCGGGGCTTTTGCCACCGCAGTGGAGTCTCCAACCCTCCTGCCGCCCAGAGATACGGAGAACTCACCCGCGACCTGAGTTGGGTGGCGTCTAAGCTGGCCAGCCTCCTCAAAGAGCTGAGGCCAGGACTAGGGCTGTGGGGACCTGTGAACATTTGCCTGGCTGGATGGCAGCTGCCCTAAACTCTGATGACTGGTCCCCAAAACCCAGCGCCTGCTGCCTGCCCTACCTGTAACCTCCAAATCAGCTCCATTCTCCCAGGGAGGGCCGAGGCATCTGGAGAATGCAGTGCCTGACCCAAGAGAAGGAAGGACCGAAGGAGAAGGCCCCAAAGGCCACCTCCTTTCCACTTTGCCAGGCTAGGGCTGTCTGGGTCCACAAGGCCTTCTAGAGTGTAATCACAACCCACAACCCACCCCCATCCTGTGCGAACCCTTAAGGGTGTTATCTTAAACAGTTTTTCATTGCTGGGATCTTGATCCTGGAAAGTACCTTATAGGTCTCAGAGAGCAGTTAGGTGCCCCACGAGAAGTGCTGGATAGTACAGTGACAGCCTATGAGTCTGTGACTGTCATACAGGGACATCATATCATAGGTAAAGTCAGCAGGAAAGACTCTGGTCTCTACTTGCCTCTCTTCTGACCAGCTGGGGCCCAACCAACCTTCCTGGGGAGGGAGGGGTGGCCTCTGCCCGCTGTCCACTGCCTGCTGCCCGCTGCCTGCTGCCTGCTGCCTGCTGCTTGGAGGGAGGGGCAATTGATGCCTGTTGCCTGCTGGAAGCCACCCAGCTATTTGTGGCACTGTGTACTGCTTCCGGGGTTTCCGGGGCTTTAAGGGGGGACAGTGAATCATAAATCCCTACTAATGAGGCAGGCCTGGATGTAACTCCCACCCCCTTCCTCTCTTATCCCCTGCAGCCATTCTGCCCAAACAATGACTCCCCTTTCCTGTGGGAAAAGTTCCCCCTCCTCTTCCCTCAAAATCTAGGAGAGAAAGTGAGGCGGCATTTGGACTCTTATGTCCTTGATGAGGTCAGGGGGAGAGCAAGTATTTCGGAAATGGTGGGTGTTCTGGAGGGCTTTCCTATCTGGAGGGCTTACCTTTTGGAGGAACAAGGAGAGGCTCATTTCATTCAGTGGGCTGCCTGGCCCTGCCCCAGGAAGATGAGGTAGGGCTGGCGCCAACATCCCACTTCTCCAGATGTTTTGGCCTCAGTGAAGGGCTTGTGCAATCTCTGCTCCCCTCCCCCTTTCCTGGTCTGTGGTGTAAGGTCTCACTGTAGGCCAGCCCAGTCGGAAGCCGTGGGATGGACTTTTCCCCTGTGGTCTGCAATGCAAGATGGCAGGCTGGCCAGGGGTGGGAGGAGGTGGTTCCAGGAGAAAAAAGGGTCTTCTGGGCTTCTGTTGTCCTCAGTGTGCCCTGATACTGGGCTGAGGAGGATTGTTGGGAAAGTAAGGATGTTAGTGAGAGGTGGAGATGAGGATGCTGAGGCTACAGAAGGCTTCAAGACTGGTTAGCCCTGGGTTGAGCAGCTCTGTAGACCCCCGCCCACAGGCTAGACAAAGGCCAGAACTGCATCCTGCAGTGGGGAGTGTGGCTCTCAGTCCTTGGCTCTAGAGGCCACAGAGACCAGATTCCATATTAGCTTCGCTGTTTGCAGGGGCTCAATGCACTGACTTGGTCTTCTCTCCACTTGGGGTGGACTGACAGCTGCTGAAATAGGAGTGACCAGAGCCAGTGGGGCTCCTATGCTACATGAGTACCCTTCCAGCAGCTTCTCACCAGGCCTCTGTGCTCCTCTGTATTTGGTAGACCCTGAGGATGGTGGTGGTTCCTAGAGCAAGGAAGGCAGCCACTGTCCTGTGTGTGTGTGTGTGTGTGTGTGTGTGTGTGTATGTGTGTATGTGTGTATGTGTGTATGTGTGTGTGTAGTGGGGACCTGTATCCTCCCTTCTGGGGATTATGCTGCCAATTTTGCTGTTCTTTAGGCCCAGAAGCTTTTGGGTTTTTTGATACTGGGGAATCGAACTTACAGCCTCATACTTGCCAGGCAAGCGCTTGTGCCTCTAAGCTAAATCCCCAGCCCAGAAGCTTTTGGACTCCTTTGCCAAGCCCTGGGCCATGAGGAGGGGTCAGCTGACTTAGAAATAGCTATGACTTCAGCATAAACCAGCCTGGCCCACTTCTGCTTCCTCTCCAAATAGTCAGGGACTGGTTCTGCTCCCCAGGCAGGAGCAGTTTCTTCTTATGTCTTTAAGGCCCTGCAAAATCCAGGGGCTAATTCCCTAGGGTAATTACCTGTAGCCTGGAACCTGAGCTGAGAATTCCAAGGTAGCTGTCAGGACTTCTCTTACTGGTCAGGGCTCCACCCCATCATGTCCTGGAGTAGACCTGGGGTAGACAGGACATTTTCATCCTCAGACACCTATATACCAGCTCCAGGTATGCTAAGCAATTGAATCTGATTCTCACTTTTTCAGGGCAAGTGAAAGAGAGCTGGGGGCTGTATTCCACAGAAGGGCTCCACAGAATGTAGGACAGTAGAGCAGACATGAGGCCATGTGGACTTGGTATAGGCCTGGTATAGGCTTGGTATAGGGGGACTTGGTATAGGCCTGAATACAAATATGTCTGCCCTCTGCTTACACTGTCCTTCTCAGGAGGCCAGGATAGGCTAAGCCTAAGGATTCATAGACACAGACACTGGGATGGGAATCTACCTGCAAGTAGCCATACTGGTGAGGGGCACAAGAGTAGGTTTGCCAGAAGATATGTTTTAGATCCCCCCTAGCTTGGGAGCCAAGAGAGCCCTAAAGGTATGAACACAGAGGGAAGCTGTCTACTTGGATGTGAACACCTTCTCTGGAGGATTCTCTTCTATTAGAGGGGACTCCTAGGTCAATATGTCTCCTGGCTGCTGTAGGTGAATCTCTGGATCGAGGAGTGAATCTGGGTGGTGTCCTATAGTGTCCACTGCAGAAGGGAACCTGCAGATACCAGATGCCTAGCCATGGCACAGTTTGGGGACAAAGTCAAGCATGCTAGGTATGGAGACTGTTTGGTCCCTGGGTCTGGCAAAGAAAGGGTGTGTGTGTGTGTGTGTGTGTGTGTGTGTGTGTGTGTGGGCTTTAGGAGCCCTGAACATCTGCACCTTTTGGGCAGCTTCCCTTTTGCTTCTGTCCCTGATGCCCCAGCAGTAGTCATCACAGTGAAGGAATTTACTCTATCTTGTTCCAAGCTTCTAGGGTCTCCCTCCATATGAGAATTGTGTTGTTGCTGCTTGTGTCCACGCCATCCTGTCCTGTGGTATGGTTGAAAATACAGACAGGGGCTGGGGATTTAGCTCAGCAGCATAAGCACTTGCCTTACAAGCAGGCAGTCATGAGTTCGATCCCCAGTACCGATTAAAAAAAAAAAAAAAAGAAAGAAAGAAAATACAGACAGAGGAGCATTGCCCAGGCTCTTGGTCCTACCACTATGTTCACTTTTATTTTCTTTTTTGGTACCAGGTATTGAACTCATGACCTCATGCTTGCCAGGCGGATATTATGCTGCTGAGCTATATTGTTTGGTCCACTATGTGCACTTTTAGTTCAAGTTGTGAACTTTTTTTATTCTTTTTTTCTTTTTTTTTTTTTGCCGGGGATTGAACTCACAACCTTGTGCTTGCCAGGCAGGCACTTAGGTCACTGAGCTAAATCCCCGAGGTGAACTTTATTTTCAAGACATGGTCTGTAATCAGGCACTGGATGCTGCTTGCTGACTTTTTGTGTTAGTAACTCAATTCCAAGGATTGATACTACCTGGTCTCTGAGAATGTGGTTTGGGGGCAGTGGCCTTGTAACCAGTGTAGATCCACCAGATTCCCTACAGGGCTGCCTCTCATTGCACAGGCTGATGGAGGGCCACGGAGCTGGATGAGGAGAGCTGCCCAGCACCCGAGGAGCTGTAGACCCTCTGAGGCCTGAGCAGCTGATGAGAAGACCCCCTAGTGGTTCTTATCTCCACCCCTATGACAACTGGTGGACAGCCCTGCCTGTACCCGATGTCTGTACCTATTGTCAGGGGAGAAGATGCTAGAAAATTCCTAAAAGCAGCCTCAGCTGAAAGTAGATGGGCCATTTGTATCCAACTCAGCAGAGATGAGCCTCCCAACGCGGTACTGGTGGGGACACTGAGCCATAGGAACAAGCCAACAAGCCCAGTGGACACAAGGAACAGTGCTGCCACTCTGCTTGGTGAGCTCAGGAGGACTGTGCAGCCTGGGGAGTAGGGGTAGGGAGTCTAGGGAAGGGGTAACTGCTTTGATGTAAATGTATCAGTGTGTAAACACATTAATGAGTGTCTACAAGTGTAAAAGTACAATTGGCATGAATGTACCCAAGAAGATGTATACCCAAACCTGTAGTGGTGCACTCCTGTAATCCCAGCACTTGGGAGTCTGAGGCAGGAGGATTATTGCAAGCTTGAAACCAGCCTGGGCTACAAAGTGAGCCCAAACTCCCTGCCCAAAAGAAAGTGCGTGTGCAAGTAGGTGGGTGAGTCTGTGTAAACAGTGTGAGCATGTGAGTGTGCAAGCAAATGATTATGTGTATGTAAGGTGAGCAGAGCGGGGGACTTGGTAAGAGTAGGATAAATGGTTTGTTACACTTGGCCTTTTTTTGTCGGTCTTGGGGATTGGACCCCAGACTGGGTGTGTGCTAGGTAAGTGCTCTACTACTAAACCATATGCCCAGGCCGGGGCTCACTCTATGAGGTTTTGTTTTCACAGCTACTGGGGAATTGAACCCAGGCACTCTGCACTGAGTTATGTCCCCAGTCCTTTACTATTTTGAAACGGTCTCAGTAAGTTGCTAAATTGCTCAGGCAGGGTTCAGATTTGTGATCCTCCTGCTTCAGCTTCCCAGACTGTAGGAATTACAGGTCTGGGTTACCATGCCTGAGTGTGGACTAGTTTTTAGGAGTTCTGGGTTTCTTCTCCCTCTCAGCTCAGGCACAGTTGAGGCAGGACGAGGTCGGGACTCGGTCTGGAGCTGGGGAGAAGCTGAGGAGCCAGGACCAAAGCTGACCACTAGGTTCCCCCAGGTCAGTCCAAACCGGGCCACAGGTGTCTCGCAAGCGGAACCAGGGAAGAGCAAGGCCAGCGGCCTTCCCGGAGGAGGCGCCGCGGCGGGCGGCGCACATTCCTGAGCCCTGAGTCAGGCGGCCGCCCCTCCTGCCGGGCCCGCCCCCGGCGCACGCCCCTCGCCCCTTGGCATTCCCGGGCGGGCGGGCGGCGGCTCGGCCTGGGCGCCCTCCCGGCCAGCGGCGGCAGCTCCTGTGGACGTCCAGGACCCCCTGCTCGGCGGCGGCGGCGGTGAGTGGCGGTCGGGCGCGGGGCTCCGGGCCGTGCGGTTCGGGAGCTCCCACCGCCGAGCGCGGCCGTGCGCCCTTCTCCCAGCCGGGCCAGGTCCTGATTCGGATCCGGTTCCGGATCCGGATCCAGGCATGAACCCACTCTGGACGCCGGACTTCCCTTCGCGGAGTTTCCCGGGGCGCCCGCCCTGGCGGCCCAGCCCGGATTCCAGACTCTGCGCACCGCAAAAATAGCCTGTGGCCAGATTAACAAGTCCCGGCGGCCTGACCGCGGACGGCCCAGCTCTGGAGGGTCCGGAGCCCCAGGGCTCCGAGTCCGGCGGCCCAGCCTTCCGCGCGGCCTCTCTGCTCCTTCCTACCCGGCCACCCTGCAGGAGGTGTGCTCAACTCCAGCCCCAAGGGAGGGCGGGATGGCCCGGGTCCCTACGTGCGGCGTCCTCGCGGAGATGGAGTAACAGCAGCAGCTGTGGGCTGGGGGCCCGACCCTCCCCTCCCTGGCGCCCGTGCGGTCCGTAAACACTGAAAGTGCGGGCGGACTGCGAGCTACTTCCAAAGACAGAGACCCCACCCTGCCTGGGGGCCAGGAGGGCTGGTTGGGGCTGAGCCTGGGGCCACTGCCTGTTGCCTTGAAGCAGCGCCCCTCCCCTGGGGGTGCTGGGGCTGGTGACAGCGGACCCGAAGTGCTCAGGGATGGTGGTAGGCCCGCTGCCTGTCTTGCCCGGTGGGGAATGGGCAGGGGTTCCCCCTTCCAAGGCCTGCCCTTAAATCCAGATGGTCCTGTGCATGGAAACTCCCCCCCCTCCCACTTCCTGTTGGAGCCTGGAGAAGATTCTAGGATGAAACTGGCTTTTCAGGTTTAGCCCAGCTAGAAGCCCGGGCAGTCCCGGGCTGGGTTCTCCCCACCTCCAAGGAACCAGCCCCAGTCCCAGCCCCAGCCCCAGCCCTAGCCCCTTAGTCCCCACCCTAAGGTTAGGAGGAGGTTGGGATCAGCAGCTGACTGTGGCTCAAGGGGTTCCTGAGGCTGAGCCCCTGCTGCCAATGTAATTCTGGGTCTTTTCCCTGCCAATAGGGCAGGGGCAAGTGTGTTGGCTCAGTGTAGAGGCACTAGTCCTCAGGCCCCTTCCCAGGCGCTGCTCCATGCAGCCTCGGTGGGCTGGGCTGCCTCCCACTGCACGTGCTGATGAGGGGTGTGGAGTTAAATGGAGGATACTGCCCACCCCACCACTTGAGCTGACCCTTCTGGGGACTCTGGATTTAAGGGCATCTTACCCTTTAGGGGCTAGCAAGGGTTTTGTATCTTTGCTGCTGTGGCTGTAGCACAGGGCATCCCCAGTTGTTCCTGTGGGCTTTCAGCCCCCTCTTGGAGTATAAAACCTTACTCACATGGGCTCCAGTTCCCCATCTCAGTGCCTGAGACAGGAGAGACTTTCTGCCTCAGAACCTGACCCCTTGGCTTCTTTCTGCTTGTTTTCTGGGTTGGCTTTGTTGAGGGGTTATGGTGTACCTTCCTCTACTGAGATGTCCCTGGTGTGGCCCAGAGGGACCTGACAGCTCTCTACTGCCCCAGGGCTAAGCTCTGCTGCAGTATCCCAGGGCAACTCCCTTGGAGGCTCTGTGACCTTAGATAGTGACCTGTCTGAGCCTTAGTTTTCTTCTCTACAAGGTATACACAAAAGACCCTCCCTGAGGTGGTGGCAGATAGATAGGGTTATTCCAGATCAGGTATCATGCTAGGGGTTCCAGTCTCCTGATGACAGAAGACATTTTACTGAATTAGTTTCCCCTCCAGGAGATTATGCACTTTTATCCCGCTTCTGGGGCCCTGGGAGCAGCTGCCAGTTACCGAGCACTAGAGTGCATATGTGCGCAGTCAGTCAGAAGCACTTCTGGGAACGCTGGTTGGTGACCAGGCTGCTCATTTTTCTTTTGCCCAGGTGTTGGGCCCTGCCCCCCGTCAGTTAGCACTTCAACTCTTCAGACCTGGCTGGATCCCAGACTGGAACCAGAAGTGTCCAGTTTTTCAGGCAGATCACATATGATCTAGTACAGCTAAGTCTTTGCTGGCGCCCACCTGTCAGACTGGGTAGTCTAAACAGGTCCTGTGTTCTGTGCTTTGGGGCCTCTTTTACCCCAGGTGTATCTGTCATGTCAGTCCCAGTCAGTTCAGAGACTTTGACTGTGGCCATCAGTGATTCCTGGCCACTTGTGCTGGCTGAATGGAGAGGGAGGGAGCACTCCCTAGGACTGGCCCCTTTTTGTGTACCTTCCTCTCAGTTAGGTCTCCACCTACACTGTCACCAGGAATTCCTGCCTCTTTCCGGGCCTGGGGCCACTTTCTTGGTAGACTGCCTGTAGCAGGAAGCCCCTCAGCATGCCTGTCTTGCATGGTGGCAAATGATGGGTGATTTAAGAAGGTAGTGTGTTATCCTGGCAATAAGGGGAGTGTGCTGTGCAGGTCAGTGATTTGGTCACAGGCTTGTCCTTCTCCACATTGAAACTTGTTTATTCTACAGAAAAGTGGAGGGGTCACTGAGAGTCAGAAAGCATCTTGTAGTTTGCAAAAGGCCCAGTGCATATTCTCAACATGATGCCATTTGCAGATGAAGCAGAGAAGCACAGAGAGGCCAGGCAACTCTCTCTCTGCCACACATAGTGTTGTCACTAGCCACTGTCTGGCAAGGAGCCATATATCTTGGTAAAAAGGAAAAAAGGATTAATTCAAAGTTTGTCGGAGGAGATGGAGGGACCCTTTTGCTTCAAATCATGATCTCACTGTGTACAGGTGGGTAAGGGCCCTTTGTAGTGAGGAACAGAAGGGAGGAGGAGTGCAGAGAGATCTTCCCACTGCTTTGTTAATTCCTGCCATCTTCAGCAGGAGAGGGAAGAGATAACGCAGATTCCACACTTGCTTATCACCTCCAGCCATCTTTGATTCATTCCTGTTGTGGAAAGAAACCTGGGCTCTGGCCTCCTGCGGGTACTGCTTATCCTGTCACTTCTTTCAGGCTGAGGGCTTGGTCCGTGGGAGAAAGTATGGAGAAGTTGCTTATCTCTTAAAAAAAGATAATCAAACTTTTAAAGTTCCATTTCACAATGCTGGGTTATAGCATGTGGTGGAGGAATGGGATCTGGGCTGCAGGTAGGGGTGAGGGAGGAATCCCCTTTCCCAAGAGATTCACTGGGGCCTGGCATCAGAATAGGGATCAAAGAGGAGGCAGAGTCCAAGGTGCAAGGGGAAGTGCAGGAGAAACCAGCTCTTCTGGGGCTGGGTGTGGGTGAGCTAAGTGGATTCCAGACTGGGCCCTGTTCTCCAGCTGACCCACTCCAGCTGGTAGTGGGTGATTCCCTTGAAGAGAGCATGGCCTGGGCTTGGTTCTGGTTCTGGGGCTGTTCTGTTCTGCCTCCAGTTACCTGTGAATGTGTCCAGATGGTTGCTGCTCACTCCTGAGCATGTGCTTTCATGCTGGCCATGGTCACCTTGTCCATAGCACCTTCCCAAAGTCAGCAAAACAAAAGGGGGCAATCCTTCTGGTTTCTCCATGGCTGGCCCTCTCAAGCTGTCAGCTCTCCCCTACAGCTTTGTCTGTTCTCTTCTTACTCCTGCAGGCTGCATCAGCCTTTCTGCTGTTGATTCAACTGCCCCTTACTGAGCATCTACTGTGTGCCAGGCCCTACCATGACCCATGATTTTCGGATGGGAGCACTGGTGATTGTTCAGGGTTGTAGGTGGTGTGTAGTGCCCTGGCCTCGGCTTTCCCATGTTTCGGTTCTTCCTGCACCCATGCTTGGGCTACTGTGGAGGACGCCCAGTTATTCTATAGCAGAGACCTATGTCAGCAGGACTCTTCTGTCCCCACCTAGTCTCTGCCTACACAGCTGCAGATAGCCACTCCAGCCCTCCATATCAGTCTCCATGGGCAGCTAGAGTGGACTTCAGTATGCACACCCGCTGTGGCTCCCTAGCCCTCCTTGATCCTCAGCTGCACCCCAGACTTGGCCTGTTCTTGTGGTGCCCATTAGGCCACTGTTCTGTGACCTGACTTGACTCAGTTGCGCCATTAGCATTGATCCTCAGTACTTCCCACTTTGTTCCAGAAGCCAGTTTGGGCGTCTCCTGATGTTGCTGAGTGACTCATGCTGTGACCCTGGGCAGTCAGGCCCTCGTGGGCTGCAGTTCCCCCCTTACTGAGGGGCCAACAGAGAGGAGAGTCCCTGGGGTCTGTCTGGGAACAAGAGCCCACTGTGTGCCTGGGGGAGGCTGCACATTGAGCCACTGTGGGCTGGCAGTGTGTGCTTCTTGGCCTGGACTTCATCTGGCCTGGGCCTGTTCCTCCCCCATGCTTTGTAAATCCCATTCACTTGAGGCCCAGATGAGGAACCAGGCACATGGCAGGACACAGCACCAAGGACCGGATGGGTGTCTTCTCCCCACCTGCCAGACCTAGAGCTATGTGGGTTCTCTTGTACCCTACTGCCGCTACCCCAGGAGACTGGATATTCAGGCAGGGGTGGGGCCTGTCTGACTGGAGCAGCTCTGCTTTGTCCCGAAGCCTGCTGCTGGCGGCATCAGGGGCTGTGCACACTGGCACAACAACCCTGTCTCCTCTCAGCTTGTGCTGTCCCCACTCTTGCTTGCTCATGCCAGTCAGCTCGTCCTGTATGACCCACCTGAGGGCTCATCTCCTTCAGGAGTCTGTCATTCCCCAGATCCTGGTGACAGGCCCCGCTAGCCTGAACTTTACAGGCCCCAGTGTTTACCCAGTGGTAGTTCTAGAGCCAGCCCCTCCTGGGTACTGTGGGCCTGCAGTGGCAAGATAGAGGACCACATGTGTGTGAATGTGTTCCATGTAGCCTTTGCCTTGCTACATGGATGGAGTGAGGCATCCAGGCCAGGGGTGTCAGGTGGAGGTAGGAAGGCAGAAAAGAGAGCCCCCTCATCCACGCTGAAGTTGGAGGTCCTGAAACACACCCAAGGTTGGGCAGAATGAATGTACGGGGCCCTGAATGGGAGGGAGCCAAAATTTAGGACAGGCTCTGGGGGCAGTGAGTGGGGGCAACCGGAGCATCATGAGTACATGTGTGAATCACTTGGCAAAGGTTATTGCCGGGTGTGGTGGCTCACGGTATAATCCCAGTACTTGGAAGGCTAAGTGAGGAGGATAGCCAATAATTTGAGGCCAGTCTGGTTTATATAGTGAGTTCAAGGCTAGCTCTACCTATATAGCAAAACTGTATCTCAAAAAAAAAAAATAAGTAAGAAAAAGAAAAATGTCACTTGCCCTCTTGGTAAGGTACCAGCTGGATGCTACATAGGCATAGTAGGGCAAGTTCCTGAAGAGGCCAGCTCATGGCACATTATAGATTCCCCCAGTCCCAGCCCCACCCCCGCCTCCACTTTTAGCTGTGCTCCTCTCTGGGCTCCATACACAGTCTCACTAGCAACATGGAATTTTCCTGGAGGCAAGTTCAAGTAGTAAAGGCATGTGGCTGTTGGGTGGCAGGGCCAGTGTGGCCCCTCAGAATGAACTGAAGACAGTTAGCTTTCCCTGCCTGAAATACTAGGGTGTTTATCTTGTCTGGTGTCTAGCTTCTTACCCGTTTGACCCCCTGGGACTCAACATAGCCTTGGGGAGCAGACCATTTAGGTCCTTGCCTACAGGTTCAACCTGTCTGGCTGAAAGGATGCATCACAGCTCTGCAGGTTGAGGGTTCCCCACCCTGAGGCCATCCTACCTTCCAATACACCTGATACTGTCTCAGATTCTGCCATTGATGTTTGAGGCTCAGATGGCCAGGTGACCTTACTACAACCTATGTGATCCATGAAGCGGGTTCCAGGTGGAACCAGGTGACACATGACCTCCATGTTTGGGCTGGACTAGTTCAGATCTGGAGAAACCTTGCCTCGTCTGTTTCCCAATAGGATGTGTTCATTTCAGCCACTGTCATTCTCCCCCTGAACACTGAGGCTCAGAATGGACAGGGGGCCCAACAGTGTGGAGACAAAGGCTGCCCTCATCTCACGTTACTGACATGAGGCCAGATGAAGGCAGAGGAGAGGAACTCAACCTTTAGAAAGACCCCTGAGCAGCAGGTTTAGGCAGCCCATCCACGCTCTGGATCATAGCTGCTACCTGGGACCCAAAGCTTGGAGAAGGGGTTGGAATGTGAGGGTGAGAGGCAGGAGTTGGCACCCCTGAAGGACTCTTCCCCTGTCTCTTCTGTAGTGGTTAGTGTAGGGCAGCAATTGCTGTGAGCATTGTTCTAGGACTGCCTCTGGTTGATATGAAACCATTAGGAGTTGTGGTCATCAGTAGTGTCAGTCTTTTCCCAGTCAGTATAAGGCCCATAGGAGCTACATGCACTATTTTGGTTGTTTGCTGGTTGATAAAGAAGCTCTGAGCAGCATCCTGGGCCTTTTCCTAGGTTACAACTCTGAATGTGTGACCTTGAGCAAGGTAAGCCTCTGTTCTCTAGGCCTCAGTCTCCCTATTTATCCAGTGTGGGTGGGGCATCTCTGTCCCAAGCAACTGAGAGGGAAACTCCTAAGTGAGGCCATTTCTGAAGGCACGGCGTGGGGGTGGGGGGTTTTCAATGCTGCTGCTCAGATCCTGTTGGAGCTGCACTTTTTGAGGTAGTTGAGGAATTTTGGATTTTCTGCCCTTCAAGTATTACTTCAGGAAGCCCCACTCTCATCTGTGTTCTTGTTGTGCTCAAGGAACCTTCTTGGGTGTCCACCTTCCAAATCCTGTGGCCCTTAGGGAAAGGTGTACAGATCTGCAGTGGCTGCTATTTGCAAGGGGGAAAAAGAGTTCTCAGGAGGCCAGGACTTCCCTCAGAATCATGACAAGGCAGTGATAGCCCAGATTGAATTCTGGATGCTCTATGCTGGATCCTTTCCAGTGCCATCCTGGCAGATACTTTGTTTCAGACGCTCAGATGCTACAAGGTATGCAGCACCTGCCAGTATCCAGCTTCTCACTCCCCTTTCTAGGCATAAGACGCCACCTGGTGGCCATCAAGGTTTCTGCTCCCATGTGGTTTTCCTTTGCCCAAAGGGAGACTGTCCCAAGTGTTGCTCTGCCATCCTGAAAGGCTATTTCTTTCTCGGACAGTGGCAACTCCTGTGTGCAATGACCTGGCCACACACCCTGTACAGGCTGTTGTATTTTTAGTGGGCCTTTGCCTGTGGAGTGGAAGTCATGGTGATTAGGACAGTGAGGTCTGTTGTCAGATAGGCTGGAGTTGGCATTCATGCAGACCTTGCATATGCTGGCCCTGGGTGTGCATGCCCCACAGTCTGGTTGTGCTCTGTCCTCCCACCTTTCAGACTTTGTTTGGCTGTCATATCACAGGGAGATTTCACTGCCCATGCCAAACAGCTGCAGTTTGCTGTTATTTTTCATGCTTAGCATCTTTTTTATTTTTTTGAGACAGGGTCTTGGTGTGTAGTCCAGGCTGGCCTTGAACTCACTGTGTAGCTCATTCTGGCCTCAAACCTGAGGCAATCCTCCTGCCTCAGCCTCCTGAATACTGGGGTTACAGGCATGTGCCACTGTGCTTGGCCATACTTAGCATCTTTTAATGCAGATTTAATGAGCTGTTTCATTTATTTATAGGATTATTGTTATTTAGAATCTGAGCCCCAGGAGGGCAGAGATTTTTGGGGAGGAAGGGTCTTGCTGTATAGCCCAGGCTGGCCTTTAACTGGTAGCAATCCTCCTGCCTCAACCTCCTGAGTGCTAGGGTTACAGATGTGCATGCCTGATGGGGAAGGCAGGGTTTTTCACATGCTTCTCTGGGGATTTTCTCGCTCATAGTAGGTGCGCCCAGTGTTGTCCCAAGGATTCATCTTGTCTGAGGATCTGTCTGTGAGGAGGAATAAGGCAAGCACAGAGCATGTCAGTGTAAGGCACATGGCAGTGGTCTGACACAACAGCTGTGAGCACCACTGTTGGGTTTATCGCTGCTTCATTGGTCTGCATAGAGTCTTCAGGGATCTGTCACCATTGTCATTATTGAATGGTGCCTCACATCCCCAGGCCTGCCGTACTCTACCTGGAACCATGAATGAGGCCCGCAGGGACAGTACAAGCAGTCTGCAGCGCAAGAAGCCACCCTGGTTAAAGCTGGACATCCCAGCTGTGGTGCCCCCAGCAGCAGAGGAACCTGGCTTCCTGCAGGTAGGACCCTGGCCAGCAGGGGCGGTAAGTGTGCCCCATGCAGTGCCTTACCATGACCCTATTGTCTAGCCCTTAAGACGCCAGGCTTTCCTGCGAAGTGTGAGCATGCCAGCTGAAACAGCCCACGTGCCTTCACCCTACCATGAGTCCCGGCGGCCTGTGCTGCAGCGACAGACGTCCATCACACAGACTATCCGCAGGTACTGCATTGCCCTGGTTATTCTGCAGGATGGGACAAAAGCTTGTGCAGGGGGCAGGGAGAGGCATCAAACAGGTCCCCTTTTGGGTATTGGAGTTGGGAATGGGGCAGGGGCCCCTTTTATTTCAGGTCACTCTTATATCTGGGTCTCCATACTACCCTGGCCTCCTATTTTGGGCCCTGACTGCTCTCACTTCACCCTTCTTTTTGTCTCCCCCCACTCTAACACTCTGGCCCCTCACAGCCGACAGGTACACTTTGGGCAGGTTCATACTCTGCCCCTCCCAGGTCCCCGGGCTGCCCGCAGGGCCTCCCCACAGCGCCAGTCTCTCTCTTGGTCCCTGCTCAGGTACCACAGGCAGGTCATGAGTGTGTTGGTGTTTTTTAGTGTGTGCATGTCTTGTGTCCTTTTGGAGCTGCCATAGTGGTTGGCATTTCCTGGGGTCCACTCAGGGCAGGTGCTGGCAATGTTCCTCTGCATGTCCTAGGGTTGTGGTATGTGCCTGCCTCTGTGGCACTTGAGTTCTATAGTGTCCTGGGTTGCAGGCATGGCCTGGAGCCAGGCTCTCCCTCCAACTCTGGGGTAGGGTGGGGACCTAAGTGTGGCCTGCCTGGGTGAGGCCTGAATCTGTGCTCCAGTGGGAACTGGAGTTGGTTTACTATATTGGGAGGCTGGAGCTGAAATCCACTTGTCCTCGTAATTAGATTGTACCAATCCAGATCCCAGCCGCTGGAGGCCTGGACAAAGCATGCTGGCTGGGAGGTTGCTCTAGGAGACCTCTGCCTTGAGAGGTATCCACATCTACCCCATACTGAGTCCCTTCCATGTCAGGGGGACAGCTGATTGGTTCGGAGTAAGCAAAGACAGTGACAGTACCCAGAAGTGGCAACGCAAAAGCATCCGTCACTGCAGCCAGCGATATGGGAAACTGAAGCCTCAGGTCATCCGGGAACTGGATCTACCCAGCCAGGACAATGTGTCTCTGACCAGTACTGAGACACCACCTCCACTCTATGTGGGGCCGTGCCAGCTGGGCATGCAGAAGGTGCGCTGCTCTTGCTGTTGTTGGCTCGCAGAGCCTTCTGGGATGGGACTGGGAACATGAACCAGAGCAGAGGACTCTCCTCAAGGGCTCACGTTTGGGAAGGCAGTCAGATACTCCAGGAAGGCACCTAAGATAATCTGAGAAGAGGGACCATGGTGACGGGGGAGGCTGAGTCCTGATATTGCCCTTGGGCCATCTTTTAGATAGGAGATCCTCCTGATGGAGAGGGAACCCTGTAGATGCTATGGGTTGGGGTGACGCCAATGTAGTTGTCCAGGGCCTGCAAAGAAGGAGAAGGCAGCTTCTAAATTCCCTGTGAAGCATTTATGGGTCTGGCTGGGCTAGGGGCTTCTATGGCACATTCCCAGCCCTGACTAGCATCTCCTTGCCTCTGCCAGATCATAGACCCTCTTGCCCGAGGCCGGGCCTTCCGCATGGCAGATGACACTGCTGATGGCCTGAGTGCTCCGCACACTCCTGTCACGCCAGGTGCTGCCTCCCTCTGCTCCTTCTCTAGCTCCCGCTCAGGTTTTAATCGGCTCCCTCGGAGACGCAAGCGTGAGTCTGTGGCCAAGATGAGCTTCCGGGCAGCTGCAGCACTAGTGAAGGTGGGTGTGGGGGCCATGGGTGAGGGTGGGGCCAAGTCAGCTGCCAGATCCCAAGATTATCTCCTTGCTGGTAGGGTCGCTCTATTAAGGATGGCACATTGCGCCGGGTACAGCGCCGAAGCTTTACTCCTGCTAGCTTCCTGGAGGAGGACACGGTGGACTTCCCTGATGAGCTGGACACATCCTTCTTTGCCCGGGTAAGAAGAGCCTGAGGCATCACCCCTTCTCCTCTATCTCTGTATCTATCCTGACCTCACATGTTTGCTCAGGAAGGTATCCTCCACGAGGAGCTGTCCACGTACCCGGATGAGGTGTTTGAGTCCCCATCAGAGGCAGCGCTCAAGGACTGGGAGAAAGCTGCTGAGCAGCCTGACCTCACGGGTGGAGCGCTGGACCGCAGCGAGCTAGAGCGAAGCCACTTGATGCTGTGAGTGCAGCAGGCAGGCGAGGGGTCAACAGGGAGGAACTTTGCATTACTAGGAGCTGTTGATCCTTAGGGAATGATGCTCTGGCATTTGCCACAGAACAAATTTCCCAGTGGACTGGGAATCCAGGGCTAGTCTCTACTGCATTTTGTGAAATGCCAAAGCCCATGGTGGACCACTCCAGCAGGGAGGAGGAACATGACTTGGTCTTTATGGCTGAGGTATAGAACCTCCTGTGGGTCTCAGAAAGGTTGCCACATTGCTCTTTTATTGGTAAGGAAGAGGCCTGCCCCATGTTGACAGCTGAGGCCGGACAGAGACTGAGCAGTGTTCTGCTCCTAGGGGCAGACCATAGGGATGGGGGGCAGTGGTAAACATATTGGCTCCCCATAGGCCTCTGGAGCGTGGCTGGCGGAAGCAAAAGGAGGGCGGCACAGGGGCCCCACAGCCCAAGGTACGGCTTCGACAGGAGGTGGTGACCCCCTCGGGACCACGAAGAGGCCAACGCATCGCTGTGCCCGTTCGGAAGCTCTTTGCCCGAGAGAAGCGGCCATATGGGCTGGGCATGGTGGGGCGCCTCACCAACCGCACCTACCGCAAGCGCATCGACAGCTATGTCAAGCGCCAAATCGAGGACATGGATGACCACAGGTGGGCGCCAGGCTGGGGCTGGGACACAGCCTTCTGGGCGAGGGCTCAAATGGGCAGAGGATGCGCTTGCTAACGCTCCGCCCTGCAGGCCCTTCTTCACCTACTGGCTCACCTTCGTGCACTCACTCGTCACCATTCTAGCCGTGTGCATCTATGGCATCGCGCCCGTGGGCTTCTCCCAGCATGAGACCGTGGACTCGGTGAGCTCTTACCCACTTCCGGGCCCAGCTGAGTGGCTCTGGGCCCTGGACCCCATCAGGCCACGCTCTGGGAGGAAGAGGCCTTCTTGGCCTGGTTTAATCCTGGCGTGTCTCCAGGTGTTGAGGAATCGTGGCGTTTACGAGAATGTCAAGTACGTGCAGCAGGAGAACTTCTGGATCGGCCCCAGCTCGGTGAGGGCGGGGGCTGAGGGTGGGGCCCGGCCAGTTAGGTTGCAGGGGCCGGGGCCCCAGCTGCTGTCTCCTTCTCCACAGGAGGCCCTCATTCACCTGGGTGCCAAGTTCTCACCCTGCATGCGCCAGGACCCGCAGGTGCACAGCTTCATCAGTGCTGCCCGTGAACGAGAGAAGCATTCTGCCTGCTGCGTGCGCAATGATCAGTCAGGCTGTGTGCAGACCTCAGAGGAGGAGTGCTCGGTGTGTCTGCACAGCTCCTGCCCTTGGCTTTCATTGTTCCCAGACTTTACCCTGCCTTGCATTCATTCATTCCCTCACTTACTCACTCATAGCATCTCATTATGTAGTGCAGGCTGGCCTTGAATTTGAGGCAATCCCCGTCTCAGCCTCCTGAATGCTAGTATTATAGACATGCGTCACCATGTTTGGCTACCCTGGCTTTTCGCGTCATACCTGCCACATTAGGCCACAGTAGGCCTTGTCTGTGGCTGACATGACTTTTATCACTCCTGCCCTCTTCTCTACTATTTCCTTTAGATGATTGTCTTTTTGATTTGGTGTTGGTTTGGCATCTGTCTTGTCTGTGTTCATGCCTTTTAAAGTTAACATAAAGTGGTACGGCCTTTTGATATTGCATCTGATACGGAAGTGTATAGTTCATGTTTCCTGATTTAGTACACAGAGGCTGCTTTTAAACTAAGAGGAATTATGCTGTTGAACTCCTTGTAACAGAATCTCTTGACTGTGAGTGCATTTTAGGAGTATAAACTCGGGTGAAGAGGTAGAGTTAGAGGAGGAGCTCCATGTCTTTGCTTTGACTCCTGACTTTGAGACCCCATACTGTTCTGACTGAACTGGGCAAGGGTAGGCCTCTGACCAATTCACCCTGTGTCCCTGCAGTCCACGCTGGCAGTGTGGGTGAAATGGCCCAGGCATCCCAGCGCCCCAGACCTTGCTGGTCAGAAGAGGCAATTCGGCTCTGTCTGCCATCAAGACCCCAGGTCAGTCCTGCTGGCTGTTCTCTTACCTGCCTTGCCCACATCTCCTTGAGGGGTTTAGGTGCTCCCCTTGTTGTTGCCTGGGTGGGAGGGCACCAGTGCCAAGGGATGGAGCAGGCTCTGACTGTGTACTCGGCTCATGCAGAGTGTGTGATGAGCCCTCTTCTGAGGATCCGCACGAGTGGCCAGAAGACATCACCAAGTGGCCGGTGAGAAAGAGTGGAGGGACTCTTGGGGAGTTCATGCTTGCCGTAAGGGGTAGGAGGCTACACCCTACCTTTTGTGTGTGTGTGTGGGTACTTGGAATTGCACTCAGGACCTTGTACTTCCAGGCAAGTGCTGCTCTACTGAGCTATATCCCTGGCCCCACTCCACTCATTGGTGATGCCAGAGACTCCCCTTGTGGGCCTATCCATTTTTAGATGCTGTATCCCTGGTCTTTGCCCAGTAAGGCCTGTCTCTCCTTGCAAATAGGGAGAGATCTAAGTAGAGATCTGGGAGGCCAGACGATATTCTTCCAGCTTGTCAGATGGCCCAGCTGAGGATGTAGGGTGTGGTAGTTCACTGAAGTTAAGGATGACCCATTTTCTACTATCACACTGCCCATCTCTGCCTCAGATCCCAAACTGGATGTGGGGCCAAGAACTGGGGGAGGCTGCGACTTAGCTCATCCCTATTTATGACCTAGATCTGCACCAAAAACACTGCTGGGAACCACACCAATCACCCTCACATGGACTGTGTCATAACAGGCCGGCCTTGCTGCATTGGCACCAAGGGCAGGTAGGTGTACAAATGCAGGTGTCTCTCGGCATACATCACTGTCCTAGACTGTACATTTTTAGCTTATGTAATGGTGCACACCTATGATCTTAGCTACGTGGGAGACCAAAGCAGGGTCATCAAAAGCTTGAGACCAGCCTTGGCAACCTGATTAAGAACTTGTCTCAAAATACAAAGTACTGGGGCTGGGGATTTAGCTCAGTGGCATAAGCGCCTGCCTTGCAAGCAGGCAGTCGTGAGTTCGATCCCTGGTACCGATAAAAAACGAAAAAGACCAAAAAAAAAAAAAAAAAAAAAAACCCAAAATACAAAGTACTGATAATTAGCTTAGTGGTAGACTGCTTGTCTAGCATGTGCAAGGCCCTGGTTTCATCTGGCAAAATCGAAACAACAAAGGGCTAGGGATATAGCTCAATGATAAAGTGTCTCTGGGTTTAACCCCCATTAGGCACCCAAAACAAAACACTAAGTCTTGAAATAACCCAAGATTTTTATAGGGTTTCCAGAGTGAGAAAGGGGCAACAAAGGTTAAGTGGGAGACGGGGCGGGTCAGAAATGTTGGCCTGGGTAGTACGAGCAGATGCCTCTATTCTTGGACCCAGTGCTCCCAATACAGGGTGTCACCCTGAAATCCTGGTCTGATCTTCCAGGTGTGAAATCACCTCCCGGGAATACTGTGACTTCATGAGAGGCTACTTCCATGAGGAAGCCACACTCTGCTCACAGGTAAGCTTTGAGGGAATGGCCCTTCCCTTGTTCCCAGTCTTTCAGGTACTGACTGGCTACTCTGCACAGGTGCATTGCATGGATGATGTGTGTGGTCTCCTGCCCTTTCTCAACCCTGAGGTGCCTGACCAGTTCTACCGCCTATGGCTGTCCCTCTTCCTGCACGCTGGGCAAGTGAAACTGGGCTGGGCAGGTGGTCTCAGGGACCCCAGGAGTGGTTGGCTGGTGGTGGTAAGCCATTATCCCTGCTGAGTGCTCCAACCTCACCCCCTACTGCCCACAGGATTCTGCACTGCCTGGTGTCCATCTGCTTCCAGATGACTGTTCTGCGTGACCTGGAAAAGCTGGCAGGCTGGCACCGCATAGCCATCATCTATCTGTTGAGTGGTGTCACTGGCAACCTGGCCAGTGCCATCTTCTTGCCATACAGGGCGGAGGTAAGGCTGCTTCTCTGGGTAGGGACCCTACATGCATGCCTGTGGCCCTGCATAAATTCTGTGTTGAACATGAGTGCCCAGCCTGGGACAATCTTCATTTGTTCTCAGTCCCAGTGTGCGCTGGGCTGAGGGAGGTGGGATGGGAAGATGGAACCATGCCTAGGGAGGCTGGGTTGGCCTGAAAAGCTCACAACCACTGTCACTGCCACTGCCCCTAGGTGGGCCCGGCTGGCTCACAGTTTGGCATCCTGGCCTGCCTCTTCGTGGAGCTCTTCCAGAGCTGGCAGATCCTGGCACGGCCCTGGCGTGCCTTCTTCAAGCTGTTGGCTGTGGTGCTCTTCCTCTTCGCCTTCGGACTGTTACCCTGGATCGACAACTTTGCCCACATCTCAGGCTTCATAAGTGGCCTCTTCCTCTCCTTTGCCTTCTTGCCCTACATCAGCTTTGGCAAGTTTGACCTGTATCGCAAACGCTGCCAAATCATCATCTTCCAGGCAGTTTTCCTGGGCCTGCTGGCTGGCCTGGTGATCCTCTTCTACTTCTATCCCGTCCGCTGTGAATGGTGCGAGTTCCTCACCTGCATCCCCTTCACTGACAAGTTCTGTGAGAAGTATGAACTGGATGCTCAGCTCCACTGAGCTGGCTGTGGTGCTGTCGGTTGTGACCACTCTTAGCCTCACAGGCATGCAGGACTCTTGCCTATCTATGTGGGGACATGCATTTTCTGAACACACACCTCTTGTGCCTTGTTCATTTTTGTTGAACCCTTTATATTGCTGGGCATTTATTACACTAATTCCCAAGATAACCTTCTAAATAGTTCCTTGACAACCACTGCATGTGGCCAATAAATGGACCGGGAGCGTTTTAGCTGCCACTAACTTGACTGGTGCTGTCTTCTTCCTAGTTTGTAGCTGGGGCAGTGGAGGGAGGCCCTGCAGGTGCTGGGTCCAGCCCCTACCTGTATCCCGGGACAACTGCAGCCACAGGCCCTTTTACCTCTCAAGAGAGGCCTGCAGCCAGGTGGGTACACCTTGCCCCCCCCTTTCTAGGAGGGACTGGTACACAGACCTGCTGCAATATTTCCCCATGCTCACAGTGGGAAGCAACCCACCTCCATCCCAAGCAGCTTCTATTTCCTCCCCATGCTGCCTTGCTTTCCAGTGAGCTGGGGAAGGTGTTGTTCTAGGGAGCCCTATGGGTGGAGGCTGGAGCCTAGGTGTACCTGTTCACACGCTCACTGCCAAAGCAGGCTCTGGGATACAGGCCCTTGTTTTTTCACAAATAGAAAATAGCTGCTTAGCTTTTATTTACAAATCCTTGCCATAGAGATCATGGTAACAGGCATGTAGTGTGCCCACAGGACTCAGGTGTGGTCTCTTGGACTTTGAAGATTCACCTGTGCCAGTTCTCTATCATAACCTTCCGTGTTAAGGGGCAAGTCCACACCCTCCTACACAGGTACTGTGGCTTGCTCACTTCAAAATATGAAACAAATAGGTTTATTTGTACACATAAGGATAAGGCCAGGCCTCCAGCCCTGTGCTCAGGGTTTTTAAGTCCATGACAAGGTTAGATCAAGTTCACAGGTAAGCAGACACAGAGGCTTGCACTGTCCTGGATCTAAGCTTAGGGGCCCAGGAGTCACGCTGAACACACTGACACTTCCTGCTGAGCATACTGGATATAGTCACCCCAACACCTTTCTTTCTTTCTTTTGGTCTTTTTGAGACAAGGTCTTGCTATATAGTTCAGGCTGGCCAGGAGCTTACTTTGTAGCCCAGGCTGGTCTTGAACTCACCATGATCCCCCTGCCTCACACTCCTGAGTGCTGAGATTACAGGTGTGTGTCACCACACCTGGCTCTGACTCCCTTTTTATGAGGACAGTGACTAGAAGGAATCCGTCTTGCTGGGGAAAGCTCAACCACCATGAATAAAGTTGTCCTTGATTGAGGTTCACTTTTGCCTTAGCTTTTTGATGAAGGACACCTCATCCCGGTTCCGGATACCATAACTGGAGGAAAAAAAAAAAGGGAAAGGTAATGTCTGATCTATAGAAGGACTGTGATTCCCCAAACTGTGGCTTATGAAGGACTAAGAAAGGACAAGTGAGGGTCAGTGTGGTATTAAGGGAAGCCAAGAGGTGGGGCGCTCATCCCCCAGGCAATAAAGTACCAGCAGGCAGTGTTTACATCATGTCTGCTCCCTTTTCCCTTCTCTCTGGCATTGTAAGAATCGGCAGGGGCCCTGGAGCTGCTCTACCTGCGAGCCCCATGGGAGCTCCTTGTGGGAGCCTTTTCATGCTGTCAAGGACATTCCTGCTGTACCCTTTAGCAGAGTAGGGGGCACTAGAGGGCAACAGACTACATGCTCCTATAGAGTTCAAGACATGGCCTGAACTTACTCTCGGAGCTTTTTCCTGTCCTCGGTGAGCTTCTCTCCCGCAGAGGTCAGATGGTATGTCCTCCACACATAAGACCTGCAAGAGGGAGACTCAAGTAAACCACATTCTACCTGAAGCAGGGGGAACTGAACTGGGGAATGAGGGGTTGAGGTACACAGGCCTATGTGGCCAAGGACAGCTGGGCTTTTCTCCTGTACAACATATGCATCAGGACTGAGGCAACTGCAAGGAGGTACTGTGGATGGTTGGGCTGGGCTGATCAGCTCAAAGGATATTTCCTAACTAAGGGCACCACTTCCAGGCATACTAATGGCCAAAGGTGCCTCCAAGTGAAGAATCCATCATGTAGGTGGGGTGATGCTGATGACTGAATTTAGAAACAACAGTGGAGGTAGGGGCCCTAGGCACACAACACCCTTAGCTCCATCTGCATGCTTCATGATCGTCATCATTGTAGCAGAGCCCTGGTGCTATGCACATGTAGAGCTGCTTCCCTCAGGAGCACCACACCAGCCCCAGGAAAGGGTGGAATGAAGGGGCCATTCCACTTACCAGCTGATGTGCTGAACGCCCCCTTCACGCTCCTGTTTGAGTTGCACATATCTCTGAATGGCCTTCTTCAGGTCTAGAACCGTGGCGTTCTGCACTACAACCACAGCTGCAACCACAAATGGACATAAATGGGAAAACACCCACGTGGGAATCCATGGCCATAGTTTCTGACAGCAGGAAAAGAATCCAGAACTTGTCTGGTTCTGCTCCGTTGGTCAGGGTGGGCTTGTGGTTGTCCCAGTAACCCTAGGGATGCACCCTGAGTTTCTCACTGATTAATTCTGGTAATACCTGTCCTCCTGCAAGGTCAGGGATAAAGAGAAGACAGCACTTACGCATTACTTCTCCATCCATCTTGCACACTCGGACTGTCATTGCTTGGCCATATTCTAGTGCTATCTGGGAGTTGACCTCTTCCAAAGTAACCTAGAAAAGACCAAAAGTTGAGGTGGGAACCTTGGCCCTCTCACTGAAAATGGCAAAGAAAAACAAGCTAATAATGGCCAAAAAATGATGCCTCATTTTCTGAAGGGTAAGAAGAATGAGCTGCCTACGTTAAGAGTTTTCTCAGTACCCCACCCAGTCTCGTCATCCTTCTTCCTTTACTTTTTGTGGTACTGATAGATTTGTTAGACAAGTGCTGTACCACTGAGCTACATCCCAGGCCTCCACATTTTTATACATAATATCCAGAGGGAATAGATTCTGGAAAGAGGGGCAAAGAAACAGGTGAGAATGAACCCACATAAGGATGGGACTGGAATGTTTGGGCTGACTCTCCCTCTGAATCTCTGATCATTGCCATCCAAGCCAGGCTTCTGACTTCGGGTAAGGCAGGTGTGTAAAATTCACCAGGCACCAAGAAGTAATGATTTTTAAAAAAGCTTCAATTAAAGCATTCAAGAAAGGGACTAGGGATTTAGCTCAGTGGCATAAGCACCTGCCTGGCAAGCGTGAGGTTGTGATCCCTGATTGGGGCGGGGGGAATTCAAGAAAGTAGAGTCGGGCGTGATGGTGCACGCCTGTAATCCCAACACTCAGGATGCTGAGGCAGGAGGATACTGAACTGCACAGCGAGACCCTGTCTCAAAAGGACCAATATAGGCCGGGGATTTAGCTCAGCCACATAAGCGCCTGCCTGGCAAGCTCGAGGTCGTGAGTTCGATCCCAGGCACAAACACCAACCAAACAAAAAACCCCACCCAAAGTAAATACGTAAATAAAACAACAACAAAAAGAAAAGAAAGTAGAGGCTAGGCAGGGGAATGTGTATGTTGGGGGAGAAGTCAGCCGACGACTGTAACCTCAATACTAGGGCGGCTCTGGGCCCCGCCCCGCTCCAAGGCACGCTTTGATAGAGCAGTACACGTACCTGGATCGGCAGGTCGCAGAGGAGAGGATCCTGCACCACCATGGCGAGACCCTCCTGGAACACGTCCACGGCCTCAGAGTGCGGCAGCGTCTCCTCTTCATCCTCGTCATCCGCCAGCACTTCCGGCCCACGCGAGGCCTCAGGGCCCTCCAGTGCCTCCAGTTTGAGACTCAGTTCTGCTAGAGCTTTGGAGCGCGCACGCGCAGACACTGAGCCCGCCCCAGCGAGACAACCCAGCCATTGGTGCGCCGAAGGGCGGTAGCAATGACCAATGAGATGCGAACCTACCTGCCGCAAGGCCTGTTGGGAGCGCGCGGACGGCGAAGGGGTTGGTGGAGTGGAATCTGTTAAGTGAGCTGACGTGGGACCCCTTGGAGTTCTAGCAATGTTACTCTTCTGCCCCGGGTGTGGAAACGGGCTGATCGTGGAGGAGGGGCAGCGCTGTCATCGCTTCGCCTGCAACACTTGCCCCTACGTGCACAACATCACCCGCAAGGTGGGACCTGAGGGTTCGCGCGGTTGCTGTCTCCAACGCCCCAAGTCAACCTCGATCCGCGCAGTCACCACTCATTCGGTGGCGGACGCTGGGCGCTCTGTTGTCGAACTCACCCGGAGTCCATCCCTTCCTCCCTTGGTGTTTTTCCCCTGGTTAGGCCGCGTCCACTCCCTGAATCACCGGGACTTCCCCTTCCTCCCAGCGCTCAGATGCTGGCTCCCTTAGCGGTATTCGTAATGTTAGAGCGTAGTCAGTCGGAACTGTGCTTGGAAACGTAGAGCAGTTCACCAAGACTTTCCGGGCCCGTTTCGCACGTTGCTTCTCGGATTTCAGCTCCACTGTGCTTCCTCTTACTCGTTTGTCCCAGCCTCAGTGACACTGGCCTGCCCGGAGGCTCTCCTTTCCATTGTGCACATGGTACCACTGGGGCTTAGCACATGTTATTTTCCTACCTATATAGCCACTTTGCTCATTGGTCTTGGCCTACTTAGATGATTGCCCTATTTAAAATTGTAGCCCCTCCTTCCAGTTTATTATTTTTCTTCCTTTTTAAAAATGAGGTTCATTACTTAACATATTTAGTAGTTTATGTACCTTGTTTATTAATATTCGGATATAAGCTTAGGAGAGCAGAGATTTCTTCTGTTTGTTTTCTTCTGTGTCCTAGACTCAACATCTGCAATGGAATCTAGAATATGATGTCTGTAGGTGTGTGAATGACGCACACTTGTATATATACCTTGTAATTTTCGCTTATAATCTAACTTTGCTTTTTAGAAGTTAGGATATATTGCTGTTCCCTCATTCCTAATGTTTTCATACTGCACCTTACAACTGTGTGGTTCTACAGTATGAAACTATGGGAAGATGGGCTTTTATGTCATCTTAAAATTTCAGGAATGGGGGTCGTGGTTTAACTCAGTGGCATAAGTGCCTGCCTTGCACTTAGGCAAGGTGGTTGTGAGTTCCATCCCTGGTACAAAAAAAAAAAAAAAAAAAAAAAAAAAAAATTCAGGAATATCTGTTAAAGTTTGAGAAAGACCTGCTTTGAAATTCTCTTCTTGGGAGTAGTGGCTGGGCCACCCAGCTAAGTGGTACTGATTGCCTTCCTTTGTCTTTGTTTCTTTCATCTTGGATTATCAAATGTCTTAGAGGCATGGGAGAAAAGCAGCTCACATCTAAACTGTTTTTCCATGTCCTCTGGTGCTTCCAATCTTTACAGAGGTGTTTGACAGCTGAACCTATTTCATCTTGTTGAAGAACATCCCATTGGAACCTCTATATTCCAATGATGTGTTGTTCTCTGAGAGCAGGAACTTTGTTCGTTTGGCATCTCTTTGCTTTTTGTGGAGAAAAGGAAGTTGAGGGGACATTTGGGGCCAGTTGTGATTTGGTGGTTTATGTTAGTACTCTTCACTGTCTTGGAGCCTGAAGGCTTGTCTTTGTTAGGTGACAAATCGGAAGTACCCAAAGCTGAAAGAAGTGGATGATGTACTTGGAGGATCAGCAGCCTGGGAGAATGTTGACTCTACTGCAGGTGAGAGGAAAGACCTTTTCCTTTGCCAAGCTGTGGATAACTGGTGCTGTTGACTACCATTTCTGCATGTTAGAGTCTGTGATCTATTTATATGTTGAGGGCTTCTAAAAATGGGAAATATATTTTTCATTATTTAAAATTTATTACACAAACATTATTGGTATAAACTTTGGAGTTAGATTCTCAGAGTAACCTCTTGTTATAGGCCCTTGGTTGTATCTCTTGAAATCTCTGCTAAAAGCTGGACATGGTTGTGCCCTTTTATGATCCAAGCACTGAGGGGATCCTCCTAACTCAGCCTTCCAAGTGCTGGGATTACAGATCTGTGCCTCCATGCCTGGCATATTTTAAGTCTTGATTAATATTTGATAGACATAGATGTGAAAGAGAAGGAAAGAGAGAGGTGCTTTATAACCTATTTTTTTTTTCACCCCTTTCAGTACCAGGGATTGAGCCCTGGGTCTTGTGTGTGCTATGCAAGTGGTCTGCTACTAAGCTACACTTGATTTTTCTCATTGCCAGAACCATGTCCCAAATGTGAGCATCCTCGTGCCTACTTCATGCAGCTTCAGACCCGCTCTGCAGATGAGCCGATGACCACCTTCTACAAGTGCTGCAATGCCCAGTGCGGACACCGCTGGAGGGATTAGGCTGTGGAGCTGCTTCAAGATCTGTTGGGAGTGTGAATTGTGTGTCCTTGGAGTCTTTACTGGTATAATGAGAAGCTGACCCTTTTGCAGGGAGATCCAGTATGTCAGAAAATGTAGCCCATCTGCCAATTAGAATGAGTGAAGTCATTAATGTTCAAGGAGTTTGTGTGTGGGGAAGAGACCTGAAAGGAATTACACTCAGTTTAAGGTCCCTTTTTTCTAATCTTCTACATTTACTGGGCAGTTGATATTTCTTTACCACCATCCAACAGTATGCACTGTTTGCACAATGTAGCTCATTAAATATTCCTAAATATTTAACTTAATCAAAATTTGTTCTGAGTATTTCATAATAAATTTATCTTTTTCATTTTCTTTTCTTTTCTTTTTTTTTTTTTTTGGTCTATTTGAGACGTCTCACTATGAAGTTCAGACTGTTCTTAAACTGGCCTCAATCTCACAAGGATCCTCCTGCCTTAGCCTCTCAAGTGCTGGGATTACAGATGTGAGCCACCACGCCTAGCAAAAAAATTAAGTTTAATACTGTTGTTTCATTGGTGTTTTAAGTGCTAGGGATAAAACCCAGAGATACTGGCACTGAGCCGTATAAACCCACCCTTTTTAAATTTTGAGACAGTGTCTCACCAAGTTGCCTAGGGAGGCTCAAACTTGTAGTCTTTCTGTGTTAGCCTCCCAGATGGCTAGGATTATAGAAGTGCCCACCATTCCTAGCTGTCATCACTCCTCTTGGGTTTTGGGACTTTTAGTAAAATAGGGATTGCTTGAAGACAAGCACAGGGACACCAAGACAGTTGATGTGGTAACTGAGATGGCCACTAGTGACAAATGGGTGAGAGTAAAATAATCTGACAGAGAGCATTCACATCCCAGGCCGGATGGAGGGGACACGGTGAGATTTCATCACAAACTCAAACAGTGTGCAATTTAAAACTTAATGAATTGTGCTGGATGTGGTGGCACATTCCTGTAACTCCAGCTACCTGGGAGGGTAAGACAGGAGAATCCCAAGTTCAAGCCTGGGCAATTTTGAGCCTGGGCAATTTTGAGAAAGCCTATCCCAAGATAAATAATAACAAGAAAAAAATTCATGGATTGTTTTATTTTGGGGATTTTCCATTTAATATTTTCAAAGCATGATTGATGATAATATTTTCCAAGCTGAAGTCTTGGAAAATGGAAGTAATAGTTGAAGACTACTGTATTTGCTTTTTAAACTGCTAAGAGTAAACTTTGAATATTCTCACCACAAAAAATGGTAAATATTTGAGTTGATGGATTTATTAAGTAACCTCATTTAATCATTCCATTTATAAATCATAACATCACCTTGTATTCCATAAATATATACAATTATACTTTGTCATGTTTTACTTAAACCATATTCTGACTGTGGACTGGTGGGAGGGCTCCTTGGTCCTTGTGTTCTTTTTCTTTTTTTAACTTTTTATCAGTATACATTTATAATACATTGCATTGGAGAGCTTGCATTCTTGATGAAAGATTTCAGTCAAGGCAGAAAAGTGTTATAAAAACAAAGAATTTACTGCAAAGTGAAAACAGCATGAGGCAAAAAGGCAGGCAAGAGCCAGGGTGGCTTTTGTACAGAATAGTAGTTTGGATTTCTCTTTCCAACTCCTGGGGCTTTGGGAGCTATGATGATCAACATTGTTTTAATGGTAACCACAGTTATGGATATTTTACCTTAGAAGTTACCTTGGAATGTCTTGTCTTTTACAGTTGCAAAATGTATTATCCTCTCCAGATAGTGTTTTCTTTGAAGTATACTATATTGTCCCAGGGTATTTTCATTTTTTGTTTGTTTTGAGACCCGGTCTTGCTGTGTAGCCCAGGCTGGCCTTTAATTCACAATGATCCTCTTGCCTCAGTCTCCTGAGTGCTGTGTTCCAGGGGATTTAATCATATTTTTAAAAGAAACCTGGATTAAAAAAATTTAATCTAAGTCACTTTAGTATAAACCACAGGTAGCTCTTGAAATGTTACTTTATACTTTTGTGTTATCAGTGGGCTTTGACTGAAGTAACTAGGAATGCTGAAGGTCTGGCTGCCCCGATGTAAGAGTCAAAGATGCTGAAATTTTGGCTGACCATGCAGCACATCTGTGTACACTTCTGATCTAAAGGTTTCATCATGCTGTGCAGGGATAATTTTGCTTTCAGACCTAATAGATGGTTATAAGTTATTATACCCTAAAGTCTTGATTTCTGATTCTTTATTTAGCTGTCATTAACAAAGCCTACTGTTTTGATTCCCTTTGTCCCTCAGGTTTTCTACTATCTAATTACATGTCTAATACAACCCTGTGCCATTTATAGGAAACTCACTTTAGATCTAAAGCCAAATACTGGATGAAAGTAAAAGAATGGGAAAGACATGCCCCGTAGTAGCCAGAAGAGAACAGAGGTGGCTGTGTAGAAATAACCCAGTTATAAGTGAATGATTTCACTAATACAAGGAACCTACAGTAGTGAAGTTCATAAAGATAGAAACTAAAAGGATGGATGCCAAGTATTTGATAAAAGAACAAGTATTTGTCAGGTTGGGTGACGGGATAATGGTGAACAGGTACGTAGTTTTAATTTTGCAACATGAGAAGGATTCTAGAGATGGATGGATGATGGTGATGGTTTCGCAGAAATATGTATGTACTTAATACTAATGGATGGTGCATTTAAAAGATGGTCAGGATGCTAAATTTTACGTTGTATTTTAGCACAACAGAAAATATTTATTAAAGGCAACTCTAGCCAGGGCCAGTGGCATATTTCCATAGTCCTGGATTTTTTGGAGACTGAGGCAGGAGGAGTGCAAGTTCAAGGCCAACTAGGGCAAATTTAGTGAGAGCTTGGCTCACAGTAAAATGAAAAGGCGAGTGGAGGTGCCAATGTAGATTAGTGCTTCCTCGGTTCAGTCCCCAGTACTGCAAATCAAACAGAACAAAAACCAAATGAAACGAAACAGAAAAAAGCCAAGACACCACCACAACCACTCCCTGCAACTGTTTGGATACTACAGTTTGAACTTCATATTATTTTCATGTATCTCACAATCATTAAAAAATTTCTTAGTGAAGCCGGGAATATAGCTCAGCATCACAGCACCTACCTGGCAAGTGTGAGTTCGTGAGTTCAGTCCCTAGTACCAAAAAAAAAAAATTCTTAGTGGGCCTGGGAGTGTAGCACAGTGATAGTGTTTGCCTAACATATGTGAGGCCCTGGGTTCAATTCTCAGGACTGCTAAAAAAAAAAGTACAAATCATTCTAAAGTCACTGATTTTAAAAATTGTGGTCTGGGTTTGATCTGTATAGTTTGCTGATCCCCTTGCACCTCAGAGCTGTGATAATTTTATGTAATTAAGCATATATAAAATCCTTATGTATCTGTCATTGTGCTGTTGTGTGTGTGTAGTTCAGGCTGGCCTTAAATTCACTGTGTGGCCTGGTCTGACCTTGAACTCAAAGCAATCCCTGTCTCAGCTTCCCAAGTGCTGGGATTACATGCATGCACATACGCTTGGCTTCTGGTGATTTTCTGTAGGTATGTGGTATCTTAGTGCTCTTTGGTGGTTTCTCACGTGTGGATATTGTCTGTTTCTCTCTTTTTCTTTTTTTGTCTCCCCATCCACCTGCACACACTTTTTAAAAGTATAGTACTGGAGATTGAAGCCGGTGAGCACTGCGAAACATTTTCAGCATCTTTCTCCCTCTTGTTTAAGCTTTAAAATAAGGTTTTGATGAGATGTACAAGTGGCTGAGAACCTGCCATGCTGCTCTAGCCTATCAAGTAGCTAGGACTGGGGGCTTGTGCCGCCCTGGCTGAATGTTGTTTTTCTCTGGATCTCTATTGTGGGAGAAGGATGGGAGGGTCAGTTAAGGTGTTGCCTTAGTGCATTTTCTTTCTTTCCTTGTCTTGCAACAATTTATTAGAACACAGACATTTAAAAGAATGTTATGAACATAAATTGGGGTTTTTGAGCAAGGATGTAAACTGAATCAAAAAATAAAAATAAAAAATCCAATTGCATATTAACATTTCTTTTTCTTGTTCATTCGTCATACCTACAGAGCCAATTCTAATCTAGCCTAAATGTCTAGTCTAAAGTAACAGCATATAGTTTTCTTTTGACCTGAGAGATGTAAAAGCTTAAGGGCCAAGTAGTGTCTAAAAGTTAGTTACAAAAAAAAAAAAAGTACTTTGAAGAACCAAAATTTTGCTGGGGATTTAGGTTAACAGCCTAAGTGCCTGCCTTGCAATCTGCGGTCGTGAGTTTGATCTCCAGTACAAAAAAAAAAAAAGGTACTTTGAAGTAAAAGTTATTGTTCCCTAAGCTGAGGGTTTCCTATCATGTCAGTAACTGTTATGAAATAAAGGAGACTTAGGTGAAATGTTCTTATTTCATCACAACTGCTGTATCGGTTGCCTAGAACCTCCACAGCTTCATGGAAGTCTGGGAAATGTTCATATAAAAAGTGCCTTCGCTGACTTGTGAGACTGTGGCGGGATGTGAAAAAGATTATTATCTAGCAAGACTTAGTTCAGTTATCAAGAGGACCCAGAGGAGCTGATTCCAAAGTCTCAGGAAAGCTGCAGTGAGCCAGGACTTCTGTGGTTATTTATTTGTAACTCAAGGACATGAGAGCAAAGACAGGACGAAAGCATTTGCCATGTACGTATTGTATAGGAGTTTTTGTTGGGACAGGGCTAGAATGGGTTACATGACACGTGTTGATCTTATCAAGGCAAGGGGACACAATGACTAAAGCAAACATCTCTGAGCATAAACTGCTTTTACTTCTGCTGACTGTTGTCTTGCAGCTTCTGCTGTAAATTCTTCCCTCAAACTTTTTTTTTTTTGGGTACTGGTGATGAACTCTTGACTTTGTGTTTACCAGGCAGGCGCCTTGCTGTAAACTCTTAAGCGTGCATTCTGGGAGCATGGGAACTGTCTGTTCCTTATTGCACTCAGGTCTATCACTCCTTTGGCTAGAGTCTCCCAAACAATCCTTAGTGAAGTCTTTTGAAAAAACAAGCGGGTGCTGGGCATGATGGTGCACTCCTGTAATCCCAGCACTTGGGAGGCTGAGGTAGGAGGATCTTTGCACATTCGAGACCAGCCTGGACTACAAGTGAGCCCAAGGCCAGCCTGAACTGCATAGCAAGACCCTGTCTCAAATAGATAAAAAACAACAAGCAGATTTAGCCAGACTTGGTGGCACATGCCTATAACCTCAGCACTCAGGAGGCTGAGGCAGAGGCTAAGTTTGAGGCCAATTTGAACTACATAGTAAGACTCAAATACCTTCTTAAAAAACAAAACAAAAATCAACCAACCAAACAAACCAGGTTAAAAAATGGAGCAAACTGTTCAGGTATGGTGGTGCATGCCTATAATCCTAGCACTCTGGAAGATTGCTGCAAATTCTAGGTCAGCCTAGGCTACATAGGCAGTTCCAGGCTAGACTGAATTATACGGTGAAACCCTGTCTCAAAAAGATGACAAAAAAAAAAATGCAAGCAAGCAAATACAGCATCTACATTTTAGAGCTTTCAACTCAGGAATTCTTTCTGTTATGACATCTTGGAGAGAAGTTATTTTTATTTCTCAAAATCCAGGTGATGACAAAGTACCTTATCCCAGATTTGGCATTGTTTCTATCATCATCTTAAAAATCATCTGCTCCATCTACTTTCACTTAATATGTATGCTCATCACTACCCAGGGTGTTCATTATCTCAGAGAAATGATCAAAATAATATATGTCTTCATTGGATTTAGTGCTGCTCTTCCAATTATTGAAGTCCCTTTAAGGCAATTAAATTTTGTTCTTTTGTTAACCAAGGCCAGGGATGGCGAATCTCTTAGAGCTTTCCATGACCAAACAGCCAGCTGCGTCATGCATGCCATAGCTTTGTCACCACTGATCTAGGTCATGGTTGGCCAGATCCTGTTTGTCAACAACATAAAATTGATCTTCCATTCTTTTTTAATCATCCTTTCTTTTATGCTTAGAATCATTTTGGATCAATACAGTGAAGATTAATTTCATTTAAATATCTAAAATTATCACTTCTTCCAAGAAAACTGAAAGTAAATTTGGATTTTTCAGAGTTCATGTTGACATCTTTACCACCTTCAACACAAAATTCAATACAGACAGTGCCTTTGGGTTATCACTTGCAGTCACAGGTGGTGGCAGGCCTCTGAGGTGGCTGTTAGGACTCAATTCTTCAGTGGGGCTCAGCTGGACCTGAGAGTGCACTGAGAGAGTGACTCTGGTCCAAAAGTGGAAGGGTAGGAAAGGGCCACAAGGACCGAGAGAATCCATTCAGTGGGAAGAGGCACTGATGTTGGTCTGGGCAGACAGTCCATGGGTAGATTCCTAGGCGTGACAGATGCTGGCTCAAGGTGGAGTGAGCTGGCCTGCTTGGCTGTTGTGTATGTAGGGCTCCTCTGTCTAGGATTCTTCCCACTTGGGTGCTGTTGCCCAGAGAGGGCGCTGGGCCAGCTGTTGCAGACATCCTCTGCTGAGTGTTTTCGGATGTGGTTTCCTTTGACAACCCAGTCAAACCTCGATTGCCTGTCTTTGGGGGATTCCGTATAGTCAGGGCTTCATTTTGTTTTATGCAGTGTTATGATTTATTACTTTTATTTAAAATGTATTTTTCACAGACATGCTTTCCTTTTGGCTAATTTTTAAAAAGATTTTTATTTCTTTGATATTTCATATTCATTGGGAGTGTATGTTTTCCTTTAGCGTAATTAGAGTAACTGCTTTAAAACTGTTTCTATTTCTGCTGGGTATGGTGGCGCATACCTTAATGCTAGCATTCAGGGGGTTGAAGCAGGAGGAGCTTTGAAAGTTTATGTCAGCCTGGGTTATGTAGTGAGTTCAAGCCCAGTCTGAACTGCATAGTGAGACCCTGTCACAACAACAACAACAACAACAACAACAACAACAAATCTTTTTCTATTTCCAGCAACTTGATTCTAGGAGTCAGTCTTTATTGTCATTCTTTTCCTCCTTCTCAAGTTCTATTTCTTCATATTTCTAATTTATATTTATTTTGGAAAAACTGTGAATGATAAACATTGTTGAGACCATGGGTGCTGCAATGTTTCTCTGGACAGTGTTGACTTTTTTTTCCTCCTGGTTTTAGCAGGCTCTAAACCATATTTCTGTGTTGGGCAGCTGCTGAAACTTCTGTTTTTTTTCAACCTTAGCTGGCCTACTTGAAGTTGTCATGCACATTTGAAGTTCATGAGTCATTCAGAGACTATATTTGGGTAAACTATTTTTTTTCGATTTTTGGGCGTTTTTGAAGTGCACCATGCCCAGCAGATTTAGATAGACTTTAGATACAGAATTTGGGGCTCTTCTCTGGTTTTTTCTTTCCAGAATTTCCTTATTTCCTATCCTGTCCTGTGGTCTCCACTTCTGGGGTCAGGATGTTGGTGGTATGACTTGTTGGTCTCGAGTTAGTAAATTAAGGCTTCGGGAAGTTGAAAAGGACCCAGACGGAATGAAGGAAGTCCTCTTTAGTAAGGATACTAGAGAAAAGATGTCTTCAGTGAAGAAAAATATGTGCTTATAATAAATTAGATATAAGGGTAATGTTCATTAAAGTTTAAATATTACAGCCGGGCATAGTGGTGCATGCCTGTAATCCCAGCACTTGGGAGGCTGAGGCAAGAGGATTGCTGGACTATATAGTGAGTTTAAGGGCTTTGCAAGACCCTGTCTCAAAAAAAGTTTAAATATTAGAAAGAAATATATGTTCCTGATTACTGCTAAGATATTTCATGACTTGAACCTTTGACTTTATCTCATCATGAAAATTGACTTTCTTAAGACTTGGCAGCTATAGCTCTGAGGTAACCAAATCTATTTAAAGTTTTATGACTCACTGTACCCACACAAGCACATGTATATGCATGTACACACTCGTGTACGTGAACACTCATACATTCACATAAACACAGGCACACATATATATGCTGAGAAGTGAACTTATTTGTAACCCCAAAGAACATAGCTAATACATACATATTGTTCTGTCTTTTTTTTTTTTTTGAGACAGGGTTTCACCATGTAATTCAGAATGGCCTTGAACTCACTTTGTAGCCTAGGATGCCCTCCAGGTCACAGTGATCTATCTACCTTCCTCAGTCTCCTGAGTACTAAGATGTTTCTCTTAATTGTTAAGGACATAAAAATAAAATTGAAATATCTTTGCCTATCAGACTGGCAGAGATTAAAGACATGTTTATTCTTAAGGGTTATAGGCATTTTCATGTTGCTGGTGGGAGTAGAAGTTGATGTAATATTTTTGTAAGTACTTGGCAGTATCTACCAATATTGTGAAATGCCAGTGCTGACACCCCACAGTTCTAATAGCAATTTTTCATGTAGAAGTACTCAATCTAGTGAGTAAACATCCATCCCCAGAACTATCTGTCACCTTCATATGATGTATCGGATACTGGCAACAATCTAAATATCCACTGCAGGGACGTTTTGTTGATGCAGGGTCTTGCCAGATAGTTCAGGCTGGCCTCAAACTCACTATGTAGTCTAGGCTGGCCCTGAATGTGTGGGGTATCCTCTTGCCCCAGCTTCCCAAGTGTTGGGATTACAAACATGCACACCTGACCATTGCAGGGATTCTTAAACCATGGGAGATACTGTTTGTCAGAGGCACAGGAATGAGAAAAAAAGTGATGAAAATAGCATTTTAGAAGGTTGCAAACCTGGTGGCACAGTATGATTCTGTTAAAAATGAACTTTTTTTTTTTTGGCTTTTTGAGACAGGGTCTCATTGTGCAGTTCAGGCTGGTCGTGAACTCCCCCTGCCTCAGCCTCCCAAGGGCTGAGAATACAGGTGTGTGCCACCGTGCCCAGCTGAGCACTCCTATTTCAAACATTCCCTTCTATATGGATTTCTTTAACAGAGTTTTCACTGTGTTTATGTTTAACACCTGTCCTGCCCTGTGATGTGCACCTGACCAGGGTCTCCCTCTGAGGCTGGCTCAGTGAATCTCAGTGGGATTTTTGGGAGGAGCATAGTGGACACTCATCTGCCAGTAAGAAAACAAATCACAAATCATGTTTGGCAACTCAGTGTCACACAGATTCTCCCCACCTCACAATTCCCTAGCTGGAGATATACCATGCCAGGTGCTTCTCAGCTCTGGTGGAAGACAGCAGCCCTGAGTACACTTGTGGTTGCAGATGTGGGCGGCTCATGTTGGCCTGCCCTGAGGGTTCACGTCATTGCCTGCTGCAGTTATCTTCTGGATCGGGTGAGGGGCTTTGCTGCACTCCGTGGGACAGTCACTAACAAGCCACCTGCAGGCTTGCGATGGCACTGGGCAGATCCATCTGGGAAGGTGAGTCTGAGGCTCCCAAACCTTTCAGGTCAGTGAAAACTTCAGGAGGCAGAGAAGGATGAGTGGCTCCCAAACCTGGCCCAGTTTAAGTGTGTGCAGGGTACTGTCTTAGTTTTACCTCTGGGTAAACTTCAGCTTTTCTCAGACTTTGCAGTTCAGAATGTTAGAATTATATATTAATTTCCAGTGTGGCTATACTGGAACTGGACAGAAAGAAGGCCAGAGTTGGTCAGGCAGCATTTCTAATTCTGGAAGAATCTGTTTCCTCAGTGACTTTGTGAGGATGAGGGAAGATGGGCATTCTTCGGCCAGACTGGCTCAGCTGTGAACCATGAGATGGAGCAGAGGCCCTGGAGTTGGCTAGTCCCCTCCCAGCCACCAGAGGAGAGAGGGTGTCAGAGAAGAAGGGGAGCTGGAAAAGCAGTGGGAATGGGTGGAATTCCAGGAGATCATTGAAGCCAAACAGGGAAATGAGGGAAAAGAATTTTCTTGGAGGAAGTGACACCCTCTGCATTCCCCAGGGCTCTGGGCTAGTTTGTTCTCACAGGGGCTTGATGGGAGCCAGCTGGGACTGTCCCCTTTGCCCTACTTGTTCTTCCTGTGATGCCTGTTGTCCTGGGATCAGTCTCTTGTCAGAGCTTGGCCTTATGAGATCAAGACTGGGAATCTTGCCTGTGTGACCTCAAGTTATGTCCCAGAACCCTAAACCTAGTGTCAAGGGTGGCCTCTGAGAGGGGCAGGGGGATTTAAGGAGTTGGGGCGGGTCCAGGAAATGAAAGTTCTCACCGTTGAGCCAGATTGAACTCATGTAGCAGTGAACTTTGCCTGTACTAAGCTGGTGAGGGGGAGTACTGGTTAGAGGAGGTGCCTCTTTACCAAGGTGGCAGGAGTAGAGGGGTGTTCTTTGCCCCAGATCCCTTTAGAGAGTAGTGTCACCTCTATGCTAGCCCTGGCTGTGGCCACTCCCCTCTATCCTTTGTTTGTACAACTGAGGTACTGTACAAAGCAGGCTTTGCCTGACTCTTGCTGTCCCATTTGACTCTGGGGACTGCGGAGAGCTTTAGGGAGGGGACTGGATGGGAGAGACACAAGGCAGAGGAGACAGAGTGGATGAGGAAGCCAGGAAGGGTGTGGGAGAGACTGTAAAGAGACTTTCCTCTGGCTCTGGCCCAGCCTGTGGCCAAAGACAGGGATCCAGCCATAGTTCTTCCCACAACTTCATAGTGGTCCAGGAAATGAGCAGGCAGGCCATCTGAGCTAGATCAGGACCCGGAGGCTATGGAAGGCTGAGCGCTGAGGGCTGTGTCCCATTTGTTTCTGGTAGAAATGGGGATGTTGGTTAGTAGTATCAGCCAGGGTTAACAGAACTGGGGTATCAGGGAGCAGCCCTGCCAACAATGGCAGACACTGGCTTCCTTTCCTGCTCTCACACTAGCCTGTGGCGTGGTGTCTGATCTGTGGTCAGACCTCCCGGGGCTCACTCCCGACCTCTCACAGGACAGGGAGTGTGCAGGTATGCTGTGTGCATCTGCTCTGACTGCCTGGCCCTTGGTCAGGGAGTGATGAGCCTGGGCTTAGTAATGTCCTGCCCTGTGCCCGAGAAGCCCTAAGGGAAGAGAGGCCTGTGGTGCCCTGGGGATGGATGTGGCTGCCTGAGGCTTCACATCCTTTGTGAAGCAATTGTGATGTTTTCTGTGGGGTGTGCAAGGTGGGAGTCACACTCTGCTCTCTAGAAGCTCACAGGCTATGTGAGAGCTGCTAGGACACCTGCTAAGAAAAGAGATTATAGGTGCAACAAGTCCTTGATCTCTGTGGGTCTCGTTTTCTTCACTAGTAGGAAAATGGTCACCCTAACTTACCCATCTTACCAGATGTAGATGAAAGATGCAAAGGAAAAGGCAGGCCCTTTACCTCAGGGTGACCATATTGCTGATGGTTGTACTCCCCAGGGTGGCTCCTGCCCCACTGTCCCCCGAACTTGTCTAGTAAAGGAGACTGCTAAGCTGGAAGTCACCATACTCCCTACTCTCAATCATCTGTCCTGTGTTAGGCCAGGCCAATTCTGCACCTCTGTGGATCAACTGGGTACCTCTCCAGCTGGGACAGGATTGTCCATTGGGTCTGGGTCAGTGTGGAGCTGAGGTTTGTCAAGGTCCCAGTCGCACTGCTTTTCCACACCTTTAATGGGCTGATGTCCCACCCATACCTTACCAGTAACTTCTGGTAGACAGTGCTATAGTGAACTATTCTTTCATGCTGCTGCTGCTAGTGTGGGACCACACACTTGCAGGGAAGGATGTGCATGCACAGATAGGCTTCTGGGGGCTGATGGAGTGGGTGTAGTGCCTGTGGGAGGGTGTGTAGCTCCTAGGGAGTAGCATGCTGTGGTCTGTGTGCATGTCTGCTTCCTTTTCTCATCTTTATCACTAATCAGTCTTGTATAACCAGGCTGGTCCTGCTTCCTGCTTAGGGGCTATCAGTGAGTCATCTGTAGCTACAAATGGGGTGACAGGGCGTCAACAACTTCCCCACGCTCAGGCACTTCCTGATACCCCATGGCCTGTAGCAAGCCTCTGACTCCCCCATGTATCCCAGAGTCCAAGGCCTCACCATTCTCAGCACACCTGGGAGAGGCAATTTAGGCAGTGTCGTCCATTGCACGGATACCTGCTGCCATCCTTATCTGTGTTCTGGGGCAGAACCTGGCATGGGTCTTTAAGGCAGAGAAAGGGAGTGTGGATACAGAGAGGTTGGCTATGTGACCTCAGGCAAGGTGCCACCCATTCTTGGGACTCTGATTCCTGGTTATGAATAGGGGCTACTCTTTGCATGACTGTTCTCAGAACTAAAGTAGCACAGGATGCATCATCAAGGAGCTCAGCGAATCTTTATTGGTTGTTGATAGTAACTAGTTCCCCCCACCCCACTATGCTGTGCTGAACCTGAACCTGGGGACAGGACAAGGGAATGGGCTGGTAGAGGTTTTAGTCTCAGACAGGGGCCTTCTGGGAAGATGTGAGGCATAGTCTCAGAGACTAGGACCCAGCAGATTGAGCTTGAGTTAGGAGTTTTGGTCAGGTCAAGTGACCCTTCTGAGCTTTAGCATATGGTCAGTGGAGCTTGGACAGAGGTGCTCAGCCTCTTTCATGGGATATAGCAAGAGCATATGTGGTCGCCCCACTCAGAGCCTTTGTTGGGGAGGATCTCATGGGGGACACCTTCCCAGAGGGGTGCCTAGCATAGGCCTCTCAGTTCAGTCCCTTGCAGGTTGGACCTTGGAGAATGAGGCCTTGATTCGAGATGTGGGCACCTGGCTCCTGCTCTGGACCTGTATCTGCTGGGGAGTCTCTGTCCCAGAGGAGGGAGGAGGTGAGGAATGGGCACTGGTATCTGTATGAGATGGCTGGGTAGAGAGCTAGGAACTGGGTTGGGGGACACCTGAGACCTCTCCTCTAGGGATCCTACCCACCCTTGTTTCCCACCTTTATCCTCTAGGGAAGTGATGGTGAACCTTTTAGATCTTTTAGTGATATAAAGAGCCTGATGTAGTACACATGCCATAGTGTGCCAACATCGGAACCCACCACCTTTTGGGCCTCCCAGCCCTGCACTTGCAAATTCTCCTGGGATCATTCTCTGGGGACTGCCTTGTTAGGATTATGCTGCAGGTCGTCTCTGGCCCCTGACTTAGCTCGGCCCTGAAGCATTCACTGTGATCCTCAATGGTCATCATCCCCAGGGACAAGGGCTGAAACTTTCACTTGCCTCACCAACTACATCCTCAGGATTGATTGCCACTGGTCTGCCCCAGAGTTGGGCCAGGGCTGTGGCCCCTGGCTCCTCTTCACCAGGTGAGGTGTGAGGTGGAGGGTCAGGCTTACCTGGGGAGAGGGACATGGGTTGGAGGCGTGCCCCCCCCCATAGGAGGCAGTGGCACTCCTTGGTGCTGATACGTGGCCTTTCCAGCAACCAGGCACCTGGCAGCAAGCACAAGTGCATCTTCCAGGGTAACACATGTACCGTGGTGCTGCCACCTGAGGAAGTGCTGCTGCCTTCTGACAACTTCAGCATCACTTTCCACTACTGTGTCTCTGGGAAGGAACAGGTCAGCCTCGTGGACCCACAGTACTTGCCCCGGAGACATGGTGAGCAGGGGCCTTGCCAGGAGCAGCCTTGATGCTTGGAGTAGGGACTTCATGCTTGGAGGCTGGGGACTTGATGCTTGGAGATTGGGGGACTTTGGCCTCTGACCCATGTGGTCCCAAGACCACCAAGGAAGACCCAGGAGTGGGAGCAGACTGGATTCCTGAGAAGGGAGGGCCCAGGTGGCTCAGCAGTCTGGGTCTTAGCAGAGAATGAAGATATATGACTTGTTGGGTTGGAGCTATGGCTTAGTTTCAGTCACTGGAAATGCTCTTCAGTAATAGTAGAAAGAACTCTAGCAAGACACTGGGAAGAGCTTCCAGCCATAGACTGTGAAGGAAAGGGAAACCAAGATTCAGAAACCACCTTGCTGAATGGGATAGAAGTCATTGCTGTCTGTTCTCCCAGTCTTCCAGTGAGGCCCCAATCTGAGGCAGTCTTGACCAGGGCCCTTCAGGAATCTTTTAGAGCGTTGGTTCTGGGTCAGAGGATGGGGCTGCAGCCTCACATCGCCTCACTGTGTTTCAGTTAAGCTGGACCCTCCCTCTGACTTACAGAGCAATACTAGCTCTGGCTCCTGCGTCCTGACCTGGAGTATCAGTCCTCCCCTGGAGCCAATGGCCACACTTCTCAGCTATGAACTGGCCTTCAAGAGGCAGGAAGAGACCTGGGAGGTAACACTTTAGTTGGCTTTCGTGGGACTCTCTTTTCCCCTGGGAGCAGCTAGAGTGAATGGTGAAGAGGGGAGGGGTTCACAGCCAAGTGTGTATGTGTGTGTGTGTGCTTTCATTATTTGCACAAGTTTATATGCATTTATGAGTATACATGAGTGTGTGTGGGCCTTGTGTTTATGTGTGTGTGCACTAGGCATGTCCACCTGTGACGTCAATGAATGGTGACTGTGTCCCTGTGCACATACATCAGTGTGCATGGCTGTGCATGCAAGTGTGAAAATGTGGCTGTAGATGTGTGTGGGTAGGTTCATCTGTATGAATACAGGTGTATCTGTGTGTGTGTACATCAGTAGGCCTGTTTGTGTATGCATTTACATCTCAAGGGCTGATGGACCCAGCTACACTCAACATCTGCTAATGGCCTTCCACCCTACAGCGAGCCCAGTATAAGGATCACATAATTGGGGTGACTTGGATTGTCCTTGAAGCCATTGAATTAGACCCTGGATCCACCTATGAAGCCAGGCTGCGTGTCCAGATAGCCACTCAAGAGGGGCACATGGCAGAGGAGGAGCGTCTTGAGGGTCAGTGGAGCAACTGGAGCCAGTCTGTGTGCTTCTCCTCTCCTCGAGGTGGGTGTTGTGTGGTAGCTGTTCTTTCACAGCCTGGGTTAGGCCTTTTCTCTTCTGTCCTTCCGTCCCCTCCTGCCTTTAGCCCTCCTAGACTCCCCTCACCTGGAGTCTGAGATGGGTAAGGGGGCAATGTGCATTGGCTGCCCAGGAAGCTGTGTTTAGTGGCTACCATTAGGAGTGAGCGTGGCCTAGGATTTCTCTCCAGGCTGGTGCTTCTATCTGGAGATGGACAGGGTTGTCCCTGATAGGCTGGGTTGACTTGTGCACAGCGGTACTAGGAAGGTTTACAGACCTGACCACTGACCATATGGCAGATGGGAAGAGTGAGACCCAGAGTGAGATTCACCTCGGAGACTTCAGCAAGCATGACACAAATCTTCAAAAGCCATCCTAAACCCTTTCTACTTTAGGGCATTAATGAGTGGGTTAGGGGATACAACTGGACAGTAATGCTGCTCATAGTCCTGTCCACAGGCCTCTTAATTTCATCAGGCATATGGCCAGAGACCATCCTTGTTGCTGTAACCATCTTTCTTCTGCTGACTGGCCTGACCTACCTCCTGTTCAAGCTGTCACCCAGGTAGGTGACCAATGGAGTTTGTGTACACATGAATGTATTAGTGTACCTATATGTTAGTGTATTGAGGTGTGTGTTAGTATGTGCACTGGTAACTATATGTGTATGAGTACATATGTAGTGAGGTGTGTATCCATTGGTGTGGGTGCATCTGTTAGTGTACATGTGAACTATATCTGTGAAGTGTCTGCATTTATTAGTGTATGTGATTGTGTACATGGTATATATATGTGAAGTGCATGAGTGAATGTATATGTGAAGTGTTAGTGTAAGTGTGTACCTATTAGTTTGCCTGTACTAGTGTGTGCAGCTTAGTGTATATGAGCATGTGCATGTGTGTATATGTGAATGGTACATGTGATTATACATGAATGTTAGTGTGTGCATCTGTTAGTACGTGTGTGCGTGTGAGGTATGTGTGTTAATGTGCATTTGTTACTGCATGCAAACATGTACATGTAAGTACATGTTTACATGTACTTACATGTACAGTAAGCCTGTATAAGTAAGATACATATATGAGTGCACTAGTGTGCACCTCTTAGTGCGTACATGTTAGTGGAGGTTTGTGCCTCACATGTATGAGTGTGCACATGTGTTAATGTGTATGTATATCAGTGTGTGAATGTTTCCTTCTATGTGTTAGAATGTTCCTGTTAGTGTATGTATTAGTGTGTGCATCTGTTAGTGTGTGTGAATGTGTGTCATTGATGCATGTGTGTGTATCTATGTGCTGTCTGGGGCATAATAGGTCAGCCCTCCTAGCTCCTTTCCTTCCTTCTCTACTGTCCGGTTCTGGATAGATGAGTGTCTTCAAGTCTCCACACTGGGCTAGTAAGAGGGGGCTCTCAAGTTGCCAGGAGAAAGAAGAGAAGGATGTCCTGTGACAAAGACTGCAGACTAGGACAGCTTGGTTCCTATCAGCTGTGGAAGAATAGAGTCACTGAGAACCAGGATCCAAAGTCTTTGTCTCCTGCCTTTGGGGCTTGCAATTTTGCTCATTTGTTCACACTTTGTATGAAAGTGTTATTTTTCCATTTAGAGTGCATAAGAACCTGTTTGCAGTCTAGGGGTTGCCTCAGAGAGCAGAAGGGACAAGGCTCACCTTAGATAAGCTCCTATGCCTCATGCATGGCCTGTCAGGTATCAAGGAGGGGATGGGACCATGTCTGAGAGGAGGTGCTGTAAGAGACTGTTCAGCTATGGCCAGGTCTTGGGGAAGATGAGAGGGGAATGGACAGAGAGGGCAGAGGGGGTGGGCAAGGGTATGGTGCAGGGTCCTGTAGAGCAGGAGGGTGCTGGCTCTTCTTGGAGCTATGGAGAGCATGGGAAGGGTATTCAATGTATGCTGAGGGAGGTTCATTTTGAGAGTGAACCACTGGGATAGAAGGGACCTGGTAGTGTCCATGGAGTGGCAGTTTGACTTGAGCAAACAAGAAAAGAAAAAATGGGACAAAGTGAAGGAAATTTCCCGGGTCTTAAGAATCTGAGGATAATCCATGAGGTGGAAACTTGAGAGGGAGACTTATGAGGTCAATTTGGCTCTGTTGGTTTGGAGATCTCCCCCACTCTGCACATGGAGGCCAGTGGGTCCTGGCAGGAGATCTGGTGTTCAGGGAGACTTTGAATGGGGTGGGAAACCACAGGCTGCCTGCTGGTGCCACAGATAAGGTTTTTGGAGCCACTTGCTCACTCTGAGGTTTATGAATCTGGCTTTAGGCCAGGTGTGGTGGTGCATGCCTGTAATCCCAGTAGTCAAGGTCAAGAGGCTGAGGCAGGAGGATTGTTGTGAGTTTGAGGGCACTCTTTGGCTACATAGTGAGTTTAAGGCCAGCCTGAACTACAGAGCAAGATCCTGTCTTAGAAAACAACAAACCAATAAAAAACCAACCAACCAACCAGAACCTGGCTGCTCACTTCTAGGTGTGAACGTTGCAGTTTGTCCTGTGAAGGACACATGTTTTGGTATCCATCAGGTCTATGGGCATTATCCAGAGAGGCCGTGGCCTGCCAAAATGTATCCTGCCCAGAGGGTAGGATTGTCTGGGTGTTTTTTTTTTTTTTAAGATTTTTTAAAAATTAAGATTGGTTTTGTTGTTGTTGTTTTTAAATTGAGATTGCTGTGTTCCCCAGGCTTGTGTCAAACTCCTAGACTTAAGCAAGGCCCAGAGGTGCACACCTGTAATCTCAGCACCCAGGCTAAGGCAGGATTTCAAGTTTGAGCTCAGCCCAGGGAAACTTAGCAACTTAGGGAGACCCTGTCTCAAAATAAAAAAATGAAAAAAGGGCTGGGGATATAGCTCAGTGTGAAGGTCCTGGATTCAATCCCTAGTAACACACACACATGCATAAGCACACACAGACAACAAATAAACAAACTCTTGGGCTCAAGAAGTTCTCCTATCTCAACCTTCTGAATAGCTAGGTCTACAGAAGTGGACTGTGTGCCCAGCCTTCTGGGGGCAAGTTTGGATGCTGCAATGGGGAAAGAAGTATATATAGCATCCTGGATGTGGTGGGCTGGCATCGATGGTAATCTCAGGCCTTCTGGAGTGTGGTCTTGGGAAGAGACATTGTCCAGATCTCTACAGACTGTCCCTTCCTGGCCTCAGGGTGAAGAGATCCTTCTACCAGCACGTACCCTCACCAGCGGCGTTCTTCCAGCCCCTCTACACTGTGCATGGTGGGAACTTCCAGGTGTGTGGGGGCACCACAGGCTGTGTGGGGCAGGTGTAAAGGTCTGGCAAGCACAGGGTGGGGCTTGAAGGGGGGTCAGGATGAGCATGGGGGCTTTGTCAGTGCTCAAAACTTTCTTTGTTCAGATAGGGGTTTAAACGTACATACTGTGTCTCAAGGGGTCAAAAACTTAGTCATATTTCCTTTTGCTGATTTGTTTTTGTTCTGTTCTTGGTGCAAAAACTAAACTTTCTCATAGCTCACCACTCTCCTCTGCTCTGCACGGAAGGAAATGGTCAGTTCAAAGGGCAGATTGAACCACTCTCTGTACCCACCTCTGACTCGTCCTTCTTCCCACGTTTCCTCCAAAGATGTGTTTGGGGAAGGGTCTCTGCTGCTTGCTCTGCTACTGGGCCCCTGGCAGGATCTTAGACCCCTGGAGGCCACTGTGGACCACCTGTGGGGACCAGGGCTCTTAAGTAAATGCTACATTTTACCCTTTGTGGGCCTATTTGGTTCCTGTAGGCCACAGGCAGGTACAAGCCACCTAGCGGGTTGCATTGATCATCTGTGTGGTTTCCTGAGGTTCACAGTTTATGTGTGTGTGGGTGCCCATGGGTGGGCACTGGTTTCCCTTCTCAGTACTAAGCTCCTCCCCTCAGGTGTCCCTGCATTTCTCTCTGCCCTGTGGGCAGGCACATGTTCATCTTGTGTTACTTATTATGCAAAAACAAACAAAAAGCCTTTTCAAAACTGTTGCCCCAAAATACAATTTCAAGTTTGAAACTTTCAAAACTGTTGTCCCCAAATACAATTTCAAGTTTGAAACTGGGCACTTAGCTCTTAACGAAATCTGCCACTTCCCTCAAGGCAGTGGGAAGACTGTGAAGAGCCTGGATGACTGGAGACATAGCCGAGTGGGGCAAGGATAGTGACTGGCCCTGGGCTGGGTCACCCTGCAGAGTTCCAGCATCCTGGGAGCAGGGGTGGTCCAGCACTTGGATAGTGATCCTGGGAACAGATGTAGGGCATGTATGTGCATTGCATTTGGTGAAGGCTCCTGGTTCTGCCCAGGGAACAGATTGCTTTTGGAGGTCAGGGCCTCCTGTGGCCTCACAGAAGGGTTCTGACTACTTCTGTGTTTTGTGTGTGATGAGTTCAGGATGTTGATCCTCAGTCTCTATAGCTGTTGAAAGGCCCTGGGTAGTAGGATATAGAGGTTTGCTGGGTCCTAAGTACCTGCCACTGTCTATACCCTGGTTAAGGCTGCTCTGAGTATGAGATTCTGGGAAGGAACCCTGAGAGACTGGGACTTAGGGTTCCTCTGAAGGAACACAGGAAATTTGGAAAGTTCTGGGTACAGGCGCCCCTTGGGCGCTGGGTGTGAATGTTTGGAGAGTTTCCTGAAGAAAGAGGTTGCTATTCTGAATTAGCCCTTCCCTCCTCCCTGTGCTCTGTTCCAGACCTGGACAGGGGCCCATGAGGCTGGTCCACAGCCAGCTCAGGATTGTGACGCCACTGCACAAGGAGTCTCAGAGCCCAGCGTGTGGGAGGTCATCACTCTGCTCACATATAGCCCAGCACAGCCCTGGCAATCCTCAGGTCTGGAGGAGGAAGCAAACCCTGGTTGTGGCCTCCTAAGGGGCTTGAGCTCAAAGGATGTGCTGCCAGCAGGGTGTGTGGAGTTTGGGGGACAGTCATCCCCCTATCTACCACAGGAGGACTGGGTCCACATGTCGTCCATCAGACCAGCTCGCCCAGACTCAGAGGGTGGTAGTGGCGACTACTGTGTCCTGAATTGCTATGGGGGTTGCCATCCCTCAGCCCTCCCAGGACATATGCAGAGTCCTATGCCCATCACAGCCTTGGGTTGTAGCCTTTCCTATTTCCAGCAGGGTTTGTGTGTCCAGCAGGGAGGCACCTGTGAGGGACCTGGTCACAGCCAGGGTCATGAGCTGCTTGAGGACCTCTAGGGTGTTTTGCTGCCTCCTGTTCTGGGCACACTGTGGACTCGGTCCTGGAAGTCTAGAACCCTGACTTAGCCAGCTGTATCATGTCCATTTTTGGAAAATGGACTAAAATCCCTGGGCCCTTAGCCTGGGACTGGACTTGCCGAGAAGGGGAGCTGGAGTGGTGAGAGGCTCCCTGTCTGGATGGAGGCGTGAGGCTCCTCCCCCTCCACTTGCCCCAGCATCCTGACAGCTATCCCTCCCTTCCCCTCTCCCCTCCTGGCTTCATCCCAGGCCTCTTCCTCCCAGCCTGTTCTGCCCAGGGGATACAGGTGAGACACCAAGCAGGTGAGCATCCTTTTGCTGTGCTTCTTGTGGCACCTTCCACATGGAGGTGAAAAGGGTCATCTTGTCTGTTCAAAATTGGATGTCTGGGGTAGGAATTGCAGGTAAGAGGGCCAGAAAAACTCCACCCCTGGGATTTTTGGGCTCTAAGAACATCAGGGAGAAAGCTCAGTGACCTCAATTGAGTGACCCTGGACTCAGTGATGGGCTATAGAGGCCAGCTTCTTGGGCCTCCTTGTCTTCAACTTCCTGCTGGCCCCGGGATGCTGAGCACTGAGGCCAGAGCTCTCAGACAGGGTGGGTAGCAGAGGGCCTCGCTCCCATCCTCTTGTGGGGTGGACTTGGGGAGACAGCTATGATCTGGAGAGTGGTGGACAGAGCAGAATGTACCTGGATTGTTTTCCTAGGGCTGCTCTAACAAAATACCACAAACAGGGTGGCTAAGAAGCAGAGAAATCCACAGTTATTCTGGTGGGCTGAATAGTTACTTCAGTTACTTCTCTGTTTTGTGAGGGTATTTCTTTTTTTTTTTTTCCTAACAGCTTTTAGTATTTTCTTCTTCTTCTTTTTTTTTTTTTGAATTTCTGGTTCTTTGACAGTGATTTGTGAAAGGATTTTTTCTGGATGTGGCCCTTTATCCCTCTTATACTTGACTATTAAATTCTTTCCCTAGATTTGGAAAATTTTCTGCTATCATTTCAGTGAATAAATTTTTTATATCTTTTGAGTTACCTCCTCATTTTTCATTTATTCTTATAATTTGGGGATTCTTTGTTTGAGTCATCTAGCAGTTGCTGAATCCAGTTTACATGTTATCTTGTCATTTTTAGGATATCATTGAGTTTACGATTACCATATCCAGCTTGTCTTCCTGTATTTCTGACATTATTTTCACATTGGTCACATTTGCTGCCCATGCTTTCCACTGAATTTTCATAAACTATGTCCTCTTGACTTCATTTCAGCCTAATTCTTTATCAAAATAGCCTCAGTTTATTGTTTGCTTCTTCTTTAAACTTATTGAACTTTCGTTTTCACTTTTTTTTTGACAGGGTCTTGCTTTGTAGTACAGGCTGGCCTAGGATCTTGAACTTACTGTGGAGCCCAGGCTGACTTTGAACATGTGGTGATCTTTCTACTTCGGTTTCCACATGCTAGAATTACAGGCATGCACTACCATGCCCAGCTTGAATGTCTTATTAATATCTTTAATTAAATTCATTGTGTCCTTTAGTTATGTCTTTGCATTTATCCACTCTTAACCTATCAACGTAATATTTGAAGGACATTATTATCCAACATTTTTCTCCAGGCTGATCCCCAGCATAACTCTGAGAGGAGAAAATGAAACACAGTAGTGTTGATGACACAAAAACAAACCAGGTAATGGCATGCAGTAAAAAGCAAGTAAAATCAATAACTATGACACCATAAACAAGAGAAAAGAAATCATCAATAACAGAGTGAAAAACTAGTTATTGATATACTATAAGAACCATTAGGGCTGGGGATTTAGCTCAGTGGCATAAGCACCTCTCTGGCAAGTTTGTGGTCATGCCCCTATCCCCCGCCCCCCCACCCCAAATAGCTGGGCATGGTGGCTCATGCCTGTATTCCCAGCACTCGGGAGGCTGAGGTAGGAGGATTGTTGTGAGTTCGAGACCAGCCTGGGCTACAGAGTGAGCTCAAGGCCAACCTGAACTGCATAGAGAGACCCTGTCTCTAAACAGAAACAACAACAACAACAAAAAACAACAGCTAGGTGTGCTGGCACATGCCTGTAATCCCAGCTCTTGGGATGCTGAGGTAGGAGAATCACTGAGTTTGAGGCCATCCTGGGCTACATAGTGAGTTCAAGCCCAGCCTAAGCTGTATACCAAGGCTGGGTCTCAGATAAGTAAGTAAGTTAATAAATAATTAAATGAAAGTCTGAAAAAAAAAAAGAAAAAAGAGACAGAAAGAAAGAAAGAAAGGAAGAAAGAAAGAAAGAAAGAAAGAAAGAAAGAGTTTGATTGACTCCAACAGTAAAACCTGTAGCAGCATAAATAAGCATCTGTGACCATCCAGGAAAGTAAACCATGGAGGGCAGAAAGGAAGGAAACAAAAATGTGTTTCAAAATACCTAACCAGAAGAAAGTTTCCTATTTTCCCTCATGTCCTATGCCCTGCTCTCAAGGCAGCCTGGGACCCAGGAGGGACACGAGAAAGCAGACAGAATTCCAGAGGTAACCCAACTCTTCTGGCTTGAAGAAGATAAAGGGAACTCCTAATACTGTGAGAAACTTTGTAATGTTCTCATTTCCCATTACTTATGACTGTTATTCTGCAGACTATATCATCTCATCTAGAATCCAGGACACTCTGGGGTCACAGTAGTGACAGTGGAGCTCATAGGAACACTCCTTTCTCATTTGAGCAGCCGATTTCCCAAGAGTGGCACTTACACCCATTTCATTACTTCCTAAATTCTTGGTACTTGCTATGGACACAGCCTCTTACGTAGAAAGTGTGCAGAACTGCAGGAACTAAGGCCTATGTTTTGTTTACAGAAAACCAGAAGAGAAGGTCTGAGTGTGACATGTGAAGACTGTGGAGACGAATGAGTTTAGAAAATCATTCTGCAACTCAGGCTCAAGCTGAGCTGCTCATGCACAGGTCTGAAAAGACTGGACAAATAATTAAGGTCTAGATTGCTAGCCAGATACCAGGTATAGTTCTGTATAGTTCACATATGAAAGAGCTCCAAATGTCACATCAAAGGTTTTCTAAACTGATGGCAATCTGAAAACCACAACCCACAGAAATCTAGTTAACTTCAACTGAAGTTAACATTTACACATGTAGTCTGCTAAAATAAAAATTATCAATGTACAATTTTAAATAGTTCCATAGCATCATACCTAAAATCAGATGTACTCTGGATAAAATACAAGATCACTGCTGGGCATGGTGGTACATGCCTATAATCCTAGCCCTAGGGACTCTGAAGCAGGAGGAGTGTTGCAACCTTGAGGCCAGTCTGGGCTATAAAGTGAGTTAGTTCAAGGCCAGCCTGAACTGCCTAGCAAAACCCTGTCTCAAAAAAACAACAACAACAAAACCCAACCAACTTAACAAACAAAAAACCGTTTAGCATAGGAAGTATCTGGGAAATTTTAATGGACATAAGAAGGATATTGTTATGGGTAAGATCTAAAATGTCACACAAGTTGGGGATGGTGGTGAATGCCTATAATCCCAGCACTTGAGAGGCTGAGTCAGGAGGATTGCTGTAATTTTGAGGCCATCCTGGGCTTCATAAGTGAGTTCAAGGCATTCCTGTATGATAGTGAAACCCTGTCTCAAAAAACAAAAACCAAAAAACCCAAAGCCTCATATGTTCCAGGATGGATGGAGCTTTCAGAAGATGATTGGATCAAGTGGGCACTACACTTATCTACGGATTAATCCACCGATGTGTTCATAGCTGAATGTGCTATTAGGAGGTGAGCCTGGTTGGTAGAGACATTTCTCCCTCCCCAGCTCCTTTCTCGCTGCATCCTAGAAGACATAGGATAAACAGCTTTCCTACATCCAGGTTCTTTCACTTCTGCTTTGAGTCAGCCAATCAAACATGAGCCAAAGTAAACCTCTCTTCCTTTAAGATACTGGTGTTGGGTATTTTGTCCCAACAAGGAATGTGAGTAAGACAAATTTTGGTGCCAGAGAATTGGGTTGTTGCTGTGACTGTACTTGATTATGTGGTTCAGAAGCCTTTGAAACTGATTCATGAGAGCAGTTGGAAAATTTTGAAGACACTAGCTTGCGAAGTCCTGGAATGCTGTAAACTGAGCTTGATGGATGATTCTGCTCAGAGCATAGACAATCAGAATGCTGATACAAATGCAGACACTAAAAGCCATTCTCAGGAGGTTTCAGAACAATAAATACTATTGGCAGTTGGTCTATAGACCATGTATGTTGTGCATCTATGGAAAACTTGTCTACATTTACTCATGTCTGGGGCTTCAATGGGAGACTGAGATTAAGGTTGGTGAACTAATTAATATGAAGAAGATTTTAAGGGAGCCCAACATTCAGGCTGTGACATGAGTACTGCTAGAAGCTTTTAGCTAGATTTGCAGTGACAATTGAGCAAAAAACCTAAATGAAAATTTTTCATTTTTTAAAACTATAGCAGGAAGTTTTATTTATCTAATTAATTAATTTTTTGAGACAGTTTAACTGTGTAGTTCAGGCTAACCTTGAAGCAGTGAAGCAACCTCCTCTATGCTGGAATTATTGGCATGTTCCACCACACCTGGCTAAAATTTTCAGTTTTACCAGAAAAGAAGCATCTGCAGAATAGGAGATTTAGCTCAACAGGCACAAGCACCTGCCTGGGAAGCCAAGATTGTGAGTTCAAGGTTGTGAGGCAAAAGAAAACATGCTTGTTAAAAAGATTAGCACTCAAAAGAAACCAGGTATTATGCATCAGGACAATAGCAAAGATGGTTTGAGGGAACTTTGGAAATTAGCAAGACCCCATACTTCACTGCAAAAGAATAAAGTCTTTTAGCTTCACTGCCAAAGTCTTTTGAAAGACTTGGCTTTGAGAAGGGAGCTCCAAAGAGCCCTAATTGAGAAGGGCTGTCTAGGGAACTGGTTCCTCAGAATATGTTTCACAATGCTCAGCCATGCAAGTGCTCAGAGAATGCCACAGATATGAACTGAAAGGGCTGGCTACTTCTCACACTGGCAGCAGATCATGTTGTCACCTGGGTACTGATGGTTTTCTGGTCACGGAGAAGGCAGAAGTTGTGGGGTAACTAGATTTCAGAAGGAAGCCTGGGAGGCCAGGCAGTGTGTCCTGGGACAGAAGTGCGTGAGGAAGCTGTGAAAGTGAAGCTAAAGTAGAGTGGAAAGCCTGGGGTACTGGAGGTGTCAGGAACGTGGAATATGTGATGGAGAAAGCCACAGGCAGAGAACAGAGCTACCCTAGACAGAAGCCATGAAGATTGCAACTGGTAATGCTATAGAGGTAGAGATGGCCCTGTCCTTTGGAACTCACCACCACTGAACCCAGGCCCACCACCTGGTATTTGCTGCTAAGGCGTTTGTTGTAGTCAGGGGTATTTGTTTTAGTCAGGGAGCTTTCTTGGCCTTTATTGTTTGTTTCAAGTGTGATAGTTTGTTTCCTCTCGCACCATAATCAGAAGAGTCTGGAGTAAGTTACCTGAAGTCATCTGCTTTTTCTGAAAGGAGATATAGTGTTATCTTACTTTAAACTACCTTTGAATGGGCTTAAAACAATGTAAGGGAACTTTGTTTTCATATTCTCCTAGAGAGAGAGATACTTTGGGAGACAGCAGGGATTCAAACATACTTGAAGGGGTATGCTTGAGACAATGCATTTGTTTTGATTGTACCTTAATGAATTTGGGTTTGCACTAAATTTGAACCTTTTTACAAGAAAAATAAACAAATTATTTAGGACACTACACTGTAACCCAGATAACACCCTCCAGAATAGCACTGGGAGTGGTAGAGAGGAACTGGACTGAGACTGAAGAAGACCAAGGCAACAGGTTCTTTTCTGAAGTTGGAATGTGATTGTGGTAATACTTTTCTAGAAACCTAAAAAATCATTTGGAAAGAAAAAAGTAAATTTGTCATTAAAACTTACTGAATATTTTGTCTAAGAGAAATATGTACAAAATCATTTATTTCTGGGGCTGGGGATTTAGCTCAGTGGCATAAGTGCCTGCCTTGTAAGCAGGCAGTTGCGAGTTTGATCCCTGGTACCGATCAAAAAAAAAAAAAAAAAAAAAAAAGGAAAAAAAATCATTTATTTCTAATACTATCAAACTTAAAAGAATGTATTTCAATAATGATATTCATGTTAAAATCAAGACTGAGTTTCATTGTTTTCCATATGATTTTCTTAATCTCCTCTCTGTCTGTCTCTCTGTCACTTTTGAGACAAGGTCTCGTTATGTGTTAGGCTGGCCCTGAGCTCACTTTGTAGCCAAAACTCATCCTGCCTCAGCCTCCTGAGTGCTGGGGTTATAGGCATGCACCACCATGCCCCACTTTTCTTAGCCTTTTAAACCGATAGTTAGAGAAAACTGTTGGTTTTCAAAGATAAATGGGAATACTGTTTTGACTGGGATATTATCTAACTTCAGTAGCCTATTAGTCTGGTAAGTTAGGTGAAGAAAGCTGGGTATTCAGTATTTCTAAGAGAAAGTGTG